TATTGTAATACCCCAAGGGCCCATAGAATTTGTCTACATTGTAACCAAAATCAAATAGAAGATGAATTTCATTTCATTTTAATTTGTCCTCTATACGCAACTTTACGTAAAAAAATTATCAAAAAATATTATTGGAACCGTCCGTCGTCCTATAAACTTGTACAGTTGCTAGCAGTTCGTAATAGGAAAGAACTTTGTCATTTAGGTAAATATTTACAATCAAGTTTACTATTACGCTCGACATAATGTGCATTGTTTAATTATCATGTGCATGCTTTTTCTTTTTATCTCCAGATAAAAACTGATTACTTCTTACTTCATTTGATTGAGATTCTTCCAATCTTTCAATCATGTACATTACTTCAATTAATCATCTCATTAATATTTTTCTTTTGTCATTTGTATTCTCATGTGCGTACAACTGTCCGCCATCTATCAAATCAGCTTGTCTTGTACAATGTAGGTTATGTTACATGTTATTCAATATTTGTGTAATGTTTTCGACACCCTTATTGTACATGTACACATTAATTACTCTGTATTATGCTGTAATGCTTATGGGCCGTAAGGCTGAAAGTGAATAAACAATACAATACAATACAATGGTGTACCGGTGCGTTTCTTTTTGTTTCCAGTGTTGGAAGAAAACAAGTTGTCGAAAGTATTAAAGTAAATTTCAACAGCGGTTAATATCTCAAATGCGTTTTTACCATAGGCTAGTGGCCTAGTGCCTTGACCTACGAATTAGAGGAGATCTAAGTCCGTGGTATAATATACGATATTAGTTGGGTTTTTTTATAAAAAATCTGAATTCTACAGTAAAGTTATTTTTGTAGTAATGGTAGTGATGATATGACATTGCTTCATGGGTATTAAATATACAAGTAAACATAAAGGAGGAACAAATGCAATCGGAGACCTATATATTACATATATACGTCTCTGATGCAATATATCATGAGATTTCAGAACACTACAGTACATTGCAAATAAATGAATCCTTAAACTAGCGCTAACGTCATATTATTTTGTTTTAAATCACGTAATATATAGTGAGTTTTATTTCTATCAGAGACGTATATATTACAGAGATTGTTAAATATACGTCTCTGTAATATATACGTCTCTGATTCTGTGTAGCCAGAGAAGTATATACTATATGTCTCTAGTGTAACCGTTAAGCTAAATGCATATCTTATATAAACGTCGTACGTCCCTGCAATAATAGAACCGTCCTCCGATGTAATCTTTAACGTATATATCGATTCGGTCTTCGTCCTGTCTTCAACCTAATTATATATACATTTACAATTAACAAACACGGCACAGTTCGAGTATGTTACAAACACGTACATTTTAAAAAACCAGGTCGTAGTAATTAACAAACACGGCACAGTTCGAGTGTGTTTAAAAAAAACCAGATCGAAGTAAATTACAAACACGGCACAGTTTTATAGTTTTAATTTGACATATTAATCGAGTGTTTAATAAACACGTTTTACAGATCATCAGGCCGAATAAAGTACAAACACAACAAATTTATTTAAATATATTTTTATTACAAATCGAGAAATAAGCAAAAATATCCAACAGACACGGCCGAAGAAAACTACAAACACGGCACAACTCCATAGTTTTATTTGACATATTAATGAAGTGCATAAAACATGGATTTTAACAGCACAGTTTGATAATGTTACAAACACGTATTTCAAAACACCAGGTCGAAGTAATTTCCAAACACGGCACAGTTCGAGTATGTAACAAACGCGTATCTCAAAACGCGATCAAAGTTAATTACAAACACGGCACAGTTTTATAGTTTTGATTTGACATATTACACGAGTGTTTAATAAACACGTATTTCAGATCATCAGGCCGAAAATAGTACATACACGACAAATTTATTTATAAATATATTTATAACAAATCGAGATATAAGCAAACATATTTCAACAGACACGGCCGAAGTAAATTACAAACACGGCACAGTTCGAGTATGTTATAAACACGTACATTTTAAAAACCGCCAGGTCGAAGTAAATTACAAACACGGCACAGTTCGGGAATGCAACAAACACGTATCTCAAAACACCAAGTCGAAGTAGATTACAAACACGGCACAGTTTATAGTTTATATTTGACATATTAATCAAGTGTTTAATATACACGTATTTCAGATCATCATGCCGAACAAAGTACAAACACGATAAATATATTTAAATATATTTTTATTATAAATCGATTAATAAGCAAACATACTTCACAGACACGGCCGAAGTAAATTACAAACACGGCACAGTTCCATAGTTTTATTTGACATGTTAATGGAGTGTATAAAACATGTATTTTAACGTCACAGTTCGATTATGTTACAAATACATATTTCAAAACACCAGGTCGAAGTAATTAACAAACACGGCACAGTTCGAGAATGTTTAAAAACCCCAAATCGAAGTTAATTACAAACACGGCACAGTTCCATAGTTTTATTTGACATGTTAATGGAGTGTATAAAACATGTATTTTAACGTCACAGTTCGATTATGTTACAAATACATATTTCAAAACACCAGGTCGAAGAAATTAACAAACACAGCACAGTTCGAGAATGTTTAAAAACCCCAGATCGAAGTTAATTACAAACACGGCACAGTTCGAGTATGTAACAAACACGTATCTCAAAACACCAGGTCGAAGTAAATTATACACACGGCACAGTTTTATAGTTTTAATTTGACATATTAATGGAGTGTATTATTTCAACGGCACAGTTCGAGTGTGTTATAAACACGTATTTCAAATTACCAGGTCGAAGTAAATTACAAACACGGCACAGTTCCATTTTGATACATTAATCAAGTGTTTAAAACACGAATTTCAAAACACCAAGTCGGAGTAAATTACAAACACGGCAGTTTTTATAGTTTTATTTTGACATAGTAAGTGTATAAAACATCAAACATGTATTTCAAAACACCAGGCCGATATCAATTACAAACACGGCACAATTCCCTAGTTTTATTTGACATATTTGTTGAGTGTATTATTTCAACGGCACAGTTCGAGTATGTAACAAACACGTATCTCAAAACACCAGGTCGAAGTAANCACGGCACAATTCCATAGTTTTATTTGACATATTAATGGAGTGTATACACATGTATTTTAACGGCACAGTTCGATAATGTTACAAACACGTATTTCTAAACACCAGGTCGAAGTAAATGACAAACACGGCTCAATTCCATAGTTTTAAACATGTATTTCAATGGCGCTGTTCGAGTATGTAACAAACACGGCACATTTTCAAAGTTTAATTTGACATATAAATCGAGTATTTATCAAACACGTGTTCCAAAACACCAGTTTCAAGTTGAAGTAAATTACAAACACGGCACAGCTCCATAGTTTTATTCTGATTACACCAAATAAACATAGGTGAACAAGCACAGACACGTTGTTAATTATGAGGCGAGCTGTCGACTGACAAGTGTTCACACATCAACAGAGCTACCTGGTGATGCTTGACACCGCCCGCGGCAGCTCGAAGTGGTCGACAGGCTACTACCCGGTTAGATCAAAGGCCTAACTAACCGCCAGCGCAGATCCTGTTGCCGCGGAGCACAGGTAAATAAAGGGGGTAAAATAAAAAGCCACGAGTAAACAATAAAAATCCGGGAGTACTTTAAAAGTCCAATGAGTAAAATAAAACGTCTAGGGGTAAAATAATAATCCAGGAGTACTTTAATTCGTAAGGGGGGTAAAATAAACCGGATAGGAGTACTTTAACTTGTCAGGGGGGTAAAATAATAATCTATGAGTACTTTAATTCGTTAGGGGGGTAAAATAACCCGGATAGGAGTACTTTAACTTGTCAGAGGGGTAAAATAATAATCTAGGAGTACTTTAACTCGTCAGGGGGGTAAAATAATTTAGATAGGAGTACTTTAACTCATCATGGGGGTAAAATAATAATCTAGGTGTACTTTAACTCTTCATAGGGTAAAATAACTCTGAAATGAGTACTTTAACTTGTCAAGGGGGTAAAATAACCCGGATAGGGGTAAAATAAAACGTATGGGGTAAAATTTTACTCCTTTCCAGGTTATTTTACTCCTAGACGGTTTATTTTACCCCAATACGTTTTATTTTGCTCAATTCTGAATATTTTACTCCTTTTCTCTTCACCAGTGGATTGAGTTCACAATAATGAAGACCTTTTTATTTTACGACGGATTAAAAAATTTGTGTTGTAAATATAAATGTACTTATTTTGTCGTTCAACTAATTTGAACTATGAAAATTGAGAACAGAAAGCATCAGTAATATAAAAGAGAATGTAACACTGGTGACCATCATGTGGAGTTTGGATTACTAAGAATTAGTATCCAGCAGTAGGGATAGTTTAGAAATGTAACACTGGTGGCAGCACTACTGTACATTTGTTGGTTATTCCATAAATATTTAGGTGGGTCAAATAATAATTTACTTCAATGTGTTGTTTGGGTCTACTGAACACAAAAACTAGAAATGCAGGGATTTTTTACATGAATAAATTTCTTTTTGATATATTTTTAACATTCACGAAAGTAATCAGGAGATTTTCTTCACCATCAAAAAATAAATAAATAAAAGCCTAAAAAAGAATGTTTTTTTCTACCTACCTACCTACCTATCTATTTTGGAGCCGAAACAGGAACACACATATTTTTGTTTGGCCTGATAAGTTACAGATAGAGCAATGCTTGGAGTTGGAGGGGTTGAAGATCACAAGAATTCACAGTATCACGCCTGACACCAACAAAAATTCCATACATTCATTTTCATATAGACTGGGTAATATGGGACAATATGATGAGACGCATTTAAGCTTTACAGAAAGTGCCTGTGATCACAGCACTTGTTGACTTGATGGAACGTTCCATGTGCGTTCCGGTGTTAACGCAGCCCAGGTTCCGTCGTTTTGTGAGCACTGTGAATTTCATAGCATTGCTTACCTATGTCACTAAAGTTGACCTGTTATGTAGAAACTGATTTGTCGTATCCAAACGTCATGTCATGATCAAGGAATTGTTGTATCTTAAATTCAGTTTGAATGCGCCAATTCTAAAAATTCATTGCAAACTCGACTTAGCTTCCTTCAGATGAAAGATTTCCATATAAAAGGGAGATAATTACTAGCACCAGTGCTAAGATAACAAGAGGTCCATTGGACCTGTATCGCTCAGCTGGTTTTATATTTAAGTCATTACAACTGAATGCATTAGTACATCTTTATATGAAATTTCCTCAAAACCAGACAAGATCTATGTTCTAACTCAACTGGGACCACATTATCTGACTTTCAACTAATCAGGGCCTCCTCCATTGAGTTGCCATGTTAACAGATTTTGAAATAAGTAATATGTCATATATAACAGGGTGTAATTAGACAATACTTTAATTTTCATTCAACTATAAGCATTTATAAACCTAGAAACCAATTTTTAACAATTTTTGAAAACTACACCATAGAATATGATAATCTAGCTGTACCATTTCTTGGGACCGCATGGGTCCAATCAACCCCTTTCAATTAGGACATTTTTGTTCTTCCTCAATAATGTTTTTGACCAAATTTTGTACAATCCACTCAGGCAATTAGGGGGTATTAGCGTCTTAAAGCAAAATATTAGATAATTTTCCTGTTTGGGGACTGGTCTTCCTAGCCCCAGGGGTCAAACCAGCCTCATTTATTTAGGAAATGATTGCCCTTCCCCAATTAAGTTTCAGAGAAAATTTGGTTGAAATCTTCTCTGGCGTTTAGGAGATGCATTTTAAAGCAAATTTAGCTAAGATAACCTTCAGGGCCCCGCCCCCCTGGCTTCAGGAGTCGAACCAACCTCACTTATTTAAGAAATGATTGCCCTCCCCTAGTGATGCTGCAGACTAAATTTTGTTGAAATCCTTACTGGCGTTAAGTAGGAGATGAGTTTTAAAGAAAAAGTTGACGACGGACGCTGCGCCACGGCATAAGCTCACTTCGGGCAGGTGAGCTAAAAATAAGAACCTGTTTATTCCGTAAACTTCTTCAGATTTTTATTGTATCATTAATTATTACTCTTTTCATCACTCTTGTAAGACACATTTTTTTTCTTTTGAATGTCATAATGTACCGTAAATTGACTTACAAGACAAGTTATATATCCATCAAGGAAAAGTAGGTCCGGTGATTCCATTTCTTTAGTATTTGTAACGAGAAAAACCTTGTACATGTATTCAATTTGTGATGTATATTACCGAATCTCAAGCGCTTATTCTCAAGTACATACTGTAACCTACTGGCTACAGCTTTTGTATTTATTAGATTAAGGAATTTGGAAATGTGCAAATATTCTACATAAAACAATCATTTGTTTCCATCACAGAAGTTGACAATACAAATTTACATTGAAAAAAACACCATGTATTGGCTTTTCAAATGTTTTATTCAAGTATTTTTTCACAAATATCTGTGCATGGCATTAAATGATACCAAACTCCATACATGTACTATTAGAGATTCAAAATAACAAAAACATTAATTAGACAATTGCTCTTGTCATCTCCCTCGATCACCAAATTATATCTATCTATTACATAGTGAAATGGTGCCAAATCTGGTTAAAAACGAAATGGTCATGTATATAATTATAATTAAAATAATAGTTCAATAAGTAAGCTAGCTTTTTACCTTGTGTTTTTTCGTTGTATAGATATATTATCTACTAAGAATTGAAGTAACTTGTGAAACTCAGACAATGGATACAGTGGAAGTTTGTCACTCTATACAACTTCTAGAAGTTTATTTACTTTAAAAAACTGTAAATCATTGCTTCATTTCATTAAACCAAAAACAAAAACTAGAAAAATGTGTATCTCGTCTAACAAATTTGACTGCTATTTATATAAAAAAAGATAAAATATTATGCACTGGTAATATTTTATTGAAACCTACAACCATTACCACCTCTGTATAGAAAATGCATGTACCTGTCTATAAAAGCCATTTCTAAAGAGCAAATACCTATCTTTAAAGGTCATCTCTCTAGAGTAATAGCTTGTCTATAAGAAACCTATATATTCTCTAAGATCTCTGTATAAACAAATATTGATGGTGCTGATATCACATCCTCTTGAAGACTGCACAGCATAACATGGCCAATGACTCTAGTTCCCATTTCTACACCCCTCTTTGTAATTGAACCTAAGTTTAAAGGTCACTTGTATGTATTTGTTATCTGTTTATTTTCATTGTGATAAGTTTAAAAGGCCATTATTAAAAAAACAGTGAGGTTGAGTCTAGGTTTATTCTCCATATAAAAGTGACTGAAAATAATGTTGTACAGAAGGTTTTTTCTTCTAGTAAAGGGAGGTAATCTGATGCTGGCGAAACATTGGCAATGATTTTTGAACACCTCACCATTTGGTTCAATGTCTTTGATATGAGAAATAATAAAAATGTTGCAGTAAAACCTAGAGTAAGGAAGAAGGACATTGACAGAATGATCACCAGACCATATAAATGACTTTTGTAGTTAGTTATTTTTAACTCTTGTACCTGGTAAACATTGCATAGCTCTTGACGCAGAAAAGAAAATAGTGTGATGTCTACAGATCAACTTAAAGTGACATGCTGGCAAGGAAATAACCAGAAGATTATCATTTTAAAATAATATTATAAAACATCACCAGAATAATATTAGTCTTTACCACAAAAATAAGTCAGATTAATTACTTACACATATTAATTCATTAATAATTATGTTTCAGTTATTTCTAAAATAGAATTACCTTTTAAGCTTCAACAGCCAATTACACAAAAAAATAGTGCACACCTACTTTTCACAGCCATTCACATCTGTATGCATACAAGTGCATTTCTGAATCAACCTGTACACATTCCCAATAGCACTAACTTGGACAGTTCCACACAAGTAATACTTTTACAATTGTAACACAACTATGTATCTCCACACAACACAATCTAACATATGGCAGTGGAAATTTGTCCTGACTATAATATTTCTGAAATATACCTAGAAGGTGAGTGTTCCTATTGACAGATTTTCCTGACTGTTGTATCTGTATACGAAATACATATATAATCAGATTATTGTGGAATTCAAACAAAATATGTGGTGTATATGTCACAGCAAACAACAAAGGCAATATCAACATTCTTTACCGAACACAATTATAAGTAAAACTTAGCCTCTTTCTCACTGAGTACATCACTATTACAAACAAAACCTGATAATTTACACAGCACAGCAGCATATTACAGACCCCAACAAAATATATACATTTGCATATAGTTTCAAACTAAATACAGATGTGCACTTATTCAAATCTGAGATTTATTTTTCCTTTCACAAACACTATTTAAAACAAGCACAATTCTGTTGGAATATTTATGTACAGTATAGCAATATATTCAATAAGGACACACACTAACACAATGTTCATTTCACGTAGTGAACCTGTTGATAAAGATCACCCATGGGAGTCAGACAACAGTGAAATAGACATGTGGCCTTATAAGACAGGTTTCTATCACACAGAAACACCAGTTGTAGTGTTCTTTATATGCTGGTTGTGATTGTGTTCCAATTTTCTTCATAACTTCAGACTACCTATTATATATTCTTTAATAGTTAAACGTTCACTAAATTGACACATTAGTTTAAATTAATAAAAGACAATTTTTTCTCATTCTTTAAAAACTGTAGTAGCACTGACTCATCTGAAAAGACAAGACGTATGTCATTATCCTTCAGCATAATTTGGCAAGTGTTCTTAAAATTTAAACACAGCTGAATAACAATTGTTTTATCGTAAACAAGATTATAATCAATCATACACATTTAACGAAATCAACAACAATATCCAGTTCTAGTAGTTCAGTATTCAATATCTTGAAACAGTAGCTAAAGTGGTATTTATTTCATTTTACTGCTGAAATGATGGAATGGTAAGATTTCTTTTAGGTGAATAAACTGGAATATTCATTCTATCTTAGGTATATTGTCATTGTTGCAGGGTTCTCTAGGTAGGCCTTCCACACGTTGGAAAATCGTGCCATAGTGGCGCCCTCTATCACTCGATGATCTGCTGACCAGCTCACATTCATGATGTGTGTCTTCTTCACGTTACCTTCCTCATCGTACCTTGGCAGCACCTGAACACAAGGGAAAACATAGAAACATGACGAAGATGCTTTCAAAAAAATGATTTTTTTTATTTAATCACTAATATACTACACACCTTGTTGGGCATTTCAGAACATGATCTTTATTGTAAAGGTATTTTTTTTTCGCAGGTTGAAATTTAGTTTCACTCAAGGCCCTTGCAGGATCATTTTTTGCAGATCTCAAGAAAATGAAATTGAAATATTTGATAGCGACTATCTATATGATCAGGTGATTTCTCACCATTATTGTAACATCTCTTTAAGAAAACAGACCATAACCGAGATATAAAATAGGTATCATTTTTTTTTTTATATTTAAAGTTATTAAGGGTCAAGATTATATAGGTTCATCGGCAGTCATGATTAGAGTTTGAAAAAACCAATGTGTACCTGTGTTCTCTTATGCTCAATGTGTTTGTAGTGTTTAGGTGAAGGGTACCAACAATTTAGTTCAGCAAACAAAGAACTTGTCTACAAATGTGAGTATTTATCTAAAACTTACTATAATGTTTTAAAAGTTTATAATATAATCTCTGAAATATTCTCACCTGGAATTTGCCCAAAGCTCCTATAGCTACCTGTGGTGGAAGTACAACTGGCTTTGCATAGGTACCACCAATCTAGAAAAAAACATCAGGCAAAACTGTATATCATTACCATATAGCTATCACCTTTGTATAGCTATTACCTGTGTATAGCTATCATATTTGTATAACTATCACTTGTATATAGCTAGCTACCAACTGTGTATAGCTCCCACCTGCGTATATCTACCACCTGTGTATAGCTCCCACCTGTGTATAGCTATCACATTTGTATATCTATCACCTGCATATAGTTACCACCTGTGTATAGCTATCACATTTGTATAACTATTACCTGTGTATAGCTACCACCTGTGTATAACTACCACCTGTGTATAGCTATCACATTTGTATAACTATTACCTGTGTATAGCTATCACATTTGTATAACTACCACCTGTGTATAACTACCACCTGTGTATAGCTATCACATTTGTATATCTATCACCTGTATATAACTACCCCCTGTGTATATCTATCACATGTGTATAGCTCCCACCTGTGTATATCTATCACCTGTGTATATCTATCACCTGTATATAACTACCACCTGTGTATATCTATCACATGTGTATAGCTCCCACCTGTGTATAACTCCCACCTGTGTATAGCTATCACATTTGTATAACTAGCGCCTGTGTATAACTACCACCTGTGTATAGCTACCACATTTGTATAACTATTACCTGTGTATAACTACCACCTGTGTATAACTATCACCTGTGTATAGCTATCACATTTGGATAACTATTACCTGTGTATAGCTCCCACCTGAGGATATCTATTACCTGTATATAGCTATCACCTGTGTATAAGCTCCCACCTGTGTATATCTATTACCTGCGTATAGCTACCACCTGCGTATATCTATCACATGTGTATAGCTACCACCTGTGTATAGCTCCCACCTGTGTATATCTATTACCTGTATATAGCTATCACCTGTGTATAAGCTCCCACCTGTGTATATCTATTACCTGCGTATAGCTACCACCTGCGTATATCTATCACATGTGTATAGCTACCACCTGTGTATAGCTCCCACCTGTGTATATCTATTACCTGTGTATAGCTACAACCTGTGTATATCTATCACCTGTGTATATCTATCACCTGTATATAACTACCACCTGTGTATAACTCCCACCTGTGTATAGCTATCACATTTGTATAACTATTACCTGTGTATAACTACCACCTGTGTATAACTAGCACCTGTGTATATCTATCACCTGTGTATAGCTATCACATTTTTATATCTATCACCTGTGTATAGCTATCACATTTGTATAACTATTACCTGTGTATAGCTCCCACCTGTGTATAACTACCACCTGTGTATAGCTATCACCTGTGTATAGCTATCACATTTGTATATCTATCACCTGTGTATAACTACCACCTGTGTATAACTACCACCTGTGTATAGCTATCACCTGTGTATAGCTATCACAATTGTATCACTATTACCTGAGTATAGCTATCACATTTGTATAACTATTACCTGTGTATAGCTCCCACCTGTGTATATCTATTACCTGTATATAGCTATCACCTGTGTATAGCTATCATCTGTGTATGGCTATTACCTGTGTATAGCTATAACCTGTATTTAGCTCCCACCTGTATATAGCTATCACCTGTGTATAGCTCCCACTTGTGTATAGCTCCCACCTGTATATAGCTATCACCTGTATATAGCTCTCACTTGTGTATAGCTCCCACCTGTGTATATCTATTACCTGTATATAGCTATCACCTGTATTTAGCTATCACCTGTGAATAGTTATCACCTGTGTTTAGCTATCACCTGTGTATAGTTATCACCTGTGTTTAGCTATCACTTGTGTATAGCTCCAACTTGTGTATATCTATTACCTGTATATAGCTATCACCTGTGTTTAGCTATCACCTGTGTATAGCTATCACCTGTGTATAGCTCTCACCTGTGTAAAGGTATCACATGTGTAAAGCTCTCACCTATGTATAGCTATCACCTGTGTTTAGCTATCACCTGTGTATAGTTATCACCTGTGTATAGCTATCACCTGTGTAGAACTATCACCTGTGTATAATTATCACAATTGTATCACTATTACCTGAGTATAGCTATCACCTGTGTATAGCTATCACCTGTGTATAGCTCCCACCTGTGTATAACTATTACCTGTGTATAACTATTACCTGAGTATAGCTATCACCTGTGTATAGCTATCACCTGTGTATAGCTCCCACTTGTGTATATCTCCCACCTGTGTATAGCTCCCACCTGTGTATAGATCCCACCTGTGTATAGCTCCCACCTGTGTATAACTATTACCTGTGTATATCTATTACCTGTATATAGCTATCACCTGTGTATAGCTCCCACTTGTATATAGCTCCCACCTGTGTATATCTATTACCTGTATATAGCTATCACATTTGTTTAACTTTTATCTGTGTATAGCTATCACCTGTGTATAACTATTACCTGAGTATAGCTATCACCTGTGTATAACTATTACCTGTGTATAGCTATCACCTGTGTATAAATACTACCTGAGTATAGCTATCACCTGTGTATAACTATTACCTGAGTATAGCTATCACCTGTGTATAGCTCCCACCTGTGTATAGCTCCCACATGTGTATTACTATTACCTGTGTATAGCTATTACCTGAGTATAGCTATCACATGTGTATAACTATTACCTGAGTATAGCTATCACCTGTATATAACTATTACCTGTGTAAAACTATCACCTATGTACATACTACTGATTTAACTATTCATTTATATTTGCGAACTTAAACATATGTCTAATCTTATTAGCCAATATTCTTTCCCCTTTCCTTGCAAAATACAAATATGCGAATAAAATCAAATAACGATGTATCTTAAATGTCTTAAGGTTGGTTAGGTTATTAGAGGAACTGCCTACTGATAAATTATGAAAAGCATATTTTAATCTATGCAATTAAAAGCAATGCTGTAGAAGGTCACAGTACCTTAAAATGTCAAAGGTTACAAATTAAAAGTTTGCACATATTTGACCTTTGACCTTCAGGTCAATACACCATGATGCAAAGACGGTGCACTAGACATTGTCTATGAGAGATGCAGGTATGCTACAAGTGCCTTCATCATATCTTTGATTGTTTAAAATTTACAGCCCAGGCAAGATATTCATGAAAAATTAGCTTACCATTACCTAATGACAGTGCACTGTACACCGTCTGTGGATGATGCAGGTATGCAGTCATACTAGGTTGCTGAGTTCTTATTTTTGCCAGGATTTTAAGGAAGCGCAACTGACTGAAATTTTGTCTAGGCTGTGTTGCCCAAAACTCTGCAAAACAACTGCCCAGTACTACATATCTGCTGTTTTTTGAGATTAATACGACTTTTTACCTTAGGGGTATTAAGAGAGAGAGATTTCACTGTAATTACATCCTTATGTCATGATGTTAAATAAATAGAAGATTATGATATAAACCTACCGCTCCAATGTTTGATAAAGAAAACGTGCCTCCCGTCATGTCAGCTGTGGACAGCTTTCCCTCCAGGCCTACTATATGCAGTCGGTTGAGTTCGGCAGCAATCTCGTACACACTCAATGACTGTACATTCTTTACATTTGGAACTATCAGCCCTTCAATGGTATCCATTGCTATACCAATGTTATGAGAAGCCTAAAAGGATAATGTATGTCACAATGCACATGTAATGCCAAGCAACATGATACTTCAAAACACAATTACAAAATATCTCTATGCCATCAACCACTTTTTTTCTCTTTTTTTTACATTGTGATTAATTCAAGAACCAATTGAGGTTTTAAAGGAACCATTTTCCCCATTTAAAGTTTTACTTTAATTCGATTACATATATGGAATTCCTCTCTAACTGTATTATACTTCTACATTTTTGGTGTGTTTTTTTTTGTCTAACAAAGGATTTTAATGCAAAGAGTATGAAAAATCTTCAAAAACAGGAAGCAAATATTCCAATGGGAAAATCATTTCAAGATAATCAGTAAACTTTCCAACTCAGAAGGGAATTTTAGGAGATGAGAGATTTTATTTCTATGGGAAATACTCATAAACAGTTAACTCTGGCATATATAACATTTTAATGACCCAGCACAGTAAAGTCTGTTGGGTCTATCTCAGTTCTAGTCACATACATACCAGGTATGTACTATTTTAATGGCCCAGCACAGTAAAGACTGTCAGGCCTATCTCAGTTCTAGTCATACATACCAGGTACGTGATATTTTAATGACCCAGCACAGTAAAGTCACATACATACTACGTATGTTATATTTTAATGACCCAGCCCAGTAAAGTTACATACATACCAGGTATGTAATATTTTAATGACCCAGCCCAGTAAAGTTACATACATACCAGGTACGTGATATTTTCACATTCTTTGTCCACAGAGGCATTCAATATAGGAAACTGGTGCAACGCCATTGAGGTTGCCTGAAAAGTAATCAAATTAAATAGTATTCAAAGTAGATCAAGAAGGTTATTACAACACTTGTACTTTCAAGCCTAAAATTCATTTAACAATTGTGTGAAAGTTCCCTTATTTCAATTTCCCAACATTCAATATACTAAAGAACCAGTCATATATATTATTCCAAAGAGGTTATTTGCAATATTTGGAAAATATGTAATTTTTTAAAGAGCACAACAATATAAAACATCCAAAAGTTATTTGATACATTCAATATAAAACTCTTTCACACTGTTTCAATTTTTTGAAGATACCTAGCTGAGCCTTGTAGCTCAGAGTACAATTCAATTGTTTAGGGTTTACATTTGGTCATTTCCCATGTATTCTGAAATTAATTTCTGTTGTGTACATCAAACTGATATTTAACGAAGAATGAGACTACAGACCTTTATGATGAACGGCATGTATGAGAATTTCATTCCAGTTGCTGCTGTCAGTGCCTTTGCACTTTCCCTCAACATTACAAGTTTGGTCACATCAATTTCGTCACAGTAACCGAACAATGGGACACTATTAGCTTCCGTCATAGATTTCACCATGGCTTTTTGAACTCCCTTTATTCGTTCTGTCTTGTCCTTTCCGATCGGGATCGACACTGCTGGGACAACAGGAAGTGGGGCTGCCCTAGGTGCCGCTGGTGTAGGTACAGAAACTGGGGAAGGGGGTGCCACATGTGGTGATACAGGTGGTGCTTCTCCTTGTATGTATCTCATGATATCCTCTTTCAATACACGGCCATCTTTACCTGTACCTGTGACATCAGATAGCTTGATCTGAAAAATAATGGTTTCTGATTAGTAATAAAAGACATGTTTAGGGTTGGTAAATGTTATCAGTGTTCTCCGAAACACAAAACTGAGGGTATTTTCACCCCAAAACAGTTGGTTGTACTTGTCATCATTTCATGGAAAATTACCTCTTTATGATCATATTCACTAAAATTAAGAACAACTGCTGGTAGAAGCATGGTACTCACAGAGATTGTTTTCTATTTTAACTTCTTTAATGAAAGAATTACTTTATAAAATATCCTAGAGTAAGGGTAGGTTACTAATGTCACACAATAATAACCCAATCTTGTCACACTTACGGAGTTCTCCATGGCAATCTTACGAACAGCAGGAGTGGCAAGGACTTTCTGTTGGAGGACCTTAGGTTGTGAATGTTCATCTTCTGATGAGGAGGAGGAAGAGGAGGAACTGGAATCGTCTGACTCATCTGGACTAGAAGTCTCCTCTATAGATACAAATACTTTAAAATTAGCAGGTAAGATTTAAATATTAATTTATCAAAGAGATGTGCTTAAAGAGAATTTCTTGGTTTGTTTTTGTTTCTTTTTCCAATTTTCCAATTTTGTTACTATAACAGGCTATAAGCACTTTGAAATTAAGATCATTTGTGTTCAGATGTAATTCTGATTATACATTTTACTGCAATTATATTCTGTTAGAAGCAAAATCTAAAACAATCTTTATTTTTTATTATTAAATCTCATTGGGAATGGGGCTAAAATGTGTAGCCATGGGTGCTTTAATACCGGTCTCCGTGTCTGTTTCTATATCGACTAGCGGATCTCCAACCTGGGCAACATCATCCAGTTCGTAGTAGATTTTTCGGATGATTCCGTCATAGCGACTGGTAATGGTGACAGAAGCTTTGTCACTCTGTACCTGACAAATACTGTCAAACTGCTTCACGTGGTCTCCGACACTCACATACCTGATCAACAAAACAGTGATAAACAACAACACTCAAACTCAGGTACTTAGCCAAAAGACTGTCACAGCTATCACAATCATAATATCAATAAACTGTAGCCTGTCCTTTGTTTTGTAGATTTCTGAGTATTTTTCCAACAAACATAATTTTTCAGAAGGATACACCTGCTTATGAGCTTCTCCAACGTGTGATGGTTTGTTGTCATGTTTACAGCTGGTATCTAACACAACGTGTGATGGTTTGTTGTCATGTTTACAGCTGGTATCTAACACAACGTGTGATGGTTTGTTGTCATGTTTACAGCTGGTATCTAACACAACGTGTGATGGTTTGTTGTCATGTTTACAGCTAGTATCTAACACAACATGTGATGGTTTGTTGTCATGTTTACAGTTGGTATCTAACACAACGTGTGATGGTTTGTTGTCATGTTTACAGCTGGTATCTAACACAAGTCAAGTTAATTAACTAATTGTATAAAAACACAAGTGCCTTCACAATTTGAAACTTGATCCAATGAGAGTTTTATAAACATGATAACCAGCCACCACACGATCGAGGACTTTTGTCTCCCTCAACATTCATATTGTATCTGGAAAACTAATGTTGCCATGGATCATGATGTCATTATAAAATATCATGTCACACAGCATTGTTACGGGATATCCTAATTAAAAGATAAACCACAGAAATCAAGTCCAAAAGTCAATCAACAAAAAAATGTTTAAGAACTCCTAGCAAGTTTATTCCAATTCGTCATGATTGAGGAAACCTAGTGTTTGTTGGAGAAATTGTAATACCATGTGAATTGATGAAAAACATCACTTCATCACAACAAGTTTGTCAAAATTCCCCCTCCAGGCTAACCATAAAACCATGTATTTCTCCCTCCAGGCTAACCATAAAACCATGCATTTCTCCCTCCTGGCTAACCATAACACCATGTATTTCTACACTCCAGGATCATAAAACCATGTATTTCTACACTCCAGGACCATACAACCAAGTATTTCTACACTCCAGGATCATAAAACCATGTATTTGTCCCTCCAGGCAAAACATAAAACCATGCATTTCCCCCTCCTGGCTAACCTTAACGCCATGTTTTTTTACACTCCAGGATCATAAAACCATGTTTTTCTCCCCTCCAGGACCATACAACAATGTATTTCTACACTTGAGGACCATACAACCGTGTATTTCTACACTCAAGGACCATACAACCAAGTATTTCTACACTCCAAGACCATAAAACCATGTATTTCTACACTCCAGGACCATAAAACCATGTATTTCTACACCCCAGGACCATACAACCATGTATTTCTACACTTCAGGACCATACAACCATGTATTTCTACACTCCAGGACCATAAAACCATGTATTTCTACAATCCAGGACCATACAACCATGTATTTCTACACTCCAGGACCATGAAACCATGTATTTCTACACTCCAGGACCATACAACCATGTATTTCTACACTCCGGGACCATAAAACCATGTATTTCTACACTAGGTTCAAGATTAAAAGGAAACTCTTAAATTACACTCACAAAAATATGTGTTATATGTAACAGTAGTTGACACTGCCAACGTACATGATAATATTGTGAAAATAAAATAAACGCAATTATAGAGGATGCATTGAGTCTAAGAGTCATAAAGTATGGGAAATGTTTATAGTGAAATCTTTATTTACTATTTACTGTCATCAAGATTGATTACTAGATAAATTAGTTAGATAAGACAGTGCGTATGTAATGACAGGGTTAAAGATAGTAGTAAAGTGTCATTGAGATGGCAAGGTCATGTCAGATTTAACAGGGTGTCAGTTAAGGCAGGTGTCAGTAAAGTCAGACTCCCCTGTATATGTTGAAATGTTCAGTCACACAGCAGTGAGTCATCTTCATTAGTTCTTACCATTCTTTGACATTGACCTCTTTGATACCTTCTCCGATGTCGGCCAGTTTAAAAGGATAAGTCTTCCCACAGCACACTGCAGAAAAATTGACAAGAACGATTATGAAATTAATTGACCATGTATATCATATGTTCAACAATGAGAACCAGCTAGCCTTGATCTAAGAAATTATGTAAATGTTTTAAAAGGCAAAATATGTATAGTTGGTGTGGTACAATAAAATTTGATGCTCTATGCTACTTTTTCTAAAATTCATTTCCTGTGTACAGTTCGTGAAGTTAGGATTACAACGGTGTCACATCAGGTTTGTTTATTACTTCATTGATCTATTTAATTAAAATCAGTTTAATTTCAAATTCAAATTTTCATTTTACTCTTTATTTTCTTGTCTTTTTCTGAAAATTTACAAATTACCTACACTCAGTAATAGGTACATTGCATATATATTTAGAGTCTGGGATAATTAACCCCTCTATAACAACTACCTGTTTATAGTGATCATGATCACTATACAAATATTTCCAGGGTTTTTGCCAGGTGTTTTTGGGGTCCAGTACAGGGACCCATTCCCGATTCAAAAATGACCCTGTATTTTCCCAATTGGATTAAAAAATATGTTTATAAAAGTTTCCAGTCATTATATGTGCAGCATTTGAAGTAATACTGTCCATGAAGGAGCATTCAATAAACAAAAACACTACAAATTGATGTGTTTATATATTGCTATAAATTTAATCTAGGAAACAGCTAGAGGAAAATAAACTGCAAATCTGGAATGGTGGCACCTTAAAAAAATAAGTGAAGGTTTATACCTGTACTGGTTTGAAATGTTCTTATCTGGCAAACATTGTGGTGCTTCCATATCCTTTGGGTACGTTTCTGAGCTACTCTTGTGTTCTGCTGGTGTTTGGATTGTATTCCTCTAACAGATGCTGGAGGCTAGATAACAGATATAGTCATGATTTTAATAGTTGTTCCCCCATTATGACAGGTACAACACTTACTCCGCATTACTTACAACGGAACAATTGTGAATATTTATTTCTTGGAGTAATGGCATTACATTTGAACTGATTAAATGTAGATAAAATCTTTAGCAAATCAAAACATGATTTTGTATATAAACATAGGCTGACCGCAGGCCGCCAGGTGATGAAGCTGAATTCGACCCAACTCGCCTAGATAAGTAAGACACAAAGTCGAAACTTGTTATAAATAACATTTTTGACCGAAAATACCCACAAATACTCGTGTTCGACAAAGGATATCTCTTGAAAGGCGTCTAGCTGTCTGAAGACTTGCCATCTTCTATTGCAACTCAGAAAAACTTGTTTGCAATTAGCAAGGTGCCCGTGGAGTTTGTTAATTGAGCTCTGCAAAACGTTTGAATCGTACATTCAAAACAAACAAGCGTGTTGAAGACGCATACCATTGCCGAATGTCAACATTATCATCATGAAAAGTGTTGTCCTGAAATTAGTATTGTGCGCTGATGGTTTTTCACGGATTGCTGGTTCGAAGTCACAGTAGCCTTGATTTATAATGGAGAAATATGAAAAGATCCGTGTCGTCGGGAGAGGAGCGTATGGGTAATGAAAAGAATGAAGTGTATTAGTCTACCCGGTGCATTAGGCCTACAGGCTACACTGTTTCGCAGTTTGAACTGTTGTTCTAACAGTGGCAGTGTGTAATTTTGATGGGAGTCTATATACTAGGCATACATTTTACAATTAATTGCTTATATAGATTATCAGGTCCAGTACACTCTGCCGATTGAGCTATATAGCTGCAGTGGCGGATCCAGAGACCTATTGGGCGGGGGGNGCTCTCTTGAAATAGGTCTTTTGAGCTATTTTCATGTGATTTTCTTTTTTAAGGAAAACGAAACGAAGTCGCTTTTAAAAGAAGATTTTATCATTAGGTTGATAACAAAAGACATTAAATATAAGTATTCTTTTTAAAAAATAATGATGTAAAAAAATCAAAAATAAACATCTAAATGTATGCTTTTTGTAGTCAACATTACCATAAACCTTATTGTTTTATGCGACTTTATGCTTTAATTTACTGGAAATTGAAATCTGAGAAAATATAGCTCAATACAGCTTTAAATTATAGGTGAATATAGCTATATAGGTCTTTATAGCTTTATAGCTCAATCTGCAGAGTGTACTAGACCTGATTATAACAGAGACGTATACAACTTACACCAAACTCAATGATCTATTTTGAACTTGGTAGATATCCTCATTCGAGAAAAAATGGAATTTTTAAGTACTGGTGTAAACTATTGACTTCTAGCAACTGTATTTTAAATGCATGTTATAAAGATATGTACAATGAGTGTGAATCAAACCCACATTGTAAAAATTTGGTGGCTTCTGTTAAACAAGAACTCTGTTCTATTGGTATGTCAGAGTACTGGCAAAGCACAGAGTAGCTTCAATACACATCATTTTTTGGTTTTAGCAAAACAGAGATTGTTAGATATTTCAAAACAAGACTGTGAGACTTTTTTCTCCACCTTGTCTAAGTTCATAGTGTATCAACATATTATTGATCATGCTTGCCTTCAACCTTACTTAAGTTAACCTATCCCTGTAAAGCACAAAAAAGCAATTGTCAAAATACGACTGTCTTCACACAATCTCTTAATAGAAACTGGAAGGCATAGAAAAATTCCTTATAATTTAAGACTTTGTCCTTTCTGTAAAAATGATATAGAAGACAAATTCCACTTCATTCTAAAATGCCCCTCCTTCAGCGAACTAAGAAGTAAATATATAAAATTATATTATCGTGTTAATCCCTCTGTCTATAAATAACTCAAATTATTATCAACCGGTAATATCAAAGAATTAACTAACCTGGGTAAGTTCATATGTCATGCATGTTTACTATGTTCAACTCTGTTGGCTTCTAACTAGTTCGATTTGCAAGTTTAATTTATAAATTCCATATGCTGATTGCATCTACATTATGAAATTTTCCTTTGAATCGATGAGATGTTTATGCTCAAGATGAAATAAAGAATTTGAACTTGTATACATATATACAATGTACGTTTCTGATTATAATGAGTGTCCGGTGTGGTACTATAAAAACATTATATATACTTGTGGTTGAGGCGATAGCTTGAGTGATCTACTCTGTCAGAGCATACATGGGCTAATTATATATAATGGTGTTTCCACACAGCAAATGCTGTTACTATTCAAGTTTAATATTATCTTAAAAAGCGCCCCTTTCAGACAACTTTTCAAGTGACCGGGGATGCTTGTCATGGCAAATATGGTATGATGTATCAATTGTAACAAAGATTGAAATCTTAATTTTGAGGACATAATCAGTATAGATAATGTACATTATTTTTACCTGCAGGATTGTCCACCTTTGTCGGCGGTTGGCGGACAAGAAGCTGGTCATCATCAAACAGATCCCCGTGGAACAGATGACCAAAGAGGAACGGCAAGCTGCTCTCAATGAGGTGAAGGTCCTCTCCATGCTGTCGCATCCAAACATCATACAGTACTTTGAAAACTTCCTCGAGGACAAGGCTCTCATGATCGCCATGGAGTACGCTCAAGGTGGGAAGTCAGACATTCTACATTAGAATACACAATTCACTATAATTAAGGTGATCATTTACCTGTTCAGGTAGTTTGTGTGTGTTTTTTTAGCTCAGTGAATTCAGATGTTCTGATTTAGAATACATGTATACAATTCTCTGTACAAACTTAAATGATCATTTATGATGTGTCTGTTTAAGTCATTTGTGTGGGTCTGTTATTACTGATCTGTTTTGAAAACTAAAATCAGACGACTTCTACATAAAATAGTAACATTAACAGGATTGTTTTGATGATAATTTTACATTATACAGTAATAATAATTATGTTTTCTTAAAATAATAACTGGAAGCAACGTGGGAGTAATTTCGACGCATTTGATTACATTTATAGTAAACAAAGAAATGTTGACAAATTCATTTTATAAGCCTTTGACATGATTCGTGATAAAATTTATTAAAAGAAAATGGACAGTTGATAACTTGGGAGTACATGCTCAGCAATAAATTAATGCATTTTGTGTCATTACATATCCCTGCTCTTTTTATATATTCATGTAAAGTTGTAGTGTCAGAGTTTGTGGAAATGATGATAAAGATATTTTTTATCCCAGTACAATAATATACAAACAAATGAATCTCATCATGCAGCAATCAGAATTCAATATCTTCTAGATGAACGTTATTGTTGTTTATGTATGCCAGTTTATAGTGTACTGTTTGTACGTAGCAAGGAGGGACACTGTGGATTATAAGTCATTGTTATGTACATAAGGAAAAAATCCTGTGTACTGTGAAACCTGTGTTTACTGACATCAACATCGAAATTCAATTAAAATAAAAAAGGTAATTTATCACTTACAACAGTGCCCAAGGTGATAAATAAACATCTGTATTTCAATCAGATTATAAAAATAGACTAACCAAATGCAATTGGCTTGATAAGACTGTCGAGGATAATGATAGAAAACCAGTCTTTTGGGACCATGATCATAGATACATGTTTCCAGATTTCCCTTTAAGTCCGGTGTCAGTACTGTTGACTGTATGCTGATTTGTTTCCAGGGGGAACACTGAGTGAGGTGCTACAACAGAGGAACAACAACTTACTAGATGAAGAGGTTTGTGTAACCAAAGTTTGTCAACATTACCAACACATGTTGTCCTTGAGTTGGTTTCTGTTTTAAATATCAGGATAAAACTTATTATGTTCTTTCATGCTTGACACTAATTATGTTGCATCTTGATGTGTAATAGAGTCTTGTTAGTCCATACAACAAATTTCTGAAAACAAAACCTAGAATATTTTCTTATGAATAAATTAAATCTAAAAAAGTTGACACAAGTCAAATTTTGTATTGCCAATACTGAATGAAGTGAGACTTATTGATACAGAAGCCCAATAATTAATATCAGTTACCAGTGCTGTGTGCTCTGTTGGGAAATATGTAGCCCAAGTTTCATCTGGACCTAACACCAGGCAATTTAATAGATAGATGTGTGGTAATGTTGTAAGGCTAGTGTCCAAGCCAAACGAAACTCAGGCTAGGGAATATGTAGCTACTATATAATATTGAATATATACACAGATACAAATCTATATTTACTATTGTCTGTCTTATAGTGTATATACCTACACACAGATTTAACGATACTGTTCTTTGACAGGACATACTGAAGTATTTCGCCCAGATGTTACTGTCCCTACAACACGTACACTCCAAGCAGATCCTGCACCGAGACCTGAAGACACAGAACATCCTGCTGGACAGGAGGAAGGAGGTGGTCAAGATTGGTGACTTTGGTATATCTAAAGTACTCAGCAGCAAGAGTAAGGCATACACGGTCAGTACAGGGTGTTATAGTTAGTAAAGTCTGATCATAGATTCTACATATAACAACATGCGAAAGTGGTATCATGACTCCACAGTAATGGCTGACTGATAGTCTGAGAGTAGTGAAATCTCTTGCTGGACTAGTGGTTCTAAAAACCACCAGCCCAAATGTCTAGTCAAAATTTAATATCAAATACTTTATCATGTTGAATATTATTTGGTTAATGGAATTTGCACATGGACTTGTGAAATTGGAAACTTGGAACATGACTGACTACTAGCTTTTAAATATTAATTCTAGCCCTGATGCATACTGTACACAGGATAATTTTTGTGAAAGTGTGAATTTTGTGGTAAGGTACGTAGAGCTGCTAATGTAACAGTAAACTTTTCTTAATCGTGAATCATTAGGGTTAACACTGCAGGAATTCATCTTCTTCTAGAGAACTGCAAAGCTGACACTTTAACAGTATGTAATCTTAAGGCTCACTACACAATGGTCTGAGTTAATCTTAAGGCTCACTACACAATGGTCTGAGTTAATCTTAAGGCCCACTACACAATGGTCTGAGTTAATCTTAAGGCTCGCTACACAATGGTCTGAGTTAATCTTAAGGCTCACTACACAATGGTCTGAGTTAATCTTAAGGCTCACTACACAATGGTCTGAGTTAATCTTAAGGCTCACTACACAATGGTCTGAGTTAATCTTAAGGCTCACTACACAATGGTCTGAGTTAATCTTAAGGCTCACTACACAATGGTCTGAGTTAATCTTAAGGCTCACTACACAATGGTCTGAGTTAATCTTAAGGCTCACTACACAATGGTCTGAGTTAATCTTAAGGCTCACTACACAATGGTCTGAGTTAATCTTAAGGCTCACTACACAATGGTCTGAGTTAATCTTAAGGCTCACTACACAATGGTCTGAGTTAATCTTAAGGCTCACTACACAATGGTCTGAGTTAATCTTAAGGCTCACTACACAATGGTCTGAGTTAATCTTAAGGCTCACTACACAATGGTCTGAGTTGTTCTTAAGGCTCACTACACAATGGTCTGAGTTAATCTTAAGGCTCACTACACAATGGTCTGAGTTAATCTTAAGGCTCACTACACAATGGTCTGAGTTAATCTTAAGGCTCACTACACAATGGTCTGAGTTAATCTTAAGGCTCACTACACAATGGTCTGAGTTAATCTTAAGGCTCACTACACAATGGTCTGAGTTAATCTTAAGGCTCACTACACAATGGTCTGAGCTGTTGTGTTTTATAAACATACATCGTAGGTCCATGATAGGCTGTCAATCATCCAGGGTCATCATCGGATACAGGACTCATTTTACATTTCGTTGTCAGGTCCAACTTTTACCCGTACCATGGTACTGCAAGAACAACATACTAATACTCACCATCTTAATACAGCTTTTGGTGATTGTTTAAAAGGGGGAATTACAATGTGAAAATCTGCTCTCATAGATGATCCATTCTGTTTGCTAGTGTCTTTGGTTGCAAAATGCTTGGGAAAAATTATGAACCAGAAATTCAGATAACAGTATGTCTCTGTCTTATAATACATCATTTTCAGATTATTTTTTTCCAGAGATTTTTATTATCACTCAGGCACACTATTGTGCGCAACAAGAGGTCATCATAAAGTACAATATAACAATGATATGGTTGACCGTAAAGCAATCATCTTACTATGCTAGCGTACAATAATATAGTGGAAACTATTACACTCCTCATACAATGATAAACACAATATTACACTGTACTATCATACCTTATTATAATAGACAGTATAACGCACTGATCATACAATGACACTCATCATACACTGTGATATACATTATTACACTCATTTTACAATACTATTACGATGGTATAATACATAGCATTACATTCACACATACCGTGCGTTCACACTATGGTATAGCAGGCACTGTTGCATCCATCTTACAGTACAATCCTACAATAATATTATTACAGTATTACACATATATTACTCGCACTCCATGATACATATATTATAGATAGTATACCACACCATACAGTGCAATCATACCATGGCATAATAGTGACTATACTACTCATCATACCATATAATATTACAAAGGTATAATAGACAGTGTTACAATCCCATCATACAATACTGTAATAGACAGATAACAAACAAACCATGATAAGCAAGCTGTAACCACACTCATTATGCAATACAATTATGTTAGGTTTAGCAAATGATCAGTAATATCTATATGTATACAAAAGTTTACAGTTTGATGTGTGAAATTCACATATTATTTTTTAATTGTCTTTCTAGTAATTGTATGAACAGCGATAGATTTGATAATATTCTAACATTACATATTGATATTAATCCTTTCATTTTATGAACAGATGGATTAGAGGTGTAATAAATAGGTATATATTTTCTGCGGATTTGACTTACATAAGCATTTGAACATATAAACAAATAATGATACTCGCTTCCAACTCCAGTAAAACAAAGCGGACAGATTCTGCCTTCACGTGGTGTTCTAGTCCATCGCCCAGTCTCTATAGGCAGAGATATATTACTGGTTCTGAACTTACAGATAGTTATTCTATCTTTTTGTTTGAGCATAGTTAAGTATTTTTCAAACTGAAATTGATGTTTAAATATTGCATATGTTTGACCCCGGGAAGAATTTTCAATATCAGTATACCATTGTTGTATAAATTGGTCATACAGAATAGTTTTAAAACTAACCCTAAGGTAATTTTTATTCATAGTGCAAGTTTTTTGTTGTAACCATACGTAACTTAGTCCCGTGCAATTGAATAGATTCTTGATATATGAAATCCATTTAAAATCAGCGAAATCATTTTCATGTAAATTCAGCATAAGCTTGTACATTATACTAGACAATTTATTTTCACCTGTAATTAGTTTATACCAAAACATTATCATTCTAGATTTAATTTCAATATTCAGAGGGTGCCTACCCGTTTCACCATATACCATTATATTTGCTGTGGAGCTACGAATGTTTAAAATTCTTTTACAAAACTGTACATGTAATTTCTCAATCATATTGGTATTTTCAAACCCCCAAATTTCTGAGGAGTACAAGAGGATTGGGGATATTAATACATCAAACAATTTTAATTGTAGGTCAATTGGTAAAATAATATTTCTTATTTTTTTATATAATGCATACATTGCTTTTTGAGCCTGTTCAACAAGTTTTTTTCTTGCTTTACAGAAACTGCCATTATAATGAAACAGCAGTCCTAGAAACGAGTAACAGTCATGTGTTTGCAACTCTTCACCAAAAAGAGTAAAACGAATATTTTGTGCATTACTTTTTCTTTTTTCAAAGATAACAACTTTAGTTTTATTGAGATTAACTTTAAGTTTCCAAATAGTACAGTAAGTTTCAAATTCACGGAAAGCATTCTGTAGACCTTTAGCTGTTTCAGACATAACAACTGTGTCATCTGCATATAGCAGAATAAATAATTTAACAAATATACCCATGCGATCTTGAAATAAATTATCAATATAATGGAGTTGGTCAACATTATTTTGCATTAAAAATTCTTCTAAATCATTTAAATATATTGAGAACAAAAATGGGGAGAGATTTTCACCTTGTTTTACCCCGACGTGACATGTGAAAAAATCAGTCATACCATTGCTAGTTTTTACGCAAGATTTAGTGTTTGCATACAGATTGATTATAGCATTAAATATCTTTCCTGTGATATTATTTTTTAATAATTTCTTCCATAAACCTACTCTCCAAACAGTATCAAACGCTTTTCTGAAATCGATGAATGAACAGAATAGCTTTTTACTTTTTGAAAAGTATATAGATATTAAAGCATGAAGGATAAATATATTTTCAGTTGTAGAATAGCCTTTCCTAAAACCAGCTTGAACATTGGAAATTAGATCAATTTCTTCTGAAAGTCTATTTAATCTAGAGTTCAAAATAGCAGTAAATACTTTGCCAAGACATGAGACTAATGTAATAGCTCGATAGTTATCGAGATTTTTAGGGTCACCCTTCTTTTTGTATATGGGTTTTATTACTCCAATTGTCCATGCTTCTGGTACACGGCCAGAGTTCAATATAACATTAAAAAGTTTAACATATATAGGTAGTAGTATAGACTGTGTATTTTTGATATGCTCATTTAATATATTATCGATACCCGGCGCTTTATTATTACGAAGGTTAACTATAACCTGTCTAATTTCATTTTCAGTCACATCACTATTTAGTATAAAATCAAACATATTTTCATTCATATCTGGAATAATAAACTCATCCTCATCTTCATCTTCATCTGAACTATTTAATTTCTTGAAGTATTCATATAGCTCGTCCAAAGATATATCAGCATCACTGTTATCATTTTTAGATTTATTGAATGAATTTAAAATATTCCAAAAATCTTTAGGATTTGATTTTGACGTGATTCGTATTTGATTTTCAATGTTATGTCTATATGTGTTATAGCTCTTTTTAAGGACCTTTTTATAGTCTCTAGAGGTTTTATTCATATTAACTCGGTTACTACTGGTTCTATGATTTTCAAATTTATGTTTTGCATAAAAAAAGGCACGCCTTTTTCTGTGACAGTCAGCTGTAAACCATGGCTTATCATTAGCAACTTTATGTGTATTGAGTGTTCTATAAGTTTGTTTTAATCCGAAAGTATCGGTAGCTGAAATTCGGAACAACTCGGAAATATAATTAACTACATCATTTACTTCAGACTGACTGACAGAAGGTTTGTCAGACAAAACATTAAGTGCATCATTTATGCGGTTTAATTCATCGACAGAACAACTTTGTACATGATGTATAAATTCATTTTTCTTATCATTCTTCCATGTTATATATCGACCTTGACCATTACCTTGACCTTGACCAACATGCATATTATCAGAGTCATTCGTGTTTTTCAAAAAGCCACTGAGAGTAAAAAATAACCTACAATGCACATCGGATATTGTTGGATCAAACTCAAGAACTTCAAATTCATTTATAGGGTTAGGGTTAGGGTCAGGTCCAACTTTTACCCGTACCATGGTACTGCAAGAACAACATACTAATACTCACCATCTTAATACAGCTTTTGGTGATTGTTTAAAAGGGGGAATTACAATGTGAAAATCTGCTCTCATAGATGATCCATTCTCTTTGCTAGTGTCTTTGGTTGCAAAATGCTTGGGAAAAATTATGAACCAGAAATTCAGATAACAGTATGTCTCTGTCTTATAATACATCATTTTCAGTTGAATACTTCCACCTTTCCATTTCTTTGTACTGTAATTTACCGACTCGTTTATTTTCAGGTAGTGGGAACACCTTGCTACATTTCTCCAGAACTTTGTGAAGGAAAGCCGTATCCTTTTGACCTCTGTACACCACTACAGTTGGATTTATGTATTTGACCGGGGATTTTAAGCAAGCAAAAATGTCGCCATCGATCAGATCATGTTTAACAGTCAGTTTAGTTCAAAATAAACTCGAGAGATAATCAAAAATAAACTTAATAGATAAACACTTAATCATTTTAATTAGGTGTTCTTTAAATTAAATCTTGTTTGACCTTGACCTTGATGAGCTACAACCAAAAGAGTGACATATGGGCCCTGGGGTGTGTGCTGTATGAACTGGCCAGTCTTAAAAAGGCCTTTGAAGCAGCGGTAAGTTCTTATGTCAATTGTTGTTCATTTGATTACCTTATTTTTGTGTAGTTTTAATCTGCATGTCAAAAGTATCTATATCACAGTAAAAATTCATTCAATTGTAAATATATTTGAAGAATCTAATGAAAAATGTTTTTTGAAACTTAAATATATGACTTCACTTTCATATATTAAGAATCTCCCAGCTTTGATCCTGAAGATTATGCGAGGGACTTTCGCGCCAATATCAGAGACATACAGTGAAGAGTTGCGGTCCTTGATCTTAAGTATGCTTCACCTGGACCCAAACAAACGACCACATATCAATCAGATCATGGCCCAACCAATTGTGTCCAATGCATTGCTGAACCTCCACACAGAGATGGGAAAACTTCCATGTACAAGGTAAGTACAGGTGTCCTCCACACAGAGATGGGAATACTTCACTGGTGACCTCCACACGGAGATGGGGAAACTTCCATGTACAAGGTAAGAGCTGGTGACCTCCCCACAGAGATGGGAAAACTTCCATGTACAATGTAAGTACTGGTGACCTCCACACGGAGATGGGGAAACTCCCATGTACAAGGTAAGTACTGGTGACCTCGACACAGAGATGGTAAAACTTCCATGTACAAGGTAAGTACTGGGGACCTCCACACGGAGATGGGGAAACTTCCATGTACAAGGTAAGTACAGGTGACCTCCAAACGGAGATGGGAAAACTTCCATGTACAAGGGAAGCACTGGTGACCTCCACACGGAGATGGGTATACTTCCATTTACAAGGTAAGTACTGGTGACCTCCACAAAGAGATGGGAAAACTTCCATGTACAAGGTAAGTACAGTGACCTCCACACAGAGATGGGAAAACTTTCATGTACAAGGTAAATACTGGTGACCTCGACACAGAGATGGGAAAACTTCCATGTAAAGGGTAAGTACAGGTGACCTCCACACGGAGATGGGAAAACTTCCATGAACAAGGTAAGTACTGGTGACCTCCACACTGAGATGGGAAAACTTCCATGTACAAGGTAATTACTGGTGACCTCCACAAGGAGATGGGAAAACTTCCATGTACAAGGTAATTACTGGTGACCTCCACACAGAGATGGGAAAACTTCAATGCATAAGGTAAGTAGTGGTGACCTCCACACAGCGTTGTACGGTATAAGAAGGGGGGAAGTTCTTGTTTGTGTATGTATTGTTATTCTCTATGTTAATGTACATTTTTGAAGGTTCAAAACAATTTTTTTAATTTCCTCAGCGCATTGATCATGTACAAGGTAAATACTGGTGACCTCGACACAGAGATGGGAAAACTTCCATGTACACGGTAAGTACTGGTGACCTCCACACAGGGATGGGAAAACTTCCATGTACAAGGTAAGAACTGGTGACTTCCACACAGAGATGGGAAAACTTCCATGTACAAGGAAAGTACTGGTGACCTCCACACGGAGATGGGGAAACTCCCATGTACAAGGTAAGTACTGGTGACCTCCACACGGAGCTGGGGAAACTTCCATGTACAAGGTAAGTACTGGTGACCCCCACAAGGAGATGGGAAAACTTCCATGTACAAGGTAAGGACTGGTGACCTCCACACAGAGATGGGAAAACTTCCATGCACAAGGTAAGTACTGGTGACCTCCACACAGAAATGGGAAAACTTCCATGTACAAGGTAAGTACTGGTCACCTCCACACAGAGATGGGAAAACTTCCAGGTACACGGTAAGTACTGGTGACCTCCACACAGAGATGGGAACACTTCCATGTACAAGGTAAGTACTGGTGACCCCCACAAGGAGATGGGAAAACTTCCATGTACAAGGCAAGTACTGGTGACCTCCACACGGAGATGGGGAAACTTCCATGTACAAGGTAAGTACAGGTGTCCTCCACACAGAGATGGGAATACTTCACTGGTGACCTCCACACGGAGATGGGGAAACTTCCATGTACAAGGTAAGTACTGGTCACCTCCACACAGAGATGGGAAAACTTCCAGGTACACGGTAAGTACTGGTGACCTCCACACAGGGATGGGAAAACTTCCATGTACAAGGTAAGGACTGGTGACCTCCACACAGAGATGGGAAAACTTCAATGCATAAGGTAAGTAGTGGTGACCTCCACACAGCGTTGTACGGTATAAGAAAGGTGGAAGTTCTTGTTTGTGTATGTATTGTTATTCTCTATGTTAATGTACATTTTTGAAGGTTCAAAACAATTTTTTTAATTTCCTCAGCGCATTGATCATGTACAAGGTAAATACTGGTGACCTCGACACAGAGATGGGAAAACTTCTATGTACAAGGTAAGTACTGGTGACCTCCAAACGGAGATGGGAAAACTTCCATGAACAAGGTAAGTACTGGTGACCTCCACACGGAGCTGGGGAAACTTCCATGTACAAGGTAAGTACTGGTGACCTCCAAACGGAGATGGGAAAACTTCCATGAACAAGGTAAGTACTGGTGACCTCCACACTGAGATGAGAAAACTTCCATGTACAAGGTAAGTACTGGGGACCTCCACACGGAGATGGGGAAACTTCCATGTACAAGGTAAGTACAGGTGTCCTCCACACAGAGATGGGAAAACTTCCATGAACAAGGTAAGTACTGGTGACCTCCACACGGAGATGAGAAAACTTCCATGTACAAGGTGATTACTGGTGACCTCCACACAGAGATGGGAACACTTCCATGTACAAGGTAAGTACTGGTGACCCCCACAAGGAGATGGGAAAACTTCCATGTACAAGGCAAGTACTGGTGACCTCCACACGGAGATGGGGAAACTTCCATGTACAAGGTAAGAGCTGGTGACCTCCCCACAGAGATGGGAAAACTTCCATGTACAAGTTAAGTACTGGTGACCTCCACACAGAGATGAGAAAACTTCCATGTACAAGGTAAGTACTGGCGACCTCCACATACAGATGGGAAAACTTCCATGTACAAGGTAAGCCCTGGTGACCTCCACTCGGAGATGGGAGAACTTCCATGTACAGGGTAAGTACTGGTGACCTCCACACAGAGATGAGAAAACTTCCATGTACAAGGTAAGTACTGGTGACCTCCCCACAGAGATGGGAAAACTTCCATGTACAATGTAAGTACTGGTGACCTCCACACGGAGATGGGGAAACTCCCATGTACAAGGTAAGTACTGGTGACCTCCAAACGGAGATGGGAAAACTTCCATGTACAAGGTAAGCACTTGTGACCTCCACACGGAGATGGGGAAACTTCCATGTACAAGGTAAGTACTGGTCACCTCCACACAGAGATGGGAAAACTTCCATGTACAGGGTAAGTGCTGGTGACCTCCACACAGAGATGGGAAAACTTCCAGGTACACGGTAAGTACTGGTGACCTCCACACAGGGATGGGAAAACTTCCATGTACAAGGTAAGCCCTGGTGACCTCCACTCGGAGATGGGAGAACTTCCATGTACAGGGTAAGTACTGGTGACCTCCACACGGAGATGGGAAAACTTCCATGTACAAGGTAAGTACAGGTGTCCTCCACACAGAGATGGGAATACTTCCATGTACAAGTTAAGTACTGGTGACCTCCACACAGAGATGGGAAAACTTCCATGCACAAGGTAAGTACTGGTGACCTCCACACAGCGTTGTACGGTATAAGAAGGGTGGAAGTTCTTGTTTGTGTATGTATTGTTATTCTCTATGTTAATGTACATTTTTGAAGGTTCAAAACAATTTTTTTAATTTCCTCAGCGCATTGATTTGATGTAGGCAGGCTTTAGGTGCCAATGGTTCCCCTTTTAACAACCACAGGCCCTCAGATGAGGCATTATTTAATTCACATTTTATTACATAATACCAATTAGAAATACATTGATTTTGCTAAATATGAAGTAAATAGTGATTACACAGCTAAAACTAAAAATATTTATTTGCCGTAAACAGGTAAATTTGATGCAAAAATTTCAAAAATTGAATATTTGTTTTTCAGAGTTCACAGACCAATGCCAACACCTGCCATTAACCGTCCTCAACGCGGGAACAAGAGCTCCAGAGGTAGGGAGGGGGCATTATTACAACAGAGCAATTATTTATTACATCTTATATGTATAGACATATAAAGCATGTATCCTGGTATAATATTATATTTAAACCTGGATTACATGTTTTGATTTATTCTTCTCCACCAAGAAGGACTATTATAAGAGTTCATTGTCAGTTCTGGTACCTACAAACCCGCTTAACAGCTGATTAAGTATGTGGTTCATCATGATGTTACTTTGCAGCTGTTTAGCGGGTTAATGTAGAAAGATCCCTCCAATACTTTTTGAGATATAGCTCAAACGAGAATTGCTTAAGGACAGACAGAATAATCTATAGATTGATGAATGGACAACAGACCACAGATAAAGGGTGATTTGAACAGCTCACCATCTGATGATGCTGGGCTAAAACAAAAGGTGGGTGGCATGGGTTAAAAAAGATTCTCCATATCTCCAACCTCATATTTACTTCCTAAGTATATCTGTGGTCTGTTGTCCATTCATCATTCTATAGATTATTCTGTCTGTCCTTAAACATTTCTCGTTTGTGCTATATCTCAAAAAGTATTGGGGGGATCTTTCTCTCCAATTTCGCATGCAGAGTCCTTTTGGTCTTTAGTTGTGCATAGTGAATTTTGGAACTGATCGAAAAACCAAAAAGGGGAAGAGGCAGCCATCTTGAATTTTAAAAGGGGTTGAGTTTGTTGGCGTTAGCGTCATTTCTCAGAAAATACTGGAGTGATCTTCCTCTAAAATTGATATGAAGATTCAACATGGTTCCTAGTGATTCATATTAAATTTGGGGAATGATCAGAAAACAGTGAAGTGAAGATGGCTTTTGAGGGTCAGAGATTGTTAGAACTTTTTCCAAAAAGTAGGAGATCTTTATCGAATTTCACATGTAGGCTTCACATGGTCCAAAGTTTCCATATTTAACCTTGGAACTGATTGTAAAACCAAGATGGATGACAGCTGGCCATCCTGAATGAAATTTAAGAGCTGAAGTTTACTAATGCTATTTCTCAAGAAGTACCAGACAGATCTTGATCAAGTTTCATGTGTTGACCTTCATTGGTCTGAAGTTTTACATGTTACATTTTGAGGCTGAACAGAAAAACAAAATGGTTCCCTTCAAAGAATAATGTCATAAACGGAAGTATAAAGTTTTGACCAAATGTTACTCTAAGGTGCATTAACTATTTTACATGAAACAATATAATAGATTACAGAAAAAAAAGAAATAAAGACAGTCTTGCATATAACAGATGAAGATAGTACAATGGTGTGCACCAAGATTACCTGGGATCATCTATGCAGACCAACTATACAGATTTTAACATTCACTCCAACCATATTATCAATTATACCGAGTAAGTGCACTAGATAAAATAGTTTATTTTAACTTGTTGCAGATACGCTATCTTCCAAGCCACCATCCATGAGCTCAGTTTACTGTTGGGGTAATGGGATGACAACTCCTCTGAAGCTACCCCTCCCCACTAGTGACACACAAGTTACCCAGGTCTCCACGGGTCGTTCACAGCGTGCCTCTATTACCAAAAACGGACGCCTGTTTGTGTGGGAGGTAAGTTTGTGTATCGGGAAATCTTCACTGGATTAATGTTCAGGACAGGTTATAGGATCTTAGGATTTATTCACCAAACTTGTATAACAGATTTTATCAACAAAACTTTTTTGATGCTAGAAAACAAACACTATTTCTGTTTTATGCAACACACGTAATACATTGAACAGACAGAATAGTAGAAAAAAGATTTCATCGATTAAACTTTGAGGGAAAATGCCGACATTATGGCTTAATATCTACAAAATCGTTCCCCAGATTTAAGACCATAAGCTACAGCGAGAGACTACGAGGAGTGAAGCTTCCAACTCTAACATACAGGCGCTTGCGCGGAGATATGATCAACATGTTCAAGTTTATGAATGACCTATATGATCCAAATTTGGTGGAGGGATTGTTCGAGCTCACTGCTCAAGGAAAAACTTGTCATTTAAATATTAGAAAAAACTACTTTACTCAAAGAATAATTGATAAATGGAATAGTCTCACACAAGATGTTATTTCATCTCGTAACGTATTTGACTTTGAGAAAAACTTGGACAAATTCTGGAAAGATCTTGAGTTGAAGAACGATCATACAGCACCTTATTTATAGGCTTATTTTATGTTTACCACAATGAACTTCAAACTATATTGATGTGGATATAGAGGCAGCAATGCCTGCGTCCACAAATATCCTATTAAATCCCATTAAATATTGCCATCAAAAGCACCAACTATTTAATTCTGCTTTAAAAGGCTGCATGTTTTGAGGGGATAAGAAAAGGTGTATATACATGTATGTTGTGACCCCTCCCATCACGCTTCATTCAATGATGTACGCAAACAAAGACATGTGTGCAGTTTATTTACAACATTACAGCCGCACACTTATATATTACCATAAAAACAAAAAGGTCACAAATATATGATACCAGACTAACACTGCACTGTAGAATATATTGTTGAGAAATTAGCCTATCAAAGCTAAAAGATTTTAGTTTGTAGTAAAATGTATAACTATTGTTACACCCAAGAAGAGTACCAAGGATCTAGATATATTTCAGGTACTATATGATATGAGAGTGTGATTTAATCTCTGTGATACCCACACCTTTATGTTTTCCTCAGGCCTCCGTTGGAACAGACAATTTAATGCCAGGGGCAACTGAAGGTCAATCTTTAGGGTTCATCCCCCGGTACCTAGAGGGCCAGTCTGCTGTTAACCTACAGCATGTGTCATGTGGGGACCTCTTTACAGCTTGTCTCACAGGTAACTTATATCTCACAGGTAAATCATATCTTAAACTATTTCACAGGTAACTCAAGCCTGATCACAGGTTACTCCTTTTTCACAGGTATCTTATATCTGTTCACAGGAACAATATTGTCTCACAGGTAACTCGTTTCTTATTACAAGTATAGCTCAAGTCTCATCACAGGTAAGTGGTGTCTGCTCACAGGTAACTCATGTCTGATCACAGGTAACTGGTGTCTGATCATAGGTAACTCGTGTCTGATCACAAGTAACTCATGTCTGATCACATGTCTGATCATAGGTAACTTATATTGGGTCACAGGTAACTCGTGTCTGATCACAAATAACTCATGTCTGATCACAGGTAACTCATGTCTGATTATAAGTAACTCATGTCTGATCACATGTAACTCATGTCTGATCACAGGTAACTTGTGTCTGATCACATGGGTAACTTGTGTCTCAGAGGTAAATCATATCTTGCGGGTAGCTCATTTCAAATAGGTTACTCCACACTAGACCATAAGTGTTCATTTGTATATGAATATTATGAGAAATCTCATACTTCAACTGCAAACAAATAATTTAGGAAAGTAGACAAAGTGATGAAAACAGTCTTAGAGTACCGTGGTGTAGCTGACGATTAAACGTTTTGTTGCTGTAGATCGTGGTATCCTAATGACATTTGGTAGTGGTGCCAACGGATGCCTAGGCCATGGAAACTACAACGATGTCGTACAGGTAAAGTTGTGGGTGTAACAAAACAATAATGAAGCTTTCATTTTGGTACATACCTAGGAAATATGTAAAAGGAAAATCAAATATGCTGCAAACAATACCCGGTATTTTACTCAATAAGTCAACACAATCATAATGTACTTTAACAAAAAAAAATCTATTGAAATGCACTAAGCAGTCAAATGATATTTTACGAAAAGTAGAAATTTCATGTTAAATTTGATTGATATTTGATTTGTTTATTATTTTATATCAGAAGTGAGATGGCCTTTGTTTAATAGTGATCTCCAGATATGAATATTAAACTTTTAATGTCCAGATGATACTGTACAGTCCTGTGTAAATTGTATTGTTGTTGATAACAGGCCAAGATTGTGGAGTCGTTGCTAGGCTATGAGGTAGTACAGGTGTCGTGTGGCGCCACCCACGTACTAGCTGTCACTAACGAACATGAAGTGTTTGCCTGGGGACGGGGTGATAACGGTTAGTACAGCCAATCAAAGCAGGCTTTGGGGGCGGGGGGATAACGGTTAGTATAGCCAATCAAAGCAGGCTTTAGGGACGGGGGGATAACGGTTAGTACAGCCAATCAAAGCAGGCTTTGGGGACGGGGTGATAACGGTTAGTATAGCCAATCAAAGCAGGCTTTAGGGACGGGGTGATAACGGTTAGTACAGCCAATCAAAGCAGGCTTTGGGGAGGGGGTGATAACGGTTAGTACAGCCAATCAAAGGAGGCTTTGGGGACGGGGTGATAACGGTTAGTTAGTACAGCCAATCAAAGCAGGCTTTGGGGACGGGGTGATAACGGTTAGTACAGCCAATCAAAGCAGGCTTTAGTGACGGGGTGATAACGGTAAGTACAGCCAATCAAAGCAGGCTTTGGGGACGGGGTGATAACGGTTAGTACAGCCAATCAAAGCAGGCTTTGGGGACGGGGTGATAACGGTTAGTACAGCCAATCAAAGCAGGCCTTGGGGATGGGGTGATAACGGTCAGTACAGCCAATCAAAGCAGGCTTTGGGGACGGAGTGATAATGGTTAGTACAGACAATCAAAGCAGGCTTTGGGGACGGGGTGATAACGGTAAGTACAGCCAATCAAAGCAGGCTTTGGGGACGGGGGGATAACGGTTAGTACAGCCAATCAAAGCAGGCTTTGGGGATGGGGTGATAACGGTTAGTACAGCCAATCAAAGCAGGCTTTGGGGATGGGGTGTTAACGGTTAGTACAGCCAATCAAAGCATGCTTTGGGGACGGGGTGATAACGGTAAGTACAGCCAATCAAAGCAGGCTGGGGTTTTTAATAACTCTATAGAGAGAGAAAATAGCTCGAGTTAAAGATACACTATTATTCAAAGCTTCGTTTGCTAATTTGGCTTTATTAGCCATAAGTTCTAACTTTCAAATTGTTAAATGTCTTATCGTTAAAAAATTTAGTTGTGTTCATATCACAATTTTTGTGAAAAATGGCACGTGATATAAAGAGGCATTTACTGTATACATTTTTCTTTTGCAATTTGTGTGTTATTGATCATGATTGCATATAGACTTTGACCCTTTTTGTGACCTTGACACAGGTCGACTTGGCCTTGGTAGCCAGGACTCGTTCTCCACACCTCAGATGGTCCCGGTACCTAAACCACATCATCCGTCCTCTGTCCATTGTGGGATGGACTGCTCAATGATCCTCACACTAGAAAACAAACTTCTGTGTTCTGGAAGTAACAGGTAGATACCTGGACCTGTATTCATAAAACTGTCCTCAAGCTGAAGTTTGGATTCTGTGCTCAAACTAACTTTCTTTTAACTCGCTTATATCATATAACATCAACAAAAAGTCAAGTGTAAACACAGTAAAACAGTATTTGGCTAAAGGTCTTCCCAAAATTCTTCCAAATCTTTGATAAAATGTTGTTGGGTTTTTTTGAATTTATTACCAGAAAATGAGTTTGAGCACAGAATATGAGTTTGGGTACGAGAACAGTTTCATGAATAAGGGCCCTGATTAAGTAAAAAATATTAAACCTGATCTGACATGCCTTGACATGGCCTGACCATAGAACATGTTTAGTATGAACAATTTTATAGCAAATTTTAGCCTATAACAAGGTCACAACTCTGTCCTCTAGAGAGGAATAGTCTCATACCATCAAATTCTTTATCAAATTGATACGACAGCTTCCTTTCATGTCTTTCTATATTCCTGCTTAACAGTATAACTTTATGAGCCTGTATTCTTCTGTTTGGTCACTCAACTTCATAAGTAGACATTCCTCCTGTGTTGATTTTAATGATTAACATATTTTCTTACAATGATGAGGAAAACTTGGATGTGTGTCTTTTACCTTTTCATTTATTTGATGTAATTTTATGATATCCTTAAGCATGTTGTTTTTACCTTAATTCACCTTAATATCCTATTCTGTGTTCATGTTACCAGTTTACAACTTTATGATTCTCCCAGGTACAATAAACTAGGCCTTGACGAGATTGGACCAGATGGCAGCTGTTCTAAAGTTGTAGAGGATGTGTACAATTTCATGAGTATTGCATCACATCCTATTAATGAGATGGCGGTAAAAATGGTTGCACTAGGGACATCCCACTCAGGTGTTGTAACAGGTGAGTTTTGGCTATTACAACAGGTGTCAAATTATCGTTTAATACAATATTAAATGTAATATGTATATGTATTGTGGAACACTAAATTATAAGCGCTTTATTTTTCGTACTTTAATGAGGGTCCAAATGAAACACAGAGTGAAAAATATTATTAAAAATCTGCCTAAAAAGACCATTGATGGGAGAAAGCAAAATTAGTCGTAATAGAAAGATGGTCTTTATAAACAGGTTATAAAGAAAGAAAAGTATTTTTGGTATTCTTATGGTGATAGTTACAAGTAGTGGGTCTTAAAAGGCATGTTTCTCTGTTATACAGTACAAGTAATGATAAGTATTGCTGTCGTATTGTTTAATTAAATACAGCATGAATTAAGTATAGCAGAACCATGTTAATTCACCATCACCTATCTGACTGGCCCTTTTGATTCACCTTAAACAGGAAATAAACATTCATGAAACACCTGAATCGTCCACACCTGTGAAAAAAAAAAAGGTTGCTTTTAATTTACCATTAAACAGAATTAGTTGATGCAATAAGATGTTGAACCATTAATTTTATATTTGTTGATTGTGTTGTGACAGTGGAGGGTCAGTGCTATGTGTTCGGATCTAACCAGTTTGGACAGTTGGGAAATTCTGAGGGTACACACAGACAGATACAGCTAGTGCAAGCTCTCCTTAACCAGAAGGTGACATTGGTAGCCTGTGGGGATACATTTACAGTGGCGGCCATTGAAGGTGAGCAGATATATTTTGCAAGGATGTTGAGGTAGATTTCTTTTTTTTCGCAATAATTTTCTCTCTTTTGTGTAATTGACAATCTCATCTCAGAAAGTTTGGTTTGTTCCCGGTCGTCAAATTATCTGTAACATTTGAATAGGATATGAGTGATCACTGTGCCAAAATCATGGCAAGATAAAAAGTAGTCCCAATATTAGGAAAATAGGACAGGGATTTACATGATAAAAAGTAGTCCCATGATTAGAAAAATAAGACAGGGATTTACATGTTAAACCACATTCTGTTGAATATTCTGATCACGGAAGTTCGTCTGAAGATTGAGAGCTCTGTAGTACAATGCTATATACACCTTCTTGTTTACAGAGGAAGAGGAGTACCTGGGGAAATATGTATAACATTATGTGTAACAATGTTTTGTATACAGAGAGGTGTTCTCCAGGGGAACAATGTATAACAATGTTTTGTATATATAGAGGTGTTCTCAAGGGTAGCAGTGAAATACAATGTTTTTATACAGAGAGGTGTTCTCCAGGGGAACAATCTATAAAAATGTTTTGTACACAGAGGGGGAGGTGTATTCCAGAGGTACTTCTTGAGACAATGTATTGTAATTATTATGAGAAGTGTTTTTTTCACACAACCAATAAGATTACGCTTTGTTAACACTTGGTCATAGATGTGCAAAAGTCTGAGCCCCCTCGTCTCGATTTAGAACTTGCCCACTACGGCGTATCAAGATTGCTTCCTTTATCTGCCGTTGGAACAGATTGCTCTCTCTGTCCAAAACTTTGGAGTTATCCAAGTCAATCACATGGTTTTTCTGTGTGGCATGGTCTGTGATTGCCGATTTATTTATCTGTGACCCTGACTGTTTTCTTTCTGATCTGGTGAATTTCCTACCTTCTTGGGTTTCTGTGTCTTTCCGGTGTTCACCAAGGCGGACCCCAAATTGCCTTCCAGTCTCTCCAATAAATGATGCATCACAATTTTTGCATCCGATTTTGTATATGCATTCTGCGACGTTTGCTTTAGGATGGTTTCGGATATACCTATTATATACGGGATGACCACTTGACCTTTGGTTTTGTTCTTCTCCTTGATTGGCCTTTTCTTGTTCTTCTCCTTACTTTGACACTGTTTTTTACCTGTTTTAGGGCCCATTCTAGATATACACATGTTCTCATTGCCCTAGCGATGTGATTCTGCTCTTGATTTTGTTTTGCATACAATGTAATGGTAATAGTTTATTCTTGGGTAAAACTGTTTCACAACATTTTTTATTCAGATGGTTGTTTTCTAACAGTGAAGTACCATGCGTTCTTTACAGAGGGAGAGGTATACTCCTGGGGAAACAGTGCACGAGGCAGACTAGGAAGGTCAGACGCAGAATCTTCACCCAAGAAAGTAAATCTATCCTCAGATGAACTCTTCTCTGTCATATCTATATCCTGTAACCATGGAAACACACTGCTGGCAACTAGACGTAAGCTGTCTTCCTTTTTTCTCATAAATTCCCCATCCATCACTTTCAGTTCAATAGCGAATTTTATCATTTTGTCAGGAGCTATATTAAAAAGCTATAGCCATTATAATTTCTGTGGACATGGTTTCATTTTTAACACCACATTGAAATTGGTTGAAAGGTGTCATAATTTTGCATAGTTATTTTAACCGCAGATCCGTCCTGTAATCATTAAGTACAATTATGCTATATAAACTAAAGAAAGTAATAGCAAAAGAATTGAAGAAGTCATTTGCAGGTATACACCTTGTCAGACTTTGTAATAATGCAATTACCATGTGTTTTCTACTGTAGGCACAAATATAATAGAGAGCTATTGATAGATCAAATCAAGAGGCTTTTTCTCCATAATAATTGTTTTTTTATTGAATTTTACAATTTTTTGCCAAGTTGAGAAATAAGAAAAAAAATGCTTTTTTGTTGTCCAGCTGTCCAAAGAACTGACAGTCCCTCTATGGAACAGTGACACCTTTATATACAAACACTGTGTATAATGACCAGCCCTCCATGGAACATTGATGTTTGTGTATAATGACCATCCCTCCATGGAACAGTGATGTCTATGTATACTGACCATCCCTCCATGGAACAGTGATGTTTGTGTATAATGACCATCCCTCCATGGAACAGTGATGTTTGTGTATAATGACCAACCCTCCATGGAACAGTGATGTCTATGTATACTGACCATCCCTCCATGGAACAGTGATGTCTATGTATACTGACCATCCCTCCATGGAACAGTGATGTTTGTGTATAATGACCATCCCTCCATGGAACAGTGATGTTTGTGTATAATGACCATCCCTCCATGGAACAGTGATGTTTGTGTATAATGACCATCCCTCCATGGAACAGTGATGTTTGTGTATAATGACCATCCCTCCATGGAACAGTGATGTTTGTGTATAATGACCATCCCTCCATGGAACAGTGATGTTTGTGTATAATGACCATCCCTCCATGGAACAGTGATGTCTGTGTATACTGACCATCCCTCCATGGAACAGTATACAGTTGTTTCATGCCTTATCAGTCAACAGTCAAAACTATTTTCCCGAGGAGTTGGGACCCTCCAGATGAACTGTTTCCCGCGGCCGCAGTGATGTTTGTGTATAATGACCAACACTCCATGGAACAGTGATGTTTGTGTATAGTGACCATCCCTCCATGGAACAGTGATGTTTGTGTATAAGGACAGTCCCTCGAAAGAACATTGACACCTGTGTATAATGAATGTCCATCCATGGAACAATTATACCTGTGTATAATGACGATCCCTCCATGGAACAGTGACACCTGTGTATAATGACCATCCCTCCATGGAACAGTGGCACCTGTATATTTTTACTGTCTGACCATGGAACAGTGGCACCTATTCCTTCATTGAAAAATGATACTTAGATGCAGATTTTTTTGATTTTTTTTAAAATATAGGCTATAAGTTGCTTGTTAGGGTATATGACGTACCTGTTTGTGATAGATGTAGATGCTGGTGGATGCTGGTTGTCAGAGATGAAGGCTGTGTTTGTGATGTGTAATGTATCTTACGCTAATGTATCAAAAGTAGTGTTACATTCAAAATCTGTCTCATATGTTTTGCTTATACTCCAGATGATTGTTCTCTGTTCTATATGTTTTATGTTATGGAATCCAACAATAAGGAAGCATCAAGTAAACTTGTTGGATGTAATTATTGAAATATGATGTTACCTGTCCGAATAAAACCTGTACAATCTGGAATTCTGTATAAAACAGATTTCCAATTTAATATTTTATGTACTTAACATTACATTATGGAAGTTGTAAATCTAAAATGAAAGTTCATGTGTGCTCTATCCAAAACTTGTTTATTTTTGAGAAATGCAATATTTTAAAAGACTTTATCGTTGAATCCAAACACAAATTTTGGAGGTTACATAAGCATATTTAATGGTTTTTTTTATATTACATAGTTGAATATTTGATGCTATATTACATATCTTCGTGATATTATGTGTATCATTTTACTATGCATCATTGACTGTCTACGCAGATCCGTCCTGTATCTCACTGTGATAAATATCATGTATGAAAACTACAGACCTTTGTTGTGTGTTACGTTACTTGGGAATGCATCCCACTCAACCGTAGAATGCTAATCACTTCACTGGACAAAGTCATCAACTTTACCTGACAAGATCACCTACTCTTCCCGGGATGGCGAACCATTCCACGTGGTCAGATTGGGAAGATCATCCAGTTTCCTGTGAAGGTCATACACTCGATTTAGTAAGGTCAGCTGATCATCTACACCTGGTCTTGTTGGAAATTGTCTAAAAGATGTCTTCAGATATAAGTCCATGTTACAGCTGTTAATGTTTCCATAGCTACTAGCAGTGTTGTTGTGTGTTTGTCCATTCACTTGGGCCTTTTACTTAAGTACCAGAACCGAGACAAATTTATAAAAAAACAACTTACAAATGATAAAATTGGCAACCTCTTTGTCTATTGATTGACATTGACTATCATGGTCTCTGTTTCATTTTGTTTTATGCAATAAACAACATCGTACTGAACATCAAGTCCAATGATTTTATTTATAGTACAGATACAACAATGCAGTATGTAGGATATCATTAAGACATGTACAGCTGAAGTATCCACCCGCATACATCATACATCATACATCTAATCACAGTTGTCAAGGAAGTAGGCAGGGGGCCTGGAAACAGTTGATTGGGAACTCTTAAGTGAATGTCTAATAAGAAAATGTTGTCAATATAAATGTAAAAGTCAGATGGACGCACTGACAAAGTGGTTACTATACACCCCCTAACTAAGAGAACGTATAGTACACAGAAAAAAGTTAGATATTTAGATACTTTATGCACACTGTTATGATTGTATTGTAAACGACGATAAAAAGTCTGTTGTCATTGTGAGGAGATTGATGTAATTACATATCAATATAAACATAACGGTGAAATATTATGCTAAATAGTTGAAATATTCTTTTACTGTGTATGTACTCATCAGAATGCAAGTGTGTATGCACTAACACATAAGCAGTTAAGAGTTTCTTTAAGTAACATGTAACAATCCTTGTTAGGGCCCGGCATCAGAGATACAGGTGCCCTAGAGTAATCAATGTGTCCGTCCGTCCACAAGTTTGTTTCCAGACATTTTCTCGGAATCCTTAAGACCATACAATCTTTGGGAAATTTGCTAAAACATATACATGGGCTACAAAATGGCTGTGTTCTAGTTAAATAAGTCCAAAAAAAATCCTTTAGGGGAAAAAAGAGAGACGAATATCCTAACATAACATAAATATTTAACATTGCTGCTTATATGTGATAATGGGTGAATGTTATTTTGCTGGTATATACACACACTTAGCACCGTTATTGGCAACTTATCAATCTGAATGAACTTGTTAACTGTTTCCTGATTGAAAACAATTAAATTCTTGATGAAGAAAACATAGCCTGTGGTGTAGGAGTAACAGAATATTTTTTCCATATTGATATTGTCAAACTCTGATAATCCAACAATTTACTTCAAAAACCAATTCCTTTTTCCTTTCACTTTGTGATTCTGGATTATTTATATGACACCAAATAAAAACACTTCATGTTTAATACCATACTCTACACTTCATGCATCTTTGTTTGAAGATCTTAACTTATTAATTGACTCATTACGCTTTTATAATTGACCAAAGTCAGACATCTCATCAATCTTGATAATGTGTTATATTAGTAAATGCTGGGATGAAGTTTTACCAGATATGTTTAAATGGATCATCACCCATATTCAGGGTCGCAGGGGTCATTGTCTTAATTTGTCTTCTTAATAATCAAAAAGCCTAGGGTAATGATATTTGGCTAATGTGTAAATCTAAACAATGTGTTCGACATTTAAATAACATCTTCTATCCTATATTGCTAGACCGAAACGTTAAAATCCACAGATAGGATCTCTATTACAGTAACATTCATATATGTAAACACATTGCATACGGAAACCAGGATTCCATGACAGGTCAATGTGATTGACAGAATTAATCAAAAATAACTTAAATAATTTCAAAACAGGTTGGCAATGAGGTAACCTAAAATTGCTGTCATTTCTTTTTCATTTAAATATGACAATGTAGTGACATGTCCCACATTGGAGAAACTACAGAACAGTCAGTGTCATAAATTTACTTACGATTAAGTGAACATTTTCAAATCTTATCTGTGTTTTCCAGGAATCGATATTTACTTTAGGTTATGTCATACAGATACATTCTTTACTCAAAATGGCGGCCTAACCAGGAACTTTAACACAACATAACATCTATTTACCAAGTTTGTATTCTTGTGTAATCAAAAGGTCACAATGGCCTGTCCAGACCATGACGGGGAGCAGAAGGTTATGGTGTGTGTACCCTGTAAAACTACTGTGTGTGTATTATGTATAGAAGGCAGTCATAATGGACACTCATTTCTCACATTCAAAACAACAGCTACGAATGTTATCAGTGATCTTCAAAAATTAACAGAAAAAATATGTTTCACCACACTGGAAAAACACCTCCAGGATATTTCTACAATACGACAAAGGGAAGGTGAGCAAGCTGAGTCTTAGTCAGGCGGGCACACTGACAAAGCGATTACTATATACCCCTTAAATAAGTTAGGGTATAATAAGAAATGAGCTCATTTGTTGGGAATGTGTATTAAAATAACACCGCTGCAAAAACTGTGTAATCAATTATGTACCTCAAATAGACAAATTATATCAGAACTGTGCTCATAAATACACCAACATATTACATACGGAAAGCAGGATTCTACGACAGGACAATGTGACTGACAGAATTAATTAAAAACAATTCAAAACAGTTTTAAAACAAGTAAAATAGAATTACTGTCATTTCTTTTTAATTTATGTCTGACAATGGCAATGTAGTAAACTGTGCTACAGTGGATATACTACAGTACAGTTAATATTAACAATTTACTAATGTAAACTTACAAAGCATGTTCAAATATTAATCATGGTTTTTCCAGGTATTAATCTATCCGCATTCTTGTTTAATTATATCATACAAATATATTGTTGTATCAAAATGGCGGCCTAACAAGGAGTTTACACACAACGTAACATTTGTTTACCAAGTTTTTATTCCTGAAATTACACTAAGTAACAATATCCTGTCCAGACCATGAAGGGAAGCAGAAGGTTATGGTGTGTGTACCCTGTAAAACTGCTGTGTGTGAACTATGTATAGAAGACAGTCATGATGGACACTCACTTCAAACATTCAAAACAACAGCCACGAATGTTATTAGTGATCTCCTTAAACTAACAGAAAAAGAAAGTTTCACCAAGCTGGAAAAACATCTTCAGGACATTTCTACAATACGAGAAACGGAAGGTGAGCAAGCTGTTAAAACAAAGCAAGAACTTCTGGACAGACGGGATCAGCTCAAACAAGCCCTGGATGAGGTGACAGTCACAGCTGTGGCAACACTAGACCAGCACAATGAAAATTTGTTCAAGGAATTAGATGAAGCCAAAGAAAAAGCCATGGAACAATCTCAAAAAGTTAGTGATTTTAAGAGTGAAGTCGAAAGGCTAAAGTCTTCACAGAATCATCTGGAGGTTGTGAAAGAGGGATGGAAAATAGAATCTCCAGAAATTGCTCCCTTGGAATTCCCAAAAGTATCCAGACTTGTATTTCAGTTTGATACGCCTGGGAATGTAACTAACATAGAGATGTTGTTTGGAAACCTGGTACCGGAGGACTTGTATGCTTTGACTACATTCCACCCAGACGGTACATTTTCTACACCTGTGTTAGGACACTACAATCCGAACCCCTCTCCAACCTCCAGTATCTGTTCACTTGACCTATTTGGAGAGGGACCCGAGGAAGCCAATTCAACCCAAACACAGCCAACTGGTCAAGCAGTAGTACCAACGCCCCACAAATCCTCACAGAATGCTCTTAAGTGTGATGTAAAACTAACACGTACACGTTCGTTCAAACTTCCTTCTGCAGCATGGCTGATGCAACCAACAGTAGGAGGTAACTGTTGGATCACATGTGGGGGAAAGGAGAACACAGTTACACTTGTCTCTGCAACTGGTGACGTAATCCAGGATGTCCCCTGCACCACGACGATAAATGGTATTTTGGTGTTACCTGTAACAAACCAAGTCTTATTGGCCTGCCCTGAGCAGAAGTGTATTAAACAGGTGATAATGAAACAAGATGAATATACAGTTGCCAACTCTAAATGGATTAATACAGATCCTTTAGTCCCTCACTGTATGTGTGTGACATCAAATGGGGATATCCTAGTGACAATGACAGACAAAACATCCTGGTCTGCTGAACCCACTTCTACATCAATACTGGTTAAGTACAACAGCAAAGGACAGAAACTGGCTAGAGCTCACAAGGACGGACATGGTCAAGACTTGTTCTTCCTTCCATACATTGTTAACACCAGCAACACAGGTACAGTGGCTGTTGTTAATATTACTAAGAGTAAACCAACAGCAAGTCATCTAGTGCTGTTAGATCATGAATTTAATCTGACTCACAGGTATGTTTATCATGAACTAACAGTTCCTGCTGAAGACAAGCTACCTGAAATACCAGAAAAGTTCTGTATTTCTGATGTTTTGTTCAACCACCACAGCCTCTTACTAGTCTCCGAGCTACACTCTCGGACAGTGCAGCTGTTAGATACCATGTGTAACCTGCTGAAGGTTTTGGTTACTGATCCGCAGGGTCTACCACGTTCTCTTGCGTTACATGCTGACGGAGAACTGTGGGTGGGGTTATACGATAGAATAGTTCAAGTATACAAACACACGTGTGACTTCATATCTGAGGAAAAATGACAAATAAAAATACACTGAGAACAAGGTTGATCAGTAGTTAGATATCATCACATCAGAAACAAAGAAATGGTTCTAATGATGTGTGTAGAGAGCCCAGCAGAGTGGTATACTGGTATGTCGAACAACTTTATCTCCACTGAATGTAACCACCATGCTCACCAGGTGGATCAATGTTAGTGATTAGTGGAATTTGTTTTATGGATATAAGAGATAGACTGTCCATACCATATAAAACATCTTTGACTACTGTATGTTATGTTTAAACCACATATCCATTGTGTGTGTATCTGTGGTGAAGGTGAAAATAGATGTAAATATGTATTTTGTAATGTCAATCTGTAATTACAAAGATCTTGAACAAAGTTAAAGAGAGGAATGTTGAGTTTGTTAATTGTACTGTATTTTATGCTAATGCAGCAACACAAAGACTACTTCATCACTGATATTCTTACCCATTCACTTTTTCTGTTGTGTTGAATTATAAGACCTTTCTCTTTACTATCACTGCTATCTTAAACAATATGATGATTTATATAACTGTGGCTAGTGACCTTGTTTAGTATGTAGCTTGATAACACAGCAGTGTGATGTTTTGTTCATCATTGCTTCCTTACACTTTCTCTTGTATAACATTGTATCATGAAGCTTGTTCTTTCAAATTTGTTCACCATTTTGTAGGTATATACGAAATCTGTGAAAGTGAAATTAATTTTGTATGGTACTTGTATTATGTTGTAATATCAAAAATAAAATTGACTAAAGTTGTAATGATAAAAATATTTTTCGAATTGAGTTTTATACAGTTAGTATAATCTCATAAAAGGTTAATATTACAATTATCAATTCTTAACAAAAGTCAAATGGCATTTGAAGTTTGTCTCTAAAAAAGTTGCTTATCTCCCAGTGTATTTTTCTCTTGTACATCTCGGCTGTTTTATGACATTGGTGTAATCCTACAATATGTCAACGTCAAGAAAAATTGATTGATGCATTAATTGAAATATAATGTAACCTATCCAAATAAATCCATGTGAAATCCAGAACCCTTTGTAAACCAGGTCTTTAACTTTGAAAATTCCGTTAGGGGGCACGGTAGTACAGTGGAAGGACGCCGGGCTCGTGACCGAAGGGTTGCGAGTTCGAGTCACAGCACGGCAGTTTAGTGGTAGTCCGCCGGGCTCGTGACCGAGGGGTTGCGGGTTCGCGCCACGGCACGGCAATGTGTTGTATCTTTGAGCAAGACACTTTACTCCGCTTGTTCCAGTCTACTCAGCCTTAAATGAGTACGTGGTTAGGCAGTGCTAGAATTGTTGAATGCTAGCTGTTAGCACCGAAATGGCAGCTCCGGCTGTATGCTCCCCAGGGAGTTGAGAAATGTATTGGCTGGTTGCAAAGGCCCTATAACCACGGATACTAATTTGTGAACCTCTTTGAGAAGACCTTCGGACTAGGATGTGATAAAGCGGTATATAAGAACCCTGTATTATTATTATTAAGTCCCCCAAACATGGTTTGGGGACTTATTGTTTTTATTCCTCTGTGTTCTTCTTCTTCTTCTTCAGCCATGAACTTGTCCAGAGGTTTCCTCAGAAACTATTGAGCGGATCATCATGAAACCTCACACACATACTCATTAGGGGGTCAAGGTGTGCAACAGGCTATTTTTTATCTCGACCGGAAGTCCAAGATGGCCGCCAGAACCTTACTTCCTGTTTTGGAGTTTTTGGCTTTGATTTCGTTGAAAATTGGTACATAGGGGTTTTCAGGGATTCCGAACACAATGGTAACAGTTTTGAAAAGTTCAGTTACCATGGTAACGAAATGGAGGCCTCTGATTCGTCGAAATTTAGTTGTTTTCTAATTCTGCCCAAATTGGTACATAGGGGTTTTGTGGGATTCCGAACACAATGGTAACAGTTTCGAAAAGTTCAGTTGCAATGGTAACGAAATGGAGGCCTCTGATTGGTCGAAATTTAGATGTTGTCTGATTTTGCCAAAGTTCCTAGGTCCAACAGGGGTCGTTTGGGGGACTAATCTGTGACAGCCATCCGTTACAATTATTAACATTACTTAACAGTGTGTATATTATAAGTCCAAGATTAACCTGTGTACTGTAATAAAAACCCTGTGTACTCTGAGAAGAAAATCGGTAACAACAGGGTTCAGTTGAGACAGGTTTCATTCATACAATATTTTACATGTTTTAGTGCATGTGTGCCAAATTTTCTTAACTGACTCTGTTATTGAATCCAAATTTGTTTTTGTGATTTCATAAGTAAATGATCTATTTGTATCACAAAGTTGATTATTTGATACATGTCACTTAATGATTTATGTATTTTCTTCATGTTATATGTTTATTGTGTTACTTTGCATCATTGATCGTCTACATAGATCTGGCATATATATCGCTGTGATAAAACCATGTACTGTACTTAATAGGTCTTTGTTGTGTGTTTTGTAACATGGTTGGGAAAGTCAACACTGGACATTGAAGTGCCGGAAAAGGTTTTCCACTTCACCAGATAAAGTCGTCAACCTGGAATGGTAACTCACTCTACATGGACAGGCGAACTGTTCTACCTGGTTAGGTTTGGAAGATCATCCATTTTCCTGTGAAGATCATCCACTTGGCCCAATAATCTCTTCACCTAAAACTAATTTGCTTTATCCGGTACTTTGCTGTTGGAAATTGTCTAGGAATTTTCATTTTCAGATGTGAGTCCTTCTTCAAGCTCTTTTTTTATTTCCGTATCAAATACTTTTACTTATAGTACTCAGCACTGAGGATAAGTTCATCAAATCTAACCAAATGTCTTGTGGTGATGAAATTGGCAACCTCCTAGTCTAAAGACTGACAATGACTATAATGGAGTTTGTTTCACATTGTTTTATTAAATATACAAATCATACTGAACAACAAGTCCAATAATTTTACTTTTAGCACAAACACAACATTAATTCTGTAGTAAATCATTAATACATTCACCCACACATCTGACATGATCCAGCATGTATATGTCAGGTATGAAATAAACACATGCATATTCAAGTACACTGTACTTGATAATGAATGTGATGTTTAACGTAATTTGATAACAATATTATAGCATGTTGGTATTAACCATTAAAATACTAGCAGAAATTCACGTTTTGTACAGTATATCTTAATGCACTATTTTAAATGAAGTAGTAGGCATGGTAACACGTGATTTTGAACCCATACATGAACTTCTAATAGGACAATTCTGTCAAAATTGATGTGCAAATTGTGTTAACTACTATGTCATTTGTGACATGGGTCAATCAATATGAATAAACCAACAAAATTTGTCTAGTAAAAAAACTATTGTTTGAAACATAGCTACCATGAATGGATTATTAAATGCACTGTTTCCACACAGAATCACTTCACAGTTAAAACTATTTTGCCAACATATTTCAAGGACCTCTTTTTTCCTTTTTTTGTTTGTTAATAATTCCTTTATACATCCTTCATACTTTGGCAGAGGGTTACCAAAAAACATTTCGTATTAGATAATACTCCACCAATGTAAATCCTAATACTTCAGCCCCGCCAAATCTGACAAGTGTTTATTTAGTGGATGAATAATTATAAGTTCAGTTAATGATAAATTGCAGGGATTTCCTACTTTACAGTAACCTGCTGTCTGTATACTGAGTTCTCTTACATTGATTTTACTATTTGAACACTATTGTGTCATGTAGTACTAAACACAAAGGTCCACTAACTAACTCAGATATACACACCAGCACTATACATTTGACAGTGAAAATGTAGTTCGATTGGGACACAAGTGTAGTACACAAACAATTTATTATACGCCACTAATAGAGGACTTGAGATTCTCCGTAAACATTTAGTCGCAAGCAGCATTTCAGTAAACCAAGTTCACATCCTCTGTCAGATAAATACTTTGGCAGCATCTTTAGGTACAAATGACAATGTGGTTCTATTGATTACCCAATTTGTTGTTACTATTGTAAAAACATATAGAGTCAGTCACATTAGCACCAGAAGTCTGCCTCCCTAAACTCACAATGGCAGAAATAAAGTTCATAATCTCTGTATAAGCAGGAAACGGTCAAAGCCTGTAACATTTCTACGCAGACATTGGCTGGGCGAGGGGAGTCATGGCCTCTTCTATGTTGATGTGAGATATAAATCGGAGGCGGACCTGAAGAGGTTGACGGAAATTCCTGATCAGTTTTTCCACTTCGTTCTTCACCCCGTCCCCAACAAACATGTACTTGATGTGATATCTGATACAGGGGTTAAGTAAAATCTTCCATATCAAGTTCTTTTTATTTAAAAGTAGTTATTGGTAGCATATCAGTTACAGTGACTGAGACATTCAGTTTCTATTCAACACTCTGATCATCCAACAAGAGGGCCCAGAGGGCCTGTATCGCTCACCTGTTTCTTTTGTTACATGCAACTGACATATAGGTAACTTAAGACCAAATTTGGTAACTAGAACACAAGACATTTTAACATCTCTTAAACGGTTCTGAAGATACTGTTGTTTGAAACTTAAAATTTTAATTTTAAAGCTTTTAACCCATATTGACCTTTGAATCTCGATTTGCACTTAAGTTGACATTTGACCTCATTACTGTAATGAAGAAAACAATTCACACAGCTGGTCTACATAACATACCTAAGTATCATGACTAGTCCAAATGGTTCTTAGGATATTGTTGTTTGAAGTATTATTATTAACATATTTGACCCCTGTGACCTTGAAAGTAGGTCAAGGTAATTTTAATGAGGAAACTTTACAGCATTCCATCCCAGGTACCTACTGGCTAAATATCATGACCCTAGGCCTAATGGAACTTGAGAAGGAGATTGTTAAGCTTTTAACCAAAGTTGACATTTGACCCCCGACTAGCATTTAAAGTTGACCTTTGACCTAATAACTGTAACTGAGAAAAATATTCGAACTGCTCGTCTACATAACATACCCAAGTATCATGACTCTAGTTCAAATGGTTCTTAGGATATTGTTGTTTGATTTTTTTTCATATTTGACCCCTGTGACCTTCAAAGCAGGTCTAGGTCTTTTTAATGAGAAAACTTTATAGCACCACATCCCAGGTACTTACTGGCCAAATATCATGACCCTGGGCCTTATGGAACTTGAGAAGAAGCTTGTTTAAGCTTTTAACCAAAGTTGACATTTGACCCCCGACTAGCACTTAAAGTTGACCTTTGACCTCATAACTGTAACTTAAAAAAATATTCGCACTGCTGATTTACATAAAATACCCAAATATCATAACTCTAGTTCAAATGGTTCTTAGGATATTGTTGTTTGAGATTTTTAACATATTTGACCGCTGTGACCTTGAAAGTAGGTCAAGGTCATTTTGATGAGGAAACTTTATAGCACTCCATCCCAGGTACCTGCTGACCAAATATCATGACCCTAGGTCCTACAGTTCTTCAGATAGAAGTCGTTCAAAAGAAAAAGTTGACGGACGGACGACGGACGACGCAGTACGGCATAAAAATGTTTTTCAATAAAGTTTCACTGATCATGACAGTTAGTAATTTTTTAGTATTTATATGAAACGGAAATGTCTGGATTACTCAATTTACATCTAACTTGCATAAGATAACAGTGAAAAATTAAAGGATACAGGAAGTCTGTGATGGGGTCTATGTAGTGGAGATGTTCACAGTTCTTGTCCACAACCACCAGTATCTCATACAGCTCCACCACCAACTGTGGAAAAACAACAATTACAGTTAATAAAACAGCCTAATCCGACCCCTGAATATTCTGACATAATGTCAATCTACTGAATTAAACATCATATAGTCAGAAAAAACACCTACTCTAATACGATACGACTGTGTGCTACCAAGATTTGATAAGTGTAGATGACATTTTTTGGGATAAGCCCTGGACAAAATGATAAAGGGTGAACAAAGGGCCATAACTCTGTTTATTGTGGGACAAGAAATTAAATTTTAGTAGGTGACACTATACAATCCCACAAACAAAAGGAGTATTTGTAGATCTAAGGTGACAGAGTATACAAGATAAGCTCAAGACAAAACAAGAGCTGTCGGAGAACAGCATAGCTCGCCCTATCAATAGAAACACATGTATAGTAAAACGTTGATATAGTGCCTGTCGTTTTATTTGCCACCTCACTTACCACCAGGATATTTCAAGGACTGTTAAAAGTGTAGAAACATCTATGTGAAGTGATTGTTAAGAAATTAACAAAGAGCAATAAAGCTGTTTTTGGACGCTAAAATATGAAAATATGGTTCAACACATTGCTTACACTCAATACAAATACTTCAACCTTATCATAGACAACAGCCTATTGATGGTGGTGGTCCAACATTACCCTACAAAACTTGCCCAAAAACTTTAACCTCAAGCTTACCCCAAAACATTAATCAAGTCCAATGAAGCTGTTTTTGGCCCCTAAAATATGAAAATATTGTCCAGAACATTGCTAACACTCCATACAAATACTTCAACCTTATAACAGACAACAGCCTATTGATGGTGGTGATCCAACACTACCCTACAAAACTTGCCCAAAAACTTTAACCTCAAGCATACCCCAAAACATTAAACAAATCCAATGAAGCTGTTTTTGGCCCCTAAAATATGAAAATATTGTCCAGAACATTGCTAACCCTCCATATAAATACTTCAACTTTATAACAGACAACAGCCTATTGATGGTCGTTGTCCAACACTTCACAAAAAAACTTGCCCAAAAACTTGAACCTCAAATTTAACTAAGTCCAATTAAGCTATTTTTGGGCCATAAAATATGAAAATATAGTCCAGCACATTGCTTACACTCAATATAAATGACTTAAACTCGTAATAGACAACTGTGTATTGAGTGTGATGATCCAACACTGTTTGGAAAAAACTTGCACCAAAACTTTAACCTCTGAAGGTTCCCGGACGCCGACGACGGGGTGACTACATTAGCCCCCCTATTCTTCGAATAGGCGAGCTAATGACACACTAACAGATTGACAGTCTGATGGAGGGAGTGCAAAGCTATAGTTTCATCAGGTAGTACCAAAATCCCCTGAGGATGGCTACTAAAGGTGACGTTAGACATGGTATTGATCAATTCTGCTGTATTTATATTGGTAAAGTCAATCTGTACTGTTCAAAGATCAATACAAAATGATGTACGATTCAAGATGTTTTAGTGGAAAGTGTTTGTTTCTATAAGTGTTTTATTTATTTCTTCAAATTACTTGTATGTTTGTATTTTACTTCTTAGTTCTCAGTATAATAATTACAGCTCAGACTAATTTCTTTTTATACTTTTACCTCTCATAAAATATTCTCAATCTGAAATGAGATGTTGTTGGTACAGTTAACCTTAATTTGTAAATCAATAAAAATGAATTAATGTTCGTGATGCTTTAGTCTTTAACTGGAGTGTGACAGTCGAGTTAAGAGTGCCACCAACTCAGATGTAATTGGTAATGCAGTATAGAAAGGTAGACACTGTTAAAGGTGGTTACAATAACAATATTTTTCTAAAATTTGTTTATAATCTGAAAAAAATCAGTTTGTTAAGCATTCTACATCGCATTAGTTTCTTTCCCAGAAAAAGCATGCTATTAAAATTCTAATATGTACTTCATATACATATATAAATAAATTTATAACAAAATCAGTTGGCATGTGACAAGCCAAACTCAACCTCCGCCATCTCTACACACTTTTTTTTGCATGCTTCCACACATGACCATGTAGTTTCATTTTTTTTTTTTTTTTTTTTTTTTAAACTTTGTGATGATAGTCAGGTCTAATATTGGTATTAACGAAAAATTACTAACTTAATCTGCTGGAGAAAGATACCTAAACTCTTCACGATTTCACATTCCCACATGTGGCTTTTACTTTTAAACAGAGCTGTTATTCTTCCCACTTACTCTATCTTACTGAAGACTTAAGGCTGTATGCTACCTTACTGTGACATGGGAGCTTAAGGCTATATGCTACCTTACTGTGACATGAAGACTAAGGCTGTATGCTACCTTACTGTGACTTGAAGACTTAAGGCTGTAAGCTGTCTTACTGTGACATGGGTACTTAAGTGTGTATGCTACCTTACTGTGACATGGGTGCTTAAGGCTGTATGCTACCTTACTGTGACATGGGTACTTAATGCTGTATGCTACCTTACTGTGACATGGGTACTTAAGGGTGTATGCTACCTTACTGTGACATGGGTACTAAAGGCTGTATGTTACCTTACTGTGACATGGGTACTTAAGGCTGTATGCTACCTTACTGTGACATGCAGACTTAAGGCTGTATGCTGCCTTACTGTGACATGCAGACTTAAGGTTGTATGCTACCTTACTGTGACATGGGAACTTAAGGGTGTATGCTACCTTACTGTGACATGGGAACTTAAGGGCGTATGCTACCTTACTGTGACATGGGTACTTACGGTTTTATGCTACCTTACTGTGACATGGGTACTTAAGGCTTTATGCTACCTTACTGTGACATGGGTACTTAAGTGTGTATGTTACCTTACTGTGACATGGGTTCTTAAGGTTGTATGCTACCTTACTGTGACATGGGGACTTAAGGTTGTATGCTACCTTACTGTGAAATGGGTACTAAGGTTGTATGCTACCTTACTGTGACATGGGCACTTAAGGGTGTATGCTACCTTACTGTGACATGGGAACTTAAGTGTGTATGTTACCTTACTGTGACATGGGCACTTAAGGTTGTATGCTACCTTACTGTGACATGGGGACTTAAGGTTGTATGCTACCTTACTGTGACATGGGAACTTAAGTGTGTATGTTACCTTACTGTGACATGGGCACTTAAGGTTGTATGCTACCTTACTGTGACATGGGAACTTAAGTGTGTATGTTACCTTACTGTGACATGGGCACTTAAGGTTGTATGCTACCTTACTGTGACATGGGGACTTAAGGTTGTATGCTACCTTACTGTGAAATGGGTACTAAGGTTGTATGCTACCTTACTGTGACATGGGCACTTAAGGGTGTATGCTACCTTACTGTGACATGGGAACTTAAGTGTGTATGTTACCTTACTGTGACATGGGCACTTAAGGTTGTATGCTACCTTACTGTGACATGGGGACTTAAGGTTGTATGCTACCTTACTGTGAAATGGGTACTAAGGTTGTATGCTACCTTACTGTGACATGGGAACTTAAGTGTGTATGTTACCTTACTGTGACATGGGTACTTAAGGCTGTATGCTACCTTACTGGGACATGCAGACTTAAGGCTGTATGCTACCTTACTGTGACATGCAGACTTAAGGCTGTATGCTACCTTACTGTGACATGGGTACTTAAGGTTGTATGCTACCTTACTGTGACATGAACACTTATGGCTCACTCTCAGAAACCTACATAATTCTGTGAAAGGTAATATTAACATTGTGTTAATCAATTGATGACACATTTGAAAGCACAACAAACAAAAGACATACATTGCTACTTTGGAAGTTAACTGAATCATCAGGTTGCCTTCATATATTCATGTTGAAACAGTTCAGATAGTGGAGAAATAGTCCATGAAAAATGCAAACTTGTGATAGTCAACAGTTTAATTTCAGCTAGGTATATCTGAACCCCTCCATATGCATGTGCTGAATTTTCTAGAGGTCAGAACTGTGCATGCCGTTTTCTTTCAGAGTCATTTGATTGAAATGAATACACTAAGATAGCCTTAGATGGGATGTAATTTAAGGGAGGTCACTCTTACGCATATCACATATAATGTGTAATGTAAGCATAACTTGGCCTGTGAATGATAGCATTCTTCAACAAAGCTTTGTGGTGTTCAATGTTTACTGACCTCCATCAGGCAGCGAGTACGCTCTGAGTGGAGACGCTGGAGGAATGGACCAACCAGGTGACACAGGTACAAAAACTGCTGCTCATTCACAATCACTGGCCTCAATGTCTCACGCAGAAACCTGAAATATTTCAAAATCAGAGAAATAACAACATAAGACAGACCAGGAGTGGATCATCTCCTATCTGTGCCAAACTCGTTTTTGAAATTTCCTTAGTGATACTTTTTGGACCAAGTTAAAATTCTAATGTTCGCATGGTCCAGAGAAGAAGCTAGCAAGTATAATTGTAAAAAGTTATGGACCACAGACAGATGACAGCCAAACAAATACCTTCAACAACATAAAAAATAATGGATCCATATGACAGGTTTAAGATTATGAAAAATGAAAATTTAAATGCAGTAGTAAGGAGACTTGACCTACTTATTGTGGTTGTTTCGAGAATTGACCTACTTTTTGTGGTAGTTGTTGATGTTGACCGACTTACTGTAGAAACTGTGAGAGTTGACCTACTTCTTGTTGTTAATGAAAGAGTTGACCTACTTATTGTGATAATTTTGAGAGTTGACCTACTTTTTTATTGCGGTAGTTTTGAGAGTTGACCAACTTACTGTGGTAGTTAGACACATTGACCTACTTACAAAGGTAGTTTTGAGAGTTGACCTACTTCCTGTGGTAGTTAGACAAGTTGGCCTACTTACTGTAGTAGTTTTGAGAGTTGACCGACTTACTGTGGTAGTCAGACAAGATGACCTACTTCCTGTGGTAGTTAGACAAGTTGACCTACTTCCTGTGGTAGTTAGTAGAAGTTGGCCTACTTACTGTGGTAATTGAGACAGTTGACCAATTCCAGCATGGTGCCATATGGCATGCGTAAGTGCCAGCACGTAGCTACAGTGTTGTTCAGCGAACACAGACTGGCTGCCACTGAAGTTGAAAAGCTGGAAAGGCTGCACGCTGGGCTGTATGCTGCGTACAACCTCCTCTACCTTACTGTTGAGTGATGACCAGTAGGTGTCCTGGTAAGAGAGACAAATAACTGATGAATACATACACTCCTATATCCCTAATTAGCTTGTTAATAGCATTCGTCTGAGTATACACATTCACAGGATACTTGTATCTTATTTTGTTCTGCTCTTTTACAGGGATTGTTATCAAAGACACAATAAATGGAGAATTCTTTTTGCATAAACTGTTCGATCTTTTATTTTCCACCAAATGCTCATATTGCACCAATTTATTATCAAGATTATTTTTTTAAATACACTCCTAAATTTAATAAGCATTAAATATTGCAAAGCACAACACATTCCATACTAGGAGTAGTCATAATCGTCTACGGAGACTATCAATACAATTTTACTGGAGGTCCTTGTCGGGATAAGTATAAGAATATTTTACCTTTTGAAAGTATAAACACAAGAGTGGTACAACACATTTCTAGTCATGCTGGATGTGTTTCATGAAATAACATATCGTTGTTTTGATGAAATTCAACTTTGACCTCTTGTTTAAAATTAATCTTTTCAGTCTTGATAAATCTATTTAATAAGTTTAAGTCATTTGGAAGTTTTGGCTGAGATTGAGAGAAAGACTGATAGATGGACCCAGTCTCACACATCATTGGTATAGGGGATTAGTTAACACAAGTCTCACACATCATTGTTATAGGGGATAAGTTAACACAAGTCTCACACATAATTGGTATAGGGGATTAGTGTACACAAGTCTCACACATCATTGGTATAGGGTATTAGTTAACACAAGTCTCACACATCATTGGTATTGGGGATTAGTGTACACAAGTCTCACACATCATTGGTATAGGGTATTAGTTAACACAAGTCTCACACATCATTTGTATAGGGGATAAGTTAACACAAGTCTCACACATCATTGGTATGGGGGATTAGTTAACACAAGTCTCACACATCATTGGTATAGGGGATAAGTTAACACAAGTCTCACACATCATTGGTATAGGGGATTAGTGTACACAAGTCTCACACATCATTGGTATAGGGGATTAGTTAACACAAGTCTCACACATCATTGGTATAGGGGATTAGTTAACACAATGTGGTCACACAATCAAGTCCATTCACTTATCTGTCAGTAAAATAGGTTTTTTATGAGATCTTAACAAGTATAGTGTTATGACAAATATCGTGCAACTTAACTTAAATATTCAAAAGTTATTTCCAGATAGTGACATAATGTCACAGTTTTGAAAATTTTGTATTTTGTAGAAGTTCCAGAGTACCTCTGTTTTCATGTAGGCAACGATTTTGTGTATGTTTTACAGTGTGTCAATATCTTCAGTTTGCAGGTTTTTGGACCTGAAAACTAGCAAAAATATCTAATAGCAAAAAACGTCCAAGTTCATATTACACACAAATGACCTAACCACATAGATGATAAAACCCCTCCAATATTTGTCAGATACAGTCACTCACCGGGAGCGCCGTCAGCACCAGTCCAACAGCGTTCATCCACGACACAATCTGTGACCTCATCAGCTGTGTACAACTGTAATAACAACGATTTAATTATTACAAAACTAAAATGTCCAGTATGGCTAACAAGTTTTGTTAATTAGTGTTTATTCTCTTGCTTAAATGACAACTTTTCTCTCAGCATCCAATACAAGTTATACTATCAATATCACTGATAATTCATCTTTATGAAACTAAGTGAAATGAAGATGTGAATACTTGAATAGAGGAAAACCATTCTGTTCACTTTACTCTATGTAAAGCAGGGGACCAGATGGGGCAGTTAACATGCCGATTGTATTTTTAAAGAGAAAATTAGGAACATGTCCTTACAGAACGACTGAAGTAATCCTTGGTAAAATGGTAATACATGACAATGTATACATCACAGTCTAGGTAGGCCTTGATCAGACGTGTTAACTGGAGTGCTCCAGTCATCTGTTGACAAGACTGACAGACTGAACACTCACTTTTTGAGGACCACGTCGAGAAGGGCACGACCGACTATGTTGCCGTGTACAGGAAGTGACATCAGTTCCACACATGTGACATACAGAGCATGTGCAGCGGGACTGGGGAACTCGTTGAAACGCCAGTCACAGTTTGGAAATGGGGATGGTGTCTTGTTGTTAATGGCTGTGTCAGTTAAGGCAGTAGAACTCACACAACTTTGATAAACCAAAATTATGGTGAAAAGCTTTATTACCAAAAAATACTTCTGAAATTCTCTAAGCTTTAAGTGATGGACCAAAACCAGAAATGTGCCTTTCGAGATATCAAGTACCTCGTTTTAATGTTTCCCCAGACATATTTATCCAGGTATACGAAACTGGCAAGTACCAGGAACCTTATCTCACCCTGAAAATAAATTTATTTCTCATTTTTCATCCATTCATGCATTTTTGTATTCATTAAAACAGATAACATAGGGTTTCCAATGTTTTTTACACCTATCAATATTTTGAAACAGAAGAATCCAACTGCATAGGTATTTTTTATTTGAAAACACGTCTAACCTATGTGGTAAACATGTATACACAGTTTTAGCTGGATCTTTTATTTGGTATTAGTACCTTGGAATAAATATATATAGCATGCATTAGAAGTAATATCTTTCATTTTACTACTGTCGCTTATAAAAACCATAACATCCTTGCATCTAAATTGAGTATGACTTTTTTATCTCATTCTTCAGACTAAAATTCTCTGCCATCTGAAATACACACAGACAAAGAAATAAATCTCCTTGTGTATATAATAACTGCTCCATGATGAAAGATAATATTTTTTTAATGGAATAAAACCCAGACACCCAGTGTTAATGTGTGACACTTTATACAGGCAGGATACTGTCGACAAGCCTGCCAATGAGGCGGACATAATAGTCGAGGTCTGGGTTCCACTCGAGATTGTCCTCCTGGATGAAACGCTGGTAGTCCTCAGACAGGAACCAGTTGTTGGGGCGAATATCCTTGTGGGCATCTGGCAAAGGAGATGAAGGAGGAAACCGACATTCAAAATCATCAACATCATTAATAGACACAATTCATAAGTGACATGAATTTACTGAAAACAGTAATTACAGAAACTAGGAATAAAATGTACAGCAAATTCTTTCTTTAAAAATAATCTATAAAAGAATTTTTGTAGAAATCAACCTGAAATTATAATCACACGTAAAAATCATCAGTCAATCATATTTCTCCTTATAAAAACATGAAAATATAACTATCAAATGTCATTTTATAAAAATAAGCAAATCTAAATTTTAAAATAAACTGTGTGTATAACATATGATTAATTATATCAAAAGACCCTGACCACTTGTTACTAGAGGTCTGTAATAATGTCTGAAGCTATATCTATAAATGTACATGTCCTGTGGTCAGGGCTGGCTATATCCTTGTGGGCATCTATATAGGAGATACTCACTCATGATGGACTGGACAAGCTTGCGTTTGAGGGGCGGCCTGTTGATAAGATTTCTCTGGTAGTAGTGTAGGGTGTTGTACAGGTAGGTTATCGGGTGGTCTGTAAAAAAACATAATTCAGGAAAATTCTTGATCGACTTGTAAAGCCATTTTAATGACTATATATTATAGTCAGTAGCCGGAGGTGCCCATATCTGACACTGATTTGTTATAAATGTTTGATTAAAGTGGAAAAAGCACAACCATCTCACTAAAAGTTGACAGCATTTGGTGGTAGGGACCATCGTGTTCTGTCCCCTCCCCTCCAAACTATCCTTGGTTAGGACCATCGTGTTCTGTCCCCACCCCTCCATACTATCCTTGGTTAGGACCGTCGTGTTCTGTCCCCACCCCTCCCAACTATCCTTGGTTAGGACCGTCGTGTTCTGTCCCCACCCCTCCAAACTATCCTGGGTTAGGACCATCGTGTTCTGCCCCCACACCTCCAAACTATCCTTGGTTAGGACCATTGTGTTCTGTCCCCTCCCCTCCAAACTATCCTTGGTTAGTACCATCGTGTTCTGTCCCCTCCCCTCCAAACTATCCTTGGTTAGTACCATCGTGTTCTGTCCCCGCCCCTCCAAACTATCCTTGGTTAGGACCGTCGTGTTCTGTCCCCACCCCTCCATACTATCCCTGGTTAGGACCATCGTGTTCTGTTCCCACCCCTCCAAACTATCCTTGGTTAGGACCATCCTTCATTTATATAACACTGAATATAACCTTAGACTATACCATGGATGTTTCATACCAAATTCTGTCAAATGCCTTCAGTAGTTTTAGACTAAGTGTTTTCTAAAAGAAAGTGATAGATTAATGTACATTATTTTTATTGTATTCTTGTTTTCAGATATACACTGGAACCTACCATGGAACTTGTAAAGGATTCCCAAATTTTCCAGGATCTTTTCCAGTAGATTCTGGAGTGTAGGTTGTTCTATGATTCTGTGTATGAGGATGTCTAGCACCTAAAAAACATAATTAGGGTATACTTAGAGGGCACAAACATGATAAGTAACAAATACATCTCTCTGATAGGTGAACCTTCTGTAAGATGAAGATATTTGGGACAATGTATGAGAATTTCTGTTGATATTATCGGCCATTGTCACAACATATAGAAAGGAGCAATTCAGTATGAACACTCTTCAGACTTTTATAATTATTTGAAGTGTTTGTGAAATGAAAACTAAATACTGTGAAAGGATTATTCAGATGTAACTTTGACTTTAAAGGTTTTGAATAGCTTGATAAAGTTGAATCAACACACCAATAATTGATGAATAACGATGAAAAGAAACAGACATTTTTTCCAATATTGGTCCAAAAGGACACTGGGATTTTGCCTATTTGTAATTATACATTCCAGTCTTATAAGAACTTACATTTTGTATCCAACAACCTTCTTTATTTACTGACTCAAATTCCTGTTTTAAGGTTATACACTACCAAACACTTACCTGTGATCTGTATTAGAGTTAAGGAGATATGCTACTTTACATCTTATGTGATTAATGTCAATGATCATTATCTAAATATTATAATCAGAATGATAGCAATGTACATATTCTTCAGAACCTTCCAAATTTGTCAACAGTTTATTAATGGTGTCAAAAAGGACCTTTTTACAGATTTCTTAATGCAGAACTCAAAAGAGATGACACAGTAAGGTAGCATACACCCTTAAGTCTACATGTCACAGTAAGGCAGCATACAACCTTAAGCACCCAAGTCACAGAAAGGTAGCATACACCCTTAAATCTCCATGCCACAGAAAGGTAGCATACACCCTTAAGTCTACATGTCACAGAAAGGTAGCATACATCCTAAAGTCTACATGTCACAGAAAGGTAGCATACCTCATTAAGTCTACATGTCACAGTAAGGTAGCATACCTCCTTAAATCTAAATGTCACAGAAAGGTAGCATACCTCCTTAAGTCAACATGTCACAGTAAGGTAGCATACCTCCTTAAATCTAAATGTCACAGAAAGGTAGCATACACCCTTAAGTCTACATGTCACAGTAAGGTAGCATACATCCTTAAGTCTACATGTCACAGAAAGGTAGCATACACCCTTAAGTGTACATGTCACAGTAAGGTAGCATACATCCTTAAGTCTACATGTCACAGAAAGGTAGCATACATCCTTAAGTCAACATGTCACAGAAAGATAGCATACATGCTTTAGTCGACATGTCACAGTAAAGTAGCATACATCCTTAAGTCTACTTGTCACAGAAAGATAGCATACATCCTTAAGTCGACATGTCACAGTAAGGTAGCATACATCCTTAAGTCTACATGTCACAGAAAGATAGTATACATGCTTTAGTCGACATGTCACAGTAAGGTAGCATACATCCTTAATACAGTTTTTGCTGGTTTTGATATACCTACCGGTATGAAGCGGAGACAGACATTTCCAAAATAGACTGGGAGGTACTGATGCTGAATGGGGCTGTTCAGGTCCTGTATCCCTTCGTAATAAAACTTCTCTGGATGTTTCTACAAAACGTCAGCAAATCAATAAAAATCATTCATCCAACACATCCAATTACGTACCTAGAAAATACAGTGTCAACTGTTTTTACACAAGTGGTTGGTTTGGGAGAAATATTTTTCTTGGTCTATAAATTCAATAATACAGAATTCTTTTTTTCTAATTGTGAATCAACCCATACATTAAATGTTGGAAAAATTAGATTACTGTTCACTTACAAGTTCAATTTAGATAATCTTGCAATAGTAATTGTACGGTAACCAGTCAGATATATGATTGGCTGTTCTAGCTGAAAACCTTATACTTTCTTTCAAAGAGTTAACTTCAAAAGATCACTGATTATGGAAAGACTTTCAAAATACTAGCTGAGGAGGATGACAAGTAAGACAATTTTATTGATACAGATAGATAAAGTTTGAATTAGTCTTTATACCAGCATACAGTACTTACTCTATGGAAAGCCATGTGTTTGTCGTGCCAGTCACTTTGTAGCCAGTGTTCCGGGGAATTCTGAAACAATAAAATTTAATACGGCACTGAGAATCTTCAGTCCTGTGTAGTTTGTGTCATTTTGGATCTGGATAATCTTCATGATCGTTTCATTCCAAAATTTAACACAATACAAGTATAATCCATTACATTAACTCTATGCAAACAATAATATCTTTAAACATTTTTTATTGATTTCTGTAACTTGATAACAAATTATTCATTTGACAACACTAAAGCATTTACAAGTCATAAAACTCCTGAGATTAAAATATCAAATACTTAATCAACACTTTATACTAAAAAAAAATTATGTTTGAAAAACAAAATAGAAATTTAAACAAGCCGTTAGATTGAAGAGTTTCTAAAAGTTGTCATGTAACTAGAAAGCAGGGCCCATATTCATGAACCTTTCTCCTGCTAAAGCATGAATTCTGTGCTCAAACTGACTTCCTTGTAACTCGCTTAAATCATGAAACATGGTCAAAAAGTCAAGTTTAAACACTGAAAATAGTTAGTAGCTTATAATTGTTCAAAATTTCTTACATATCACTGACAAAATATGATTTTTAAATCAATTTATCACTGGCACCAGAAATTGGGTTTGAGCACAGAGTCAGGGTTTGAGCACAGAGTCAGGGTTTGAGCATGAGAACAGTTTCATGAATACGGGCACGGGAATCCTAGAGAGTACAAACCTCTCGGACAAAGTCGTGGATTCGTGTCTTAAATTCGGCCGGTTTCAGCAGCAACATGTGGATGATCAGGTAGCATAAACGAGCCTCGTTCTCATCAAAGTTTCGTAAAGCCTGCACAGATGTGGATTTTTTTTATCAGCGACACAGCAGTAAGTGAACGAACAATAATTTATAAGGCCTTCAACATCTTTTATAAACACAATTTTTTGGACATAATCGGGTATGAAACTGGATTCAAACATGTATATGATTATCAATCAACCATCATGTGGTTTCAATGTCTACCTATAATGATGAATCAACCTTAAAAGTTTAATACTGTTTCCAGGTAAATACAAGCAGCTTGTACATAATTAATGATTAATATAATGTTTGGGTAGGAGTCACATCTTATTACACCAAAAATAGCCGGTCTATTGGAGACTTACCACACACAGGACAAGGCGGTCTCTTGGAGTCTTACCACACACAAGACAAGGCGGTCTATTGGAGACTTACGACACACAGGACAAGGCGGTCTATTGGAGACTTACCCCACCCAGGACAAGGCGGTCTATGGGACTTACCACACACAGGACAAGGCGGTCCATTGGACACTTACCACACACAGGACAAGGTGGTCTATTGGACACTTACCACACACAGGACAAGGTGGTCTATTGGATACTTACCACACACAGGACAAGGCGGTCTAGGGGACTTACCACACACAGGACAAGGCGGTCTTTGGGACTTACCACACACAGGACAAGGCGGTCCATTGGACACTTACCACACACAGGACAAGGTGGTCTATTGGACACTTACCACACACAGGACCAGGCGGTCTATTGGACACTTACCACACACAGAACAAGGTGGTCTATTGGAGACTTACCACACACAGGACAAGGTGGTCTATTGGATACTTACCACACACAGGACAAGGCGGTCTAGGGGACTTACCACACACAGGACAAGGCGGTCCATTGGACACTTACCACACACAGGACAAGGTGGTCTATTGGAGACTTACCACACACAGGACAAGGCAGTCTGTTGGAGACTTACCACACACAGGACAAGGCTGTCTATGAGACTTACCACACACAGGACAAGGCGGTCTCTTGGAGTCTTACCACACACAAGACAAGGCGGTCTATTGGAGACTTACGACACACAGGACAAGGCGGTCTATTGGAGACTTACCACACACAGGACAAGGCGGTCTGTTGGGGACTTACCACACACAGGACAAGGCGGTCTGTTGGAGACTTACCACACCCAGGACAAGGCGGTCTATTGGAGACTTACCCCACACAGGACAAGGCGGTCTATGGGACTTACCACACACAGGACAAGGCGGTCTCTTGGAGTCTTACCACACACAAGACAAGGCGGTCTATTGGAGACTTACGACACACAGGACAAGGCGGTCTATTGGAGACTTACCACACACAAGACAAGGCGGTCTATTGGAGACTTACGACACACAGGACAAGGCGGTCTATTGGAGACTTACCACCCACAGGACAAGGCGGTCTGTTGGAGACTTACCACACCCAGGACAAGGCGGTCTATTGGAGACTTACCACACACAGGACAAGGCGGTCTATCGTGACAATATTGTACTTCCACACCATGTCACTGAGGGTCTCAATGAACTAAAAAGACAACAAATTCCAAATTAATTCTATAGCAGGCACATGTTAACCTAACCTTGTACAATGTTGAACATGTACGAGCAGCACTGAACATTTTGATATTGTACAACCTCGAAATACTATCATCAGATTGTATGTCCTCAACATATTGCCATAGCATATTGTACAAATTTTAGCTTACATTTTACTCCTCTAACACTGACCAAAGTGGGGCTTGTCTGTGGTCAAACACAGTAACCTTGCTTGATCTTGGACATGTGTGACACTAGCAATGTTCAAACTGAAAATAATGTCAAACATTGTTTGACCTTGAACATATGTAAGACTAGCAATGTGCATTTTTGATAATGATTTCTTAATTTTGTTGACCTTGACTAAATTAGTTGACCTTGTAAAAGCTGAACTTTCTATACTGACCTTGTTAACGTTTTGTCCGCTGATTCCACTAAGGTTCAGCTCATATACCATGAAATCTGCAAACGTGCGGAGGTGGGATGACAAGGCTCGTGGTCCCAGGCGGTCAAGCACCCTGAAGGTGGAGGATTTGTTTAGGTAGAGTTAGACACAGAACTAAGGGGTTGATGATCCACATTAATTTACTGAAATAATATAACTTTGGTGCTAACAAACAGTACACTGGGAACCTTGCAGTTTTCAAAAGATGATCCTTAACACCTACAGAACAAGATAAAGTCAAGAAATGAAGGGGAAAGATTATTTTTCAAAAACCATGAAAAAAATGTTTACAAATGTAAATGTATATTAGAAGAATGGAAATCATACATACTGATACATATCTTATGTGCCTCATACACTGAGCAAAAGCTAATATTTTGAGTAAAGAAAAATGTGTGAATTTGTATCTAAATCCCATTATTAGAGAGGTATTAATTTCACAAATCACAAGTTGTATAAAATCTATTTTACATTTAAATAGATGAAAAAAGTTTAACTTTGCTGCTATTAATCATTTACATGTATATATTTTTCTTATCAGTTACTTACCTGTTCCCAAAAACTGAGACCAGCTTACAATAACAGGAGGAGGTGTAGGGGCAGTAATACATGTATACATACTTACTTGTAAGCTACCGGAGAAGGTGTAGGGGCAGTAGTACATGTATATATACTTACTTGTAAGCTACAGGAGAAGGTGTAGGGGCAGTAATACATGTATATAAACTTACTTGTAAGCTACCGGAGAAGGTGTAGGGGCAGTAATACATGTATATATACTTACTTGTAAGCTACCGGAGAAGGTGTAGGGGCAGTAATACATGTATATATACTTACTTGTAAGCTACCGGAGAAGGTGTAGGGGCAGTAATACATGTATATATACTTACTTGTAAGCTACCGGAGAAGGTGTAGGGGCAGTAATACATGTATATATACTTACTTGTAAGCTACCGGAGAAGGTGTAGGGGCAGTAATACATGTATATATACTTACTTGTAAGCTACCGGAGAAGGTGTAGGGGCAGTAATACATGTATATATACTTACTTGTAAGCTACCGGAGAAGGTGTAGGGGCAGTAATACATGTATATATACTTACTTGTAAGCTACCGGAGAAGGTGTAGGGGCAGTAATACATGTATATATACTTACTTGTAAGCTACCGGAGAAGGTGTAGGGGCAGTAATACATGTATATATACTTACTTGTAAGCTACCGGAGAAGGTGTAGGGGCAGTAATACATGTATATATACTTACTTGTAAGCTACCGGAGAAGGTGTAGGGGCAGTAATACATGTATATATACTTACTTGTAAGCTACCGGAGAAGGTGTAGGGGCAGTAATACATGTATATATACTTACTTGTAAGCTACCGGAGAAGGTGTAGGGGCAGTAATACATGTATATATACTTACTTGTAAGCTACCGGAGAAGGTGTAGGGGCAGTAATACATGTATATATACTTACTTGTAAGCTACCGGAGAAGGTGTAGGGGCAGTAATACATGTATATATACTTACTTGTAAGCTACCGGAGAAGGTGTAGGGGCAGTAATACATGTATATATACTTACTTGTAAGCTACCGGAGAAGGTGTAGGGGCAGTAATACATGTATATATACTTACTTGTAAGCTACCGGAGAAGGTGTAGGGGCAGTAATACATGTATATATACTTACTTGTAAGCTACCGGAGAAGGTGTAGGGGCAGTAATACATGTATATATACTTACTTGTAAGCTACCGGAGAAGGTGTAGGGGCAGTAATACATGTATATATACTTACTTGTAAGCTACCGGAGAAGGTGTAGGGGCAGTAATACATGTATATATACTTACTTGTAAGCTACCGGAGAAGGTGTAGGGGCAGTAATACATGTATATATACTTACTTGTAAGCTACCGGAGAAGGTGTAGGGGCAGTAATACATGTATATATACTTACTTGTAAGCTACCGGAGAAGGTGTAGGGGCAGTAATACATGTATATATACTTACTTGTAAGCTACCGGAGAAGGTGTAGGGGCAGTAATACATGTATATATACTTACTTGTAAGCTACCGGAGAAGGTGTAGGGGCAGTAATACATGTATATATACTTACTTGTAAGCTACCGGAGAAGGTGTAGGGGCAGTAATACATGTATATATACTTACTTGTAAGCTACCGGAGAAGGTGTAGGGGCAGTAATACATGTATATATACTTACTTGTAAGCTACCGGAGAAGGTGTAGGGGCAGTAATACATGTATATATACTTACTTGTAAGCTACCGGAGAAGGTGTAGGGGCAGTAATACATGTATATATACTTACTTGTAAGCTACCGGAGAAGGTGTAGGGGCAGTAATACATGTATATATACTTACTTGTAAGCTACCGGAGAAGGTGTAGGGGCAGTAATACATGTATATATACTTACTTGTAAGCTACCGGAGAAGGTGTAGGGGCAGTAATACATGTATATATACTTACTTGTAAGCTACCGGAGAAGGTGTAGGGGCAGTAATACATGTATATATACTTACTTGTAAGCTACCGGAGAAGGTGTAGGGGCAGTAATACATGTATATATACTTACTTGTAAGCTACCGGAGAAGGTGTAGGGGCAGTAATACATGTATATATACTTACTTGTAAGCTACCGGAGAAGGTGTAGGGGCAGTAATACATGTATATATACTTACTTGTAAGCTACCGGAGAAGGTGTAGGGGCAGTAATACATGTATATATACTTACTTGTAAGCTACCGGAGAAGGTGTAGGGGCAGTAATACATGTATATATACTTACTTGTAAGCTACCGGAGAAGGTGTAGGGGCAGTAATACATGTATATATACTTACTTGTAAGCTACCGGAGAAGGTGTAGGGGCAGTAATACATGTATATATACTTACTTGTAAGCTACCGGAGAAGGTGTAGGGGCAGTAATACATGTATATATACTTACTTGTAAGCTACCGGAGAAGGTGTAGGGGCAGTAATACATGTATATATACTTACTTGTAAGCTACCGGAGAAGGTGTAGGGGCAGTAATACATGTATATATACTTACTTGTAAGCTACCGGAGAAGGTGTAGGGGCAGTAATACATGTATATATACTTACTTGTAAGCTACCGGAGAAGGTGTAGGGGCAGTAATACATGTATATATACTTACTTGTAAGCTACCGGAGAAGGTGTAGGGGCAGTAATACATGTATATATACTTACTTGTAAGCTACCGGAGAAGGTGTAGGGGCAGTAATACATGTATATATACTTACTTGTAAGCTACCGGAGAAGGTGTAGGGGCAGTAATACATGTATATATACTTACTTGTAAGCTACCGGAGAAGGTGTAGGGGCAGTAATACATGTATATATACTTACTTGTAAGCTACCGGAGAAGGTGTAGGGGCAGTAATACATGTATATATACTTACTTGTAAGCTACCGGAGAAGGTGTAGGGGCAGTAATACATGTATATATACTTACTTGTAAGCTACCGGAGAAGGTGTAGGGGCAGTAATACATGTATATATACTTACTTGTAAGCTACCGGAGAAGGTGTAGGGGCAGTAATACATGTATATATACTTACTTGTAAGCTACCGGAGAAGGTGTAGGGGCAGTAATACATGTATATATACTTACTTGTAAGCTACCGGAGAAGGTGTAGGGGCAGTAATACATGTATATATACTTACTTGTAAGCTACCGGAGAAGGTGTAGGGGCAGTAATACATGTATATATACTTACTTGTAAGCTATCGGGGGTACTCGACTCTCATCCAGCATGTTTTTCCAAATTATACTGTAAAAAACAATCAATGTTCCTGTGATTTAAGCTATACAATAATTGTAGTTCTGTAAGTTAACTAAGCTTCCTATTGAATAAGAGCTATGACACTTACGACTTGTTTCCTCAAGTTATCCTATTGGAGTATTTATCCTTTCATATTGCAGCACCCCTGGGCCAAACAACATGTTGGCAGGGTAAAATAACAAGACAGATATGCTCTAGACATTCCTCAGTATCAAAAATAAACAAGGGAGATTAGTCTATATAGCTATAGAGTGAGGCAGGATACTTGATTTCTACCTTCAAACTTAATGAGAAACTTAAATATGGCATGTTTAGTGTTTGCACATGAAATTATTTTGGACAATAAATTACTGGATATGATGTCCTCTTAAGGATGTACGTATATGTGAAACGAAAAAACACATAATTTTCTATATTGTATAATGAAATCTTAAATGTTTTACATCTTGAACAGATATTTATTTGTACAAGTCTATTGGGTTTGTCATCAGTAACACTATTTTGACACTTCTATACTTACCATAGGAACAGAGGCGGTGTACCCTGCATAGAAAAGTGGGCAATAATATCACTCTCATTGGCCATACCTGAAATAAAATAACATTATATTTTTAAGAATTAAACATCAACGAGCACCAATGCTTATTAAAGTGATACATATGGGATATACTTCACATCAAAAAATACACTTTTTAGTTTCAGAATTAAACTTGGTTTCCATGACTTTTGATCCCTAATTTGAAAGTCTGTATATTAGTATAATGTATAGCCTATATTTCATAGTTGTTTATTAGGCTAAAATAATAAATTCTGATGTCAAAAGACTTCCCCATTCTGTTATTTTCTCTACTTTTACTCACCTTTTACATATAGTTCTGGTAGAGCATTACTTAATCCAGTCCAAGACCATCAAGTGATGATGGACAATAAAGATAACTTAATAACATAAAGGCAGAAAATGGAGTATTCTTGAGCAATAAAATGATGTCAGACACCACAAGACGTCAGTCAAGGAAGATGTTGGTAAATTCAGGTCTCACTGTACAAGAAAACCTGGTTGTTTGAACTTTAAAAGCTAAGGAGGTGACTATCTTACTTTTCCACTTTTTGTACTCTGTGTCAACCCTGTGTTTGAGCTGGGCCTTGTCCTCACGTGCCACTGGGTTTTGTTGATAGAACTCAGCGAGGCTCGGGGGAAAGCAGGCCAGCGTGTTCGGGGTCCAGCTGTGAGGTGTGCTCTGCATGATCTGGGTCAGGATCTCTCGGAACCAGTTTGATGAAAACGTCTCCACACCTGACAAAAATTTGTTTTATGATCAATGGGCAGTTGTGGAAATATTTTTTGACAGAAATGTCCAATACCTTTAAGTATCTTATCGACTTTTGTATTAGGAAATCAAATTAATGTTTAATACCGTATATAACATTTGTTATAACAAAGAACACTTTTATTAAGTTTTGTTTATCACCATTTTTTGTCAATTTTAGTGATTTTAATGGACATATAATTTAAATTTAATACTGTATTGAGCAAAATTTCTCCCAGATACAATTTTCACAATGCAACTATGATTGTATGAAAATACTTTTTTGAATGAAGTATCACAAATTACAATTACCTGGTGATAAGGATTTCAATTAAGGAACGCTAGTGATAAGATAAATGAATGCATACACAGTACTTCTGATGAATTTGAAGCTGAAATCCCTTGTCAGTATGAATTCAGTCTATTTTTAGATGTAATACATGACATTTGTGATTGCTCTCGTCAGTTTAACACTACTATCAATACACAAACATCTCTAGATCAGTCATTATCATAAGTTTTACTGTGGTAACACATTTTCATGTTCCTTCACAAAACAACAGTTTTATCAATGAGAACCCGAGGTCATGTCTGTCTGCCTTACCTGTAATGTGCATTGACCTAGCTAGAGTGAGAACCAGGGCACGGTTCAGCTCCTCCGAGTCCCCGGACAGGAAGCCTGGTCGGTTGGGTTCATTGAGTAACCGTGACAACTGAGGTTGGACTTCAGCACTCCCCAGACCTGTGATCAACCTCAGGGCTGTACTCTCCACACTGTCAACAAGTGAGATGTTATATAATTGTAATTAGTTTGTTAAGGGATTTGTACTTTTGCAGCAGTTAATAAACTTTGATGCTGCTTAAATTTGTGTTCAAATACAATTTAATTTTCTTTTTATGCCAACAAAATGTTTGGGGACTTTGTTTGCTAAGCAAATAAACATTCTCTGATTCTCTGATTGTGCTGCATTTGATCACATATGGTTTAGAGTTAAATGCTCACCATAGTTGTAACTGGTTTTGGTTGGTCTGTTGAAATGAGTATAATGTATGCAGATGACCCAGGAGTTGAACTCTGTAGTGAGGTTGTGTGTGATGAAGTCTGTAGCTGAACATCTCCAACAGTGTGTGGAGGATTCCCCAGGCATGACTAGTGAACACTGTAGGTAACAGCTGACCTGTTGACACAACAGAAGTAAGGTTATTTATAGAACATAGTGGGGGATTCCCCCGGCATGACTGGTGAACACTGTAGGTAACAGCTGACCTGTGGACACAACAGAAGTAAGGTTATTTATAGAACATAGTGGGGGATTCCCCCAGCATGACTGGTGAACACTGGGTAACAGCTGGCCTGATGACACAGCAGGCATATGGTTATTTATAGAACATAGTGGAGGATTCCCCAGGCATTAATGTTGAATACTATGGACAACAGCTGACATGAGGCTTAAAAGGGCTACCATATAAAACCCCAGCAACTTTCTGAGACTACTTAATGACCAAAAATTGATATAAACAAGAGAAAGGAACAATCATGTGCCAAAGAAGAAGGCATTCCTGAATCAATGTCAGCTGCCTTGACATTGCTGTTGGAGAAACCTCTTACTGATGAACCCTTTAATGCCGAGAGACTCAATCTCCATGTACACAAGTAGTCTGCTGTAGGTCTCTACCAGGGCTGGTGCCGGGGCGATGGGTGACTTGGTCTTCGCCTGGCGGATCACTCGGTGAACAATACTGTGGATAAGACTGTAACAAAACAATCAATAACAATGTTATTATTTATTGCAAGAGATGAACCTAAAATGATTTTCTTTATCATTAGATAAATAATGAATATATTAACTGTTTTAGAATGTCCGATATAATTATGGGAAAAGGTGGGTGTCTTTAAAGCTATGTTTTAACCTTATACCGGTGTCTTGCTGTAAAACATCAAAACATCACAACACCCATTAGGCAAAGCCAGAAATCACAGGTCCCAAAACATGGAATTATACACACTGATACTTCAATGCTATTTAAAGCAGTTAGTTTTATAGACTGTATAATCGTATACATAGTATCTGTTACTTACAAAAGACAAAATACATGCAATATACCACCTGAGCCCTCTAATTAAGAATATTTTAAAATTTAACTATCTGTGAGGCACTGAACTGTTAACCCTTTGTTTTCCTACTTTGGTTTCTCATTCGATCAAGTTTAGCAGAGTTGCCAACATTGCACATAATATATGGAGTGAAGTGAAGTTAATCATATTGTATGAGCTGTATCACAATTTCAAAGTCTTTTTGAAAATATCCTTCTACCAGTGAATTTTAAATATCAACTTAATTACAGGGTGTTTTTTTTAATTTATGATAAATATCTCATGACCTACTGAATTATAAATTAATAATAATAATACTATATAATATTTGATATAGGGCCCTATCTAGCTAACATAAGCCACTCTTCATTGACCAACTCACCACAGAAACAGCCTATGGTATACCCACTATTTATCAGTTTCTATTCCTGACATTAAGTGTTCAGCAAAAGAAAAAAGAAAAAAAGAAAAAAACTAATTTGATTCTCCAGTATTGCATATACCAGGTACCTCATTTTTGCATGAACTGTTAAGGAATCTAGAAGACTCATCGGTAATGGCTGCGTAGGTGATGATGCAACAATGTTGCCCGGCAACAAGGTTGTATGTTTACTGTCGCCATAGATACTTTCCACTAGCTTCCCCATTGGCAGGTTAAAATATTCATTGTTGGTGCTATCTGCAAGAGATAAAGTAAATTGAAAATTAAAATAAGTGAATGTTGCCAAATAATAAAAGGTAATGTTATCACCATGTTGGGACAGTAATTCTTTAAAGGAACTGTACTAGTCTAGTATTGGTCCTGTCACATTACACAGTGTAATAGGACAGTAATTCTTTAAAGGAACCGTACTAGTCTAGTATTGGTCCTGTCACATTACACAGTGTAATAGGACAGTAATTCTTTAAAGGAACCATACTAGTCTAGTATTGGTCCTATCACATTACACAGTGTAATAGGACAGTAATTCTTTAAAGGAACCATACTAGTCTAGTATTGGTCCTATCACATTACACAGTGTAATAGGACAGTAATTCTTTAAAGGAACCATACTAGTCTAGTATTGGTCCTATCACATTACACAGTGTAATAGGACAGTAATTCTTTAAAGGAACCATACTAGTCTAGTATTGGTCCTATCACATTACACAGTGTAATAGGACAGTAATTCTTTAAAGGAACCATACTAGTCTAGTATTGGTCCTATCACATTACACAGTGTAATAGGACAGTAATTCTTTAAAGGAACCATACTAGTCTAGTATTGGTCCTATCACATTACACAGTGTAATAGGACAGTAATTCTTTAAAGGAACCATACTAGTCTAGTATTGGTCCTATCACATTACACAGTGTAATAGGACAGTAATTCTTTAAAGGAACCATACTAGTCTAGTATTGGTCCTATCACATTACACAGTGTAATAGGACAGTAATTCTTTAAAGGAACCATACTAGTCTAGTATTGGTCCTATCACATTACACAGTGTAATAGGACAGTAATTCTTTAAAGGAACCATACTAGTCTAGTATTGGTCCTATCACATTACACAGTGTAATAGGACAGTAATTCTTTAAAGGAACCATACTAGTCTAGTATTGGTCCTATCACATTACACAGTGTAATAGGACAGTAATTCTTTAAAGGAACCATACTAGTCTAGTATTGGTCCTATCACATTACACAGTGTAATAGGACAGTAATTCTTTAAAGGAACCATACTAGTCTAGTATTGGTCCTATCACATTACACAGTGTAATAGGACAGTAATTCTTTAAAGGAACCATACTAGTCTAGTATTGGTCCTATCACATTACACAGTGTAATAGGACAGTAATTCTTTAAAGGAACCATACTAGTCTAGTATTGGTCCTATCACATTACACAGTGTAATAGGACAGTAATTCTTTAAAGGAACCATACTAGTCTAGTATTGGTCCTATCACATTACACAGTGTAATAGGACAGTAATTCTTTAAAGGAACCATACTAGTCTAGTATTGGTCCTATCACATTACACAGTGTAATAGGACAGTAATTCTTTAAAGGAACCATACTAGTCTAGTATTGGTCCTATCACATTACACAGTGTAATAGGACAGTAATTCTTTAAAGGAACCATACCAGTCTAGTATTGGTCCTATCACATTACACAGTGTAATAGGACAGTAATTCTTTAAAGGAACCATACTAGTCTAGTATTGGTCCTATCACACTACACCTGGCCCTAGTTTCACGAGTGTTCCTTTACTCAATAATATTTCTAGTTTTTTTTCCACAGGAAAGCATTATTGGAGAAAAGGAAAAACCTGAAGTTAATGAAACTATTTTTAATTTCAGTAAGGGTTTCCTATGGAAAATTTTAAGCTAGAGGAATTTACTTAATATACTTAGGAATGTTCATGAAACTTGGACTGCAATACCTGACAAAGGTACTTTATTCATTACAGCAATAAAATACTCACACTGTTCCAATTTTCTAATATATATTGATATGACTTGTGAGACACAACAGACATACAAAAACTTCTTGTAGTCAAAAGCAATTCATCTCTAGAAATCAAACGTTTTGACATGTTTTCAATTGTGACACATAATTAAATGCTGTAATCTGATTGTCACGTCATAATAGTGTATCTTACATATGCATAGGTTGGAGACACAGTCAATCTATGATATATGACATTCCTCCGACCATGTTTCTGTAATTCCAGTATGAGTAGGTCTACTTACAAGCATTACACAACAACGCTATCTAGAAGTCATTCAGAGACAAATCTATGATATATGACATTCCTCCGACCATGTTTCTGTAATTCCAGTATGAGTACTTACAAGCATTACACAACAACGCTATCTAGTAGTCATTCAGAGACAAATCTATGATATATGACATTCCTCTGTCCATGTTTCTGTAATTCCAGTATGAGTACTTACAAGCATTACACAACAACGCTATCTAGTAGTCATTCAGAGACAAATCTATGATATATGACATTCCTCTGTCCATGTTTCTGTAATTCCAGTATGAGTACTTACAAGCATTACACAACAACGCTATCTAGTAGTCATTCAGAGACAAATCTATGATATATGACATTCCTCTGTCCATGTTTCTGTAATTCCAGTATGAGTACTTACAAGCATTACACAACAACGCTATCTAGTAGTCATTCAGAGACAAATCTATGATATATGACATTCCTCTGTCCATGTTTCTGTAATTCCAGTATGAGTACTTACAAGCATTACACAACAACGCTATCTAGTAGTCATTCAGAGACAAATCTATGATATATGACATTCCTCCGACCATGTTTCTGTAATTCCAGTATGAGTACTTACAAGCATTACACAACAACGCTATCTAGTAGTCATTCAGAGACAAATCTATGATATATGACATTCCTCCGACCATGTTTCTGTAATTCCAGTATGAGTACTTACAAGCATTACACAACAACGCTATCTTGTAGTCATTCAGAGACATGTTCTTGTTGTTCACACACTGTTTTAAGTACCTGAAATGGAACATAAGCTACAGATACATTAAATCTATTCAAAGGGATACTGTATTCTCTTTTCTGTAGAAAAATATAATAGTATCATATTCAATATGAAGTGGTTTCCTTCTATCAAAATCACTGCTGCTGCTATCATTCTTATTTCCTGTCTCAAGTCTGCAGTGCTCTGTTAATCAGTGAGTATTGAACCTTGTTGTCAAGTGGACATATTTACCAATGATGTAAATTATATTATTCAAGTGAAAAATGTTTTAGAATCAAATAACGCAGATAAATTTTATGCATCAACGATCAATTATGAGAAATTAAAACTGATATTCAGATCAATTAGGGTTCAATTACTACTTCACCGGTTAAAGCCTATTATATGCCAATCACTAATTACTTACTCCAGATGATCCTGAAGGGCGTTAGGCATCGGTCGGGGCAGCTGGACCTTGTCCGTCTGTGCCTTTTTGTTGAGGTGTATCCAGATACATGTACTGGACAGGGCATGTGTAGAAGAAGCCTTGTTTGTGTCTGGCATAGCGATGATGGATGTGTCCGAGTACAACAGGTCATACAGCTTCATCACTGGCAGGAAGTCTGTCAACTAGGGGGAGATATGTCACAGTATATTAAGCTATAACTCTTCAACGGACACCTGTAGAAAGTCAGTCAACTAGGGAAGACATTTATTCCTGATACAAAAGTCGTACAGCTTCACCAGCTACAGTACAGGAAGTCTCTCCACCAGGGGAGATAATCAGAAAGGCTGGACAATCTTTGTTTAATAAAAAAAAATAGAAAATTAACCTGGTTTCTGATTATCCTTAAGGCAGCTTTGGCTATATCAAACTTTTCCAGAACAGCAGTATTTTTTGCAGGGATGACTGGATATATAGTCAAAAAGTTGTGTTTGCACAAAAGTTAATGAATTTAATGTTTTTCTATATTCTGCCATTTATACTGCCACAAATAATATCAAGGTAATTCTATGTATTAACATGCTTCCAGTTCACTTAATGCTTTGGTATACAACCACATATACTTACAGGGTTTTTCTGTATACTCCCAGATATGAACTGTAGCAAGACCCACATGAGGTGATCGCGACCTTTGTTTAGATTTCGCCCTTTCAGCTGTAAACATAAATTGAAAGAATGTTTAATTTTTCGATGATAAAATCAACTCTGTAAAATAATCATCATAATTGTAATAGGACCAGGAAAAGTGATAAAGATAGTGCCGTCGCTGGGGCTCGAACCCGCGAACCCTTGGCTCTCCAGCCCGATGCTCTACCGCTGAGCTAAAGGGAAATTCCCAAAAGCTGACGCTTGTAAGGCAGCCTAATCATTGCACTTCTTTTACATTATAAAGCACATAATGTGCAATAATACAGTATATATCAAGACAAGTTAGTTTTAAAAGCATACTCTTTGTATTTGTATGTATGTGTATGTATGGTTCAGAGGACTATGTATTTTATCCTCAATAAATAAAGTTTATTATGGTCCTATGTCCTGTATACCACTGATCAAATCTCTGTGTACCCACAATCATTGTGTTCCTGTTTCTTAGTATTCTATCAGGTACCACAAATCTTTCTTTGACAAAGAGCACAATCCTTTCAGTGAAGAAACATGACAATATATGGAGATACAGTGTTGTATGACCATATATGGAAAACTACTCTCAACTTATCAAAAGCAAGGACCATATAGAGATAACAACACTCACATTAATATATAGACAAATGATGTTGCATGTATATGAAAAAAAGTCAGTCCTCACCTTGTCATAAAGAGACATGACCATGTGTGGGAATCCTGCAAACTGGAACAGCACAAAATAGATAACTTGGCTAGATAGGTGTTGCCAAAGTAACTGACTGAGACATTCATCGTTGGCTACATCATCGTTCTCAGACCTTTCCATTGCCATGACAACCAGGTCAACGAGTTGTTCCTCCAGCACTTCACATCTTTGCTTGACCTGTCAGAAGGTAATGTTGAAATTAGTCTCTGGTATCAAAGTTCATATTCTATGAATAAACTTGTTTCTACTATCTATATACTTTGCTAAAAAAAGATTGGGAGATAGTACTGTGTAATTAGACAAACATGTAGAATTTCCCTAAAATCATTTATGAATTTACATTGTAAGTGATGATAACAACTAAACGTCAAAACATGTGTAAATGACATTTCGATCTGTATCACCTGAATTTATACAAATAATTTAATACCTACAAATACCTCAAGCAATAAAACTATGTCTTAGTATGTTATACCATCAGAACAATAAATTACCTGTTTATTGAGGCCGAGCATGCTGCCCACCATATCGCGGGAGTAGGGTTGTTCCAGTACGTATCTAAGCAGTCCTGTCTGGGCCTCAGACAACGTCTGAAATTCATTAAGGTGTCGTGTTACGTATAGAGAGTGCATTGTACATTAAACGTTAGAGAAAATAAAATCAAAATTTCAAATCCATTTTGCTACTGCCATGCTGCTTATATTTATTCAATACAAACCTTATCATAGGGAAGGGGCCCATTGAGAGGGAATCTGAGACTGGTAGAGTTAAGTCTCCACACATTCCCTGTAGACAATGAGTGTCCAACAATGGGTAACAGGTGGGCTCGTCCTGAAACACAGAAACATAGATACCAGGCTATACAAACTAGTACCACTGTACAACAGGCCATACTTTAATGTTCCCACTCTACAAACTTATAACGATGTGGCAATTTTTACACTGACAATTTTGTTGTGATACATATTTTAGTATGTCAATATATGTTCATGTGTGCATCTTTTCGCTTCCTTAGAATGAAATTAGCAAAAATCCCTACTTTTACAATTACATCAGAGCAAATATTATGGCCTCAAGACGGGGGTTTTCCTACCATTTTTTCCCGGGTCCAGGGTCCAATAAATTGGGAATTTTTACGCAGTAAAATTTTACATTGGGAAAAAATGAGGGGAAATAAAATTTCATACATTTTCCAGTTTCTGTTAATAAATTTTACTTCTTATCAGGAGAAATTGCATTCTTTGATATTCGAATTTCTTATTTATTTTTCATTGCATAAGCTTAGGTCTACAGTTAAACTCTAGTACATGTAGTATAGGCTTGTAAAAATTCTGATAGCCAGAATGTATTTTTACAATTTAATTATACTATATCAAATATATATAGTAGTTGTAATATTTGTCCATTTCCCTTAAGGACTCACACAACTAAATCAGCCAATCAGCAAGTGTTTCATACGTTTGTAGTTCCTATCTGAAATAAGTTCCGGCTAATTACTGGGCCACTGAAGGAGTTTAATAAGGAAATGATGACAGGTCTTTAGAGAAATGAAATGTTCAGATATTTAACTTTTGAAAAATATATACTTTTGATATATTTCCATGTCTGTGTGCGGATTTGCACAGGGGCAAAATGTCTGGGGGCGTTTCTATTTTGGGTCACCGGTTTTGCTTGTAAACTTCCGGTTGTCAACTTCTTGGCGCTGTGACACTCCAATATGCCACTAAACCTACCAAAAAAGTAATTTCGTAGCCTTTGCAAGGTATGTATTTATGAGTCTAGACAGTTGTCACTAGTTTTGAACTTCAAATATTAAAGTTATTAGCTAAAATGTTTGGTAATAACATATAGTAAATGATTTAATTTTAACAGACAAATAAATTGATCATTTCCGGATTCTGTGCCCGGATGTTGGTTCCCTTATTAGAAAACAAACATGGCCGACAACTTCAGTTCTTTACCAAGTTTCTTTTGTTAAATAAAAGATACTGAATTAGTTACAAAGATTGCTTCTTTGATGGTTAGTATCACTTTCTCGAGTAATACATGCTGTAAATTTGTTTTACTCCAACTTTAATCACGCAGGCGAGACAAAAATAGCGAAGTTTTACAACATCAATGCAACGGAAATTACTTGATAACATTCTGATGTATATTTTTGAAATTAAATTTTCAAGGGATTAAAATATAATTTTAATTTTCTTACGGACATGAATGTTTTTACAACTTCTGAGCATATTTAAATCTTGCAAAAATGGCCAAACTATTGGGAATTTTTTAAATGGCAAATTGGGAATTTTTCAAGGGGAAATCGAAAGGGGACGTTATTCGGCCCCAAATTCTATTGTAGGAAAATCCCTGCAAGATGACATTTTTATTGTAATTAAACTGTGATAATTTTACTAATTGTAATTTTCAGTTTCTTATATAAGTGTGGAGAAAATGTTGCTTTAAACTATCACAATATTTACCTGACACAGTGACCATCTGTGCTGCTGGCCTGAAACTGTTCACAAAGTCAGACAACACCTTCCCAAGTTTCTACAACAGAGACATGAGAAAAGGATCAAGAAAAGGATCAAGACAGGAAAAACCACCTTAAATAACCATCCAAAAGATTCAAAGATTTTTTATTCTTTCTGTATAGAACTGTACAGATAAACTTAACAATCACTGTATGATAAGTTGCAAGAATGTTTTCAATGCAATGTTTTTGCTACTATATGCATATAATTCGTTTTTACCCTTACCCAGTGTGGTCAGACTTTGGGTTTGAGGGTGTGGTGATGAGTGACCTTGCCCAGTGTGGTCAGACTTTGGGTTTGAGGGTGTGGTGATGATCGACCTTACCCAGTGGGGTCAGACTTTGGGTTTGAGGGTGTGGTGATGAGTGACCTTACCCAGTTGGGTCAGACTTTGGGTTTGAGGGTGTGGTAATGAGTGACCTTACTCAGTGTGGCCAGACTTTGGGTTTGAGAGTGTGATGGTGAGTGACCTTACCCAGTGTGGCCAGACTTTGGGTTTGAGAGAGTAGTAATGAGTAACCTTACCTAGTGTGACCAGACTTTGGGTTTGAGAGTGTGGTAATGAGTAACCTTACCCAGTGTGACCAGACTTTGGGTTTGAGAGTGCAGTAATGAGTGACCTTATCCAGTGTGACCAATCTTTCGGTTTGAGAGTGAGGTAATGAGTGACCTTACCCAGTGTGACCAGACTTTGGGTTTGAGAGTGTGGTAATGAGTGACCTTATCCAGTGTGACCAATCTTTCGGTTTGAGAGTGAGGTAATGAATGACCTTACCCAGTGTGGCCAGACTTTGGGTTTGAGAGTGTGATGGTGAGTGACCTTATCCAGTGTGGCAAGACTTTGGGTTTGAGAGGTAGGTTATGAGTGACCTTACCCAGTGTGGCCAGACTTTGGGTTTGAGAGTGTGGTAATGAGTGATATTACGCGGTGTGGCGAGACTTTGGGTTTGAGAGGTAGGTTATGTGTGACCTTATCCAGTGTGGTCATTCTTTGGGTTTGAGAGTGTGGTAATGAGTGACATTACCCAGTGTGGTCAGACTTTGGGTTTGAGAGTGTAATGGTGAGTGACCTTACCCAGTGTGGCCAGACTTTATCCTCAGGACACACTTTGGTGATCTCATTCACAGCCAGGTAGGCGGGTAGAAGACAAACATTCCTGTCCAGGATATGGCTAACAACCTGTAATGGTATACAAAGAATCATGAAAAACTAATCTTTAGTTCATATTAAACTAGAAACCTTGTTGTAAGTCACAGAAAACGTTTTTGTAATCAACACTGTATGTAAGCTAATTTTTACTCCATATAATACTTGCCCTTCATCTGTAAATTTTAAAATCACTCCACATTAGTGAAAAACTAAATTTAGTGAGCTAGTATGCTTAGGGGACATTACTGGTTAAAGGGGATGGTCAGGGAAAAAATGTCATATTTGCTAAAATGGCACACACATGTTTAAAATACCTTCTTATGAAATATACCGATACAAATTTTGCTGAAATTCACTCCCTTGTGCTAAGAGTAAAAATTATAATTATATTAAAGAAACCTAAATCATCACCTGACAGTCTAAAACTCTCAATTGACTCAGATCAGTGATGTAATTTTACCGCACGCGCGTGATCAACAAGGCCAAATGTAAACATCGCGGCGAAAGAAAAAGATGCATGCAAAAGTCATGACAGGCATGAGGTATCAATACTGTTATATATAACAACAACATATAGGTAGGAATACTAAACTTGCATCATACATGACCTTTGAAAACAATTATTTACGTATAGTATTGCTGTCTTGTCTGCTAGATGAATCAGACATGGCACATGATGGCGTGCTATTGTTGTTAACTTCACTGCCTCACTTTCGAGACAACCACGTGACATATATAAATAGATCTGAGCTAAATTTATGCGGGCTTCCCCGAGATTTCAGTGGTCAAAACTGGACATTGCAAGCAGAACTCGCCCATCATATTGCTGTGGTATAACTTTTGGAAGGCCAGAGAATGCATTTAGACCCATTTATTTTGTAATTTTTCCCCGACCAGCCCCTTTAAGTAAATTCAGTTTTTTGTTTTGTTTTTTTGGGGTTTTTTTTGTCAAAGAGCAGTAGTAGCTATACTTGTTCTTTAACTATTTCTTGTGTGACTAAAAATTCCTATTTCACTGGAAAACATTATGCAGACAAACTGAATAAGCACAATTTCCACAACCCTATTGAGAACTATAGGGTTATAACTTGTAATTCTTATGTTTGAAAATATGGAGTGTAATATGTGACTCATTTTCTAGACCTTGGACACATAGCACATACAAGGTGGGATAGTAATAACAAATTCTGCAAGAAGACGTTGTATTACGCTGTATACTCACACTGACCACCACATCTATCTGGGGCGTTAGAGATATGTTTCCAACCTCCGGTATCATCTGGATCTTCTCCATTATGGACCTCAGCAGATCTCTGCAGCCCTAGGAAATCAACACAGTGGAGATGTGTTAAACACATCTCAACAACCTGATACCAGATTAGGTAAACATTTAAGACCCAGCAAAACATTCTTTATAATGCTTTACTATCCAAAGTTGCTACGCTGAGTGGCTACACTGGCGATAAGAACATGAAATTTGGTTTAAACTCTCAACCTATCGGTCTCGAGTTCAAACCCAAATTTCATGTTCTAATCGGCAGTATAGCCACTCAAAACAACGTACTACCCCCTAAATATAACAAATATATATTACTCTACCAATGTAACAATGTACCTCCCACATCTCCAGTCCTGTACCAGTCACTCTGATAGCTGTTAAAACTCCAAAACTTCAATACATTGTGAAAGGAGAACCAATCGCATTGTGAGAAAATGTACAAAAATCCCTTACTTTATACTCCACACCTCCAATGATTTTCTTGAGGAGCTGAAATGTCTTGGTCCACATGTGAGGTACCTCATAGTGTAGCCTGTCCTGGCTCAGTAGTGCCTCACACACAGGTCTGTTATAACACAATACATATTTTAATAGTGTAGCCTGTCCTTGCTCAGTAGTGCCTCACACACAGGTCTGTTATAACACAATACATATTTTAATAGTGTAGCCTGTCCTTGCTCAGTATTGCCTCACACACAGGTCTGTTATAACACAATACATATTTTAATAGTGTAGTCTGTCCTGGTTCAGTATTGCCTCACACACAGGTCTGTTATAACACAATACATATTTTAATAGTGTAGTCTGTCCTGGTTCAGTATTGCCTCACACACAGGTCTGTTATAACACAATACATATTTTAATAGTGTAGTCTGTCCTGGTTCAGTATTGCCTCACACACAGGTCTGTTATAACACAATACATATTTTAATAGTGTAGTCTGTCCTGGTTCAGTATTGCCTCACACACAGGTCTGTTATAACACAATACATATTTTAATAGTGTAGTCTGTCCTGGTTCAGTATTGCCTCACACACAGGTCTGTTATAACACAATACATATTTTAATAGTGTAGTCTGTCCTGGTTCAGTATTGCCTCACACACAGGTCTGTTATAACACAATACATATTTTAATAGTGTAGTCTGTCCTGGTTCAGTATTGCCTCACACACAGGTCTGTTATAACACAATACATATTTTAATAGTGTAGTCTGTCCTGGTTCAGTATTGCCTCACACACAGGTCTGTTATAACACAATACATATTTTAATAGTGTAGTCTGTCCTGGTTCAGTATTGCCTCACACACAGGTCTGTTATAACACAATACATATTTTAATAGTGTAGTCTGTCCTGGTTCAGTATTGCCTCACACACAGGTCTGTTATAACACAATACATATTTTAATAGTGTAGTCTGTCCTGGTTCAGTATTGCCTCACACACAGGTCTGTTATAACACAATACATATTTTAATAGTGTAGTCTGTCCTGGTTCAGTATTGCCTCACACACAGGTCTGTTATAACACAATACATATTTTAATAGTGTAGTCTGTCCTGGTTCAGTATTGCCTCACACACAGGTCTGTTATAACACAATACATATTTTAATAGTGTAGTCTGTCCTGGTTCAGTATTGCCTCACACACAGGTCTGTTATAACACAATACATATTTTAATAGTGTAGTCTGTCCTGGTTCAGTATTGCCTCACACACAGGTCTGTTATAACACAATACATATTTTAATAGTGTAGTCTGTCCTGGTTCAGTATTGCCTCACACACAGGTCTGTTATAACACAATACATATTTTAATAGTGTAGTCTGTCCTGGTTCAGTATTGCCTCACACACAGGTCTGTTATAACACAATACATATTTTAATAGTGTAGTCTGTCCTGGTTCAGTATTGCCTCACACACAGGTCTGTTATAACACAATACATATTTTAATAGTGTAGTCTGTCCTGGTTCAGTATTGCCTCACACACAGGTCTGTTATAACACAATACATATTTTAATAGTGTAGTCTGTCCTGGTTCAGTATTGCCTCACACACAGGTCTGTTATAACACAATACATATTTTAATAGTGTAGTCTGTCCTGGTTCAGTATTGCCTCACACACAGGTCTGTTATAACACAATACATATTTTAATAGTGTAGTCTGTCCTGGTTCAGTATTGCCTCACACACAGGTCTGTTATAACACAATACATATTTTAATAGTGTAGTCTGTCCTGGTTCAGTATTGCCTCACACACAGGTCTGTTATAACACAATACATATTTTAATAGTGTAGTCTGTCCTGGTTCAGTATTGCCTCACACACAGGTCTGTTATAACACAATACATATTTTAATAGTGTAGTCTGTCCTGGTTCAGTATTGCCTCACACACAGGTCTGTTATAACACAATACATATTTTAATAGTGTAGTCTGTCCTGGTTCAGTATTGCCTCACACACAGGTCTGTTATAACACAATACATATTTTAATAGTGTAGTCTGTCCTGGTTCAGTATTGCCTCACACACAGGTCTGTTATAACACAATACATATTTTAATAGTGTAGTCTGTCCTGGTTCAGTATTGCCTCACACACAGGTCTGTTATAACACAATACATATTTTAATAGTGTAGTCTGTCCTGGTTCAGTATTGCCTCACACACAGGTCTGTTATAACACAATACATATTTTAATAGTGTAGTCTGTCCTGGTTCAGTATTGCCTCACACACAGGTCTGTTATAACACAATACATATTTTAATAGTGTAGTCTGTCCTGGTTCAGTATTGCCTCACACACAGGTCTGTTATAACACAATACATATTTTAATAGTGTAGTCTGTCCTGGTTCAGTATTGCCTCACACACAGGTCTGTTATAACACAATACATATTTTAATAGTGTAGTCTGTCCTGGTTCAGTATTGCCTCACACACAGGTCTGTTATAACACAATACATATTTTAATAGTGTAGTCTGTCCTGGTTCAGTATTGCCTCACACACAGGTCTGTTATAACACAATACATATTTTAATAGTGTAGTCTGTCCTGGTTCAGTATTGCCTCACACACAGGTCTGTTATAACACAATACATATTTTAATAGTGTAGTCTGTCCTGGTTCAGTATTGCCTCACACACAGGTCTGTTATAACACAATACATATTTTAATAGTGTAGTCTGTCCTGGTTCAGTATTGCCTCACACACAGGTCTGTTATAACACAATACATATTTTAATAGTGTAGTCTGTCCTGGTTCAGTATTGCCTCACACACAGGTCTGTTATAACACAATACATATTTTAATAGTGTAGTCTGTCCTGGTTCAGTATTGCCTCACACACAGGTCTGTTATAACACAATACATATTTTAATAGTGTAGTCTGTCCTGGTTCAGTATTGCCTCACACACAGGTCTGTTATAACACAATACATATTTTAATAGTGTAGTCTGTCCTGGTTCAGTATTGCCTCACACACAGGTCTGTTATAACACAATACATATTTTAATAGTGTAGTCTGTCCTGGTTCAGTATTGCCTCACACACAGGTCTGTTATAACACAATACATATTTTAATAGTGTAGTCTGTCCTGGTTCAGTATTGCCTCACACACAGGTCTGTTATAACACAATACATATTTTAATAGTGTAGTCTGTCCTGGTTCAGTATTGCCTCACACACAGGTCTGTTATAACACAATACATATTTTAATAGTGTAGTCTGTCCTGGTTCAGTATTGCCTCACACACAGGTCTGTTATAACACAATACATATTTTAATAGTGTAGTCTGTCCTGGTTCAGTATTGCCTCACACACAGGTCTGTTATAACACAATACATATTTTAATAGTGTAGTCTGTCCTGGTTCAGTATTGCCTCACACACAGGTCTGTTATAACACAATACATATTTTAATAGTGTAGTCTGTCCTGGTTCAGTATTGCCTCACACACAGGTCTGTTATAACACAATACATATTTTAATAGTGTAGTCTGTCCTGGTTCAGTATTGCCTCACACACAGGTCTGTTATAACACAATACATATTTTAATAGTGTAGTCTGTCCTGGTTCAGTATTGCCTCACACACAGGTCTGTTATAACACAATACATATTTTAATAGTGTAGTCTGTCCTGGTTCAGTATTGCCTCACACACAGGTCTGTTATAACACAATACATATTTTAATAGTGTAGTCTGTCCTGGTTCAGTAGTGCCTCACACACAGGTCTGTTATAACACAATACATATTTTAATAGTGTAGTCTGTCCTGGTTCAGTATTGCCTCACACACAGGTCTGTTATAACACAATACATATTTTAATAGTGTAGTCTGTCCTGGTTCAGTAGTGCCTCACACACAGGTCTGTTATAACACAATACATATTTTAATAGTGTAGTCTGTCCTGGTTCAGTATTGCCTCACACACAGGTCTGTTATAACACAATACATATTTTAATAGTGTAGTCTGTCCTGGTTCAGTAGTGCCTCACACACAGGTCTGTTATAACACAATACATATTTTAATAGTGTAGTCTGTCCTGGTTCAGTATTGCCTCACACACAGGTCTGTTATAACACAATACATATTTTAATAGTGTAGTCTGTCCTGGTTCAGTATTGCCTCACACACAGGTCTGTTATAACACAATACATATTTTAATAGTGTAGTCTGTCCTGGTTCAGTAGTGCCTCACACACAGGTCTGTTATAACACAATACATATTTTAATAGTGTAGTCTGTCCTGGTTCAGTATTGCCTCACACACAGGTCTGTTATAACACAATACATATTTTAATAGTGTAGTCTGTCCTGGTTCAGTAGTGCCTCACACACAGGTCTGTTATAACACAATACATATTTTAATAGTGTAGTCTGTCCTGGTTCAGTATTGCCTCACACACAGGTCTGTTATAACACAATACATATTTTAATAGTGTAGTCTGTCCTGGTTCAGTAGTGCCTCACACACAGGTCTGTTATAACACAATACATATTTTAATAGTGTAGTCTGTCCTGGTTCAGTATTGCCTCACACACAGGTCTGTTATAACACAATACATATTTTAATAGTGTAGTCTGTCCTGGTTCAGTATTGCCTCACACACAGGTCTGTTATAACACAATACATATTTTAATAGTGTAGTCTGTCCTGGTTCAGTATTGCCTCACACACAGGTCTGTTATAACACAATACATATTTTAATAGTGTAGTCTGTCCTGGTTCAGTAGTGCCTCACACACAGGTCTGTTATAACACAATACATATTTTAATAGTGTAGTCTGTCCTGGTTCAGTATTGCCTCACACACAGGACTGTTATAAAACAATACATATTTTAATAGTGTAGTCTGTCCTGGTTCAGTAGTGCCTCACACACAGGTCTGTTATAACACAATATATATTTTAATAGTGAGTCTGTCCTGGTTCAGTAGTGCCTCACACACAGGTCTGTTATAACACAATACATATTTTAATAATGTAGTCTGGCCTTGTACATCAAAATTATGAACTGAAACTACACACATTTATATCTCCTGGATGGTCTACATGTAAATATATATGTTCACTTGCACCAATGAAAATAGGTGTATGAAATACAACTATATTCACCACTTACCAATTGATATAAAAATGGCTGTATAAATATTAAAACACACACACTTAAAATATAAAGACTACTGTCATAAATCACACATGTTTACATATTAGAATTTTGGGACCAGTACTTTATTTCAATCTCTGGAAAGTACTTTTACAATAGTACTTTCCCAAAGGAATAGTGACTAAAATGTTATTCTTGTCCTGAAGTATATACATAGATTTAATGGGCCTTACCTTGCAGGTATGACACTGTTTTCGACCATAGATTCCAATAGGCTAGCCATGAGATTGACACGACTAGCATTGTTTTGGTCATACATTATTCCAACATAAGTCCGCAGGGCTAAATCCAAGGAGTCCTACAATGGAAATCAAACAAGCATGCTTTACAGTTACATATCTTACTTCTATACTTTGAAACTTAGTCGTCGCTATTAGTTACATGGAAACAAAGGTTTCCGACTTGTTTAAATTCTTTGCGTGAACTTAACAAAGACTTCATTTCTAAGATGAAGACAAAGTCAGAAAGCGTGTTTCCAAACTATCTTAAGCAAAATGAATAAGGGTCCTCTATGAAAAATGAGAAGAGGATGTTAAATTTCAATAACAAAAAGACTTAATATGTTCCAAGTTTTCTTTTACAGTGAAAACTAGAACTGTAAGCCAAAGGCTAACTAATACCCCCGCTGCTATATAAACCAGAACTGTAAGTTAAAGGCGTACTTAGGCAAAGCATTGCAAAGCAATCCATAGTCTCCCACAGGTATCAAGTGTTTCGCACAAAGGGGCATAACTCCATCAAAAAGAGTCGAAATCCCAAATTGAAATGCCGGAGCACAACTACATAAGATACTGATCATTCATGCAAAGTTTCAATAAAATCCACCTGTTAATTAAAGTGGAGTTGCGCGGACAAGTATTTCACAAAAAGGAGCATAACTCCATCAAAAAGGGTTGAAATCCCAAATTAAAATGCCGGTGCACAACTACAGAAGATACTGATCATTCATGCAAAGTTTCAATGAAATCCACCTGTTAATTAAGGAGCAGTTGTGCAGACAAGTATTTCGCAAAAAGGGGGCATAACTCCTTCAAAAAGTATATAAGCCTAATGAGTTATGGTGTAACTTCTTTATTTCTTAAAAAGGTTAAAGATATTCCTATTTTTTTTTAAATTTCTACCATGTAATTATTCAACAAAAAACAGAAGTAAACATGTTACCTCGTGACACACCAGAAATGTGCTGACTATAAAAAAAAATCAGTGGCTAGTGGTATAGGGACATCTGTATCAGAAGAAGTCATTAATTTAAAAGATCTTGCATGAAAATTTGCTGATCGCCCTGTAGCTCCAAACAATTTTTTTTCACTTTTCTCATGCATATCACGATTAAATGGGACAAAGCAGTGTGTACACACTCTCAATAATTCCTGTAGCTACGACAGCAAAAAACACAGCTTGGTTTTCGTGTAAGTAGACCAACCATGTGAAACTGATTGAAACTGCACTGCATGCTAGAAGAGAAAGCTTAATCCAGCCCATGTTTAAACATGATGTCATTGTACCAATTGCATTAACTGGGCTCCAGCACAACGGCTCTTACAGCAGAGGAATATAATGTTTTGTTTTCAGATAAGTCTTGATTCTTTTTAACATTGATGTTAACAGGAGGTTGATGGGAGGCAGCAATTGACGTTTGAGGCATTGTGGGGAGAACTTAACTGCATCGCCTCAATCAGACCTCCAAATTGCAGGAGTTCACACACGCATTGGTTGAGGTGTTGAAAAACATTCCTGCTTACATCATCCGATGTTACACCAGCTCAATGCAGAAAGGTTGCAATGCAGTGGTCCTACCTTATGAATGCCATATATGCTACTTATCAGGAAAATTACAAACATGCCCCCACCTGTTGTTAACATCCAAAAATATCACCAAACTGAGACAAACTGTTTTAGACAGATAATTATCATTTAACTGACATCCCGATAAATCATTTGAAAGCAGAATAAACACATTTGGACAAAACATGATGATGACATAGCTGCAGTTCTTTTATTCTTTTTTCCTTTTTGATTTTGTTTTTGCTAAGTACTACATATGATCACTTTTCTTATTCTACTTTGACAAATAATATTATAAACATCATTGATGAACTTTTTAATGATCGTTTTTTAGCCTTGTTTTATGTAAGTATAGCTTGCACTGTTTTACTTTGATATATGCTGTTCCTTTAGTTTGTTCCTGGGTCAATTCCACTGAACTCTACTTTTGCTAGCTTAGGGGTACGTTGGTTTTTAAATTGACTAAAATAGTAACTTATTTAATTGTGCAAGTCTTGCCTACCTGGGGAGTAGTAATGAGAAGATTTTTCAGCTTCCCTGTGCAGAAATCTTTCTTCCATGTTTCCGACTCTTTGGTATGCAAGATGACAGAACAGAACGCCTCTTCAATTGCTTCCCCTTTCTAAAAAATTAAAAGCAAGCACAAAACAATAGAATTAAATACGAAACGATGCTAATTGTTATGGTGTGTATAGTAGTTTACTTTTTACCAAGTTCAATAATGGCTTAAATAGTGTACATATCTGCAAATCATCAGGAACTGCTTGATAATAATATAAATAAAAAGACCATGCAAAAATACAAACAGAGACTAGGCACAGAGGTTAGAAAGCAGTCAAAGTATGAAATTAACATGAACTGTTAGAATGAAATTTTACTATCAATAGGTACATAATGGTCTAGGTTTGACAAATATTACTAAATATGTGTTTGGCAAAACCTAATCCTGTGTTTTAAGTTTGGGTAAATAAGAAAAATATCCCAATCATTACTAGTTTTAATCAATCTTTAAATCTGTGCTCTGATATTGTGGCAGGTTTAAATTGTACATCTGTTCATAGTTGTCTTCAATATCCATGCTAGAGGGACATTCTGTTTATAATTAGCTCTATTGGTAGAGTGAAGGATCAAAAAGCAATAGTTGCTGGTTCAATCCCCGGTGGAAGCAACTTTCCTGTTAAAATATGTTCTTACCCCTAGGCCTGTAACACAAGAAGCCGCTGGTCAGCTATTTTTCATCAGATATACCTCTAACATTGTTGGAGTAAAAATATTCCATGCTTTGATTATTAAGATTATTACAATGAAAATGCACTACACTGCAAGAATGAAGATGTGATTATTTTTACCACAGTTTGTTATACACAGGGATACTAATGGCTGGAATGAAAAAAAATTCGGATTTTGATATACATTTTGAACAAAATTTTCAGAAGTAAACTGCAACTTAGATTGAAAGTGGACTTTCGGAGATAACATTTGTTTGAGTTATAACAGGAAAGAGAGTAGAGTGATTCCGCCAGTCAATGGAGAAAACAAAGTCAGTGATATGGTTTGTCATTTTCACAAAAAATATGTGAGATGTCAGAATTGATAACTTTTTGTATACAAATGAACTTATTTATTGGATTTAGCTGAAAGAATAACACACTTTTTTGCTCCAAGTGTTTAAAAGATTTTTTTGTTTTTTTATTTCACTCGATTCCTCATTTCAGAAATAAAATTGGTTCTGAAATGGATAATTGTTACCCAAATGCAGGTTTATTACCCATATCCGTCGTTTTGCCAAACCTGCTAGCACGAAGCTAGAAGGTGACCATAAGCCTATGTATGTACAATTAAAATCTGCCACACAATACTTCCAAACGACCACAAGAAGAGAGTACAGGTGCCCTGGCCGCTTTATTTAATCACGTTCCAAACAGTTATTTCAGTTGGACCAGACAAGATATATATTCGGGGCGCAAGGAATAGAGGCATTTAAAGAATCAATCCCTACCAACTGGGAATAACCGAGGCTAAGTATCGCATACATGCTTTACGTCCTCCGCATTAAAGCCATTTTGGTCTCTGTGTAGTATAACGTATAGATAGAAGATAGATAGATGGATAAATAAGTTTATGAAAAGAGATGGACCTATTGATTTAATATTGCTTTCTGAGTATCTTTGCAAAGACTTTCAATACTAACATCTGCAGCTTCATCAGGATTTAACTCCTGAAATATACACTATTTAAGAAAAATAATTAAAATGACTTGTCGGTATTAACGAACATACCCCGTATATCAATGCTAAATAATGTCCATGCAATACACAGATACAAAGGAAAAGATGCGAAGTGATACAGTAACAGAAACTGTTCCTAGTACATTGCCATTATATTACCAAGATTTCTCCAACGACATCATACACGCTGTCTTCAACAGTTTTTTGCGACATCTTTGTTCGTGTTGTCTTGATCAATTCAGCCGATTTGTTGCATAAAGATAGATGGAAATAATAATTCTGAACCGAAACTGCTGGAAGCAGCCATCTTTAAAACGCAAAAAATTCAGGTCATTGGCACCGATTCTTGAGCGTTTGAAAGAGGCACTGTTGATAACGCCGTCTGAACATTATTCAGGTTAGGTTGTGATATGCTCCGTAAATATTATTGAAATCGACATGCTGATTGTAAATTTAATGTTATGTTAACATATATAGAGTGATAATTTTTAAACTTTTGGTCACATTACCAGTGTTTCTGAATTCTTTTCAATAAATATAGTAGAAATTTTAAATAATCTTTAGCGCATGCGCAAATTTTATATATATATCCATTTCCTGTCACACAAGTGCCTGGCATTCTTCAAATTTCTTTTTTCGATAAAGGTAAGTAAAATGCCTAATTAAAGAAGTTGAAGATTTTCAAGTTATCTATGTACAGCTAGATGAAATATCTATCAAACAGCTCCCTCTATGTTGTAAATTAAGTTTAAAGTTTGGAGCTCTGTCGTATTCAAAACATGAGAATTTAGACGTTGTTCTATTTCCGGGAAGGACATCTTTGGGTGGGTCACGGTCTTTTGCAGCACTGTACATGATTCATACTCGAGAAGTAACATTGCCATATAAGGTAAGGTGCACCACTTGGGTGAAATTCAATCTGAATGTTGATGTGCAAAAAGGTAAGTTAAAATAATTAAGTGGTATATTGTTGGTCTTAGATCTAGAAAGGCTGATCAGGTGTATGACAGTGTTTGCTTATTTGTAAAAGTCGTCACAAAATGGCATGACACCTGTGTCGAGGAAATTTAGTTTTGGTTAAGATCTTTTATAGAAACATATTGTGAGATCGCTACTGTAAATACAGTAGAATAACGCTTGACATGTTGATAAAGTGGTTTTAACAAATATGTGCAACAATGATTCAAGTTTTAGAACTGTAAAAGGTGGAAAGTTTTAATTAAAAAGTGGTTTTTTTTTGTGAAAACGGTTAAACACACTGCAAACCAGTAATCTTACACACCTAATGAAACAACATTTGAAAAACGCAAAAGAATAACCAACCAATTAATATTGTGTTTCCAACAGGGCCCCCTGAATTCACTACAGTTGGTATGTCTAAATAACCCCAACCCCATTTCCCAACGGTGGTATACATAAAAGGGTGGAAAGGTCTCAATGTAAAAAAATATTATCTCAACGAACTTTGACTTTATATTGTACAATGTTTATTTTTTGAGTCCAGTGTAGAGGAGCTATATTGGCTTCTGTATTGGAAACTAACTTTAACCTAACTACATTTTTTTATCAAAAATCAAATTTCAAGTGGATGTGCAAAAATATGTAATGCTTAATAGATGAATTATATTTCTTTCTCAAATCATTATGCATTTGTATAACCTTTGGGTTGTTTCAAAAATATCTCAGTCATGTATTTCTAAACATTTTTCAGGTTGGTAATTACAGATTCTTAGAAGTTCTTTTTACACAACCAATACAATTTGCTATGTGACGTTTCGATGACTAGTACGATATGTACACTGTCACCTTCATCAGACAAATGACCAACATCTAGCGGAAGCTATGTCTAACATCATGAATCAGGAAGACGAGAAATTCATTTCACATTATGTTGTCTCTCTCTTTACCAACACACCCATTGACGGCGTACTTAGAATCATTCGGAAACACTTAGAATTAGACAGATCCTGACGAAAAAACACAATCCTTCAGATTCAGGACATCATGGATTTGCTGGAGTTTGTGCGCCCAACAACATATTTTAGTTTCCGGAACAACATCTATCAACAACGCTTCGGCACTGCTATGGGTAGTCCAGTGTCTCCCATTGTTGCCAATTTGTTCATGGAACATCTGGAGCAAGAAGCAATAGCCACTGCCCCCATAAAATGCAAGCCTAGCTTATGGAAACGTTTTGTTGACGACATACTTGAGATAATCAAGAAGGGGTCACAGAAAGATTTGACCACACATATCAACACCATAGATGCCACTAACAACATCAAATTTACATGTGAGGAAGAAACCAATGGCACAATGTCCTTCCTTGACACTCTACTGGTAAAGAAAGAAGACAGAACTGTGAAGAAAAAAGACCCATACAGTCCAATACTTGAACTTCAAATCTCACCATCCTTTACACCAGAAGTTAGGCGTCATACGCACATCGCTCAACAGATGTGATACAATAGTCACAGAACACCAGGACAAAACAGAAGAGCAGAATCACATCGCTAGGGCAATGAGACCATGTGTATATCCAGAATGGGCCCTAAAACGGGTAAAAAACCCAGTATCAAAGTGATATATTGCGGTCATGGCATAGCAATAGCCATGAAGCCCCACAAGACGCTTCGCAATATCCTAGTACAACCTAAGGATAAAACACCTAAAGAAGGTGCAGAATGCGTATACCAAAATTGGATGCAAAAACTGCAATGTATCGTATATTGGAGAGACTGGAAGGTGATTTGGGGTCAGACTTGGTGAACACCGGAAAGACACAGAAACCCAAGTAGGTAGGAAATTCACCAGATCAGAAAGAAAACAGTCGGAGTCCCAGATAAATAAATCGGCAATCACAGACCATGCCACACAGAAAAACCATGTGATTGACTCGGATAACTCTAAAGTTTTAGACAGAGAGAGCAATCTGTTCAAGCGGCAGATAAAGGAAGCCATCTGGATACACCGCAGTGGGCCAGTTCTAAATCGAGACGAGGGGTCTCAAAGGCTCTGGCACATCTATAGCTATGACCAAGTGTTAACAAAGCGTAGCTGAATTGAGTCATTTCGGTACATATATAACGACTATTGTACATACGTTTCCAGCGTAGCCAAAATCGACATCAATTTTATAGACAACTTTTACACATTTGTGTGCATACGCTTCATTGGTCATTTGTCTGATGAAGGTGACAGTGTACATATCTTACTAGTCATCGATACGTCACATAGACATAGAACTTCTCATAATCTCAGTCATGCTTCTTTAAGGTTAATGTCAGTTTAATTGGCATAAGCATATATAGTGCAATATGCTGATTACTTATCGATTCAAGGGGAAATTCCTGAATCTAATGACTCTATCCATAGATTATATATAGCATCCATAGTTCTCATAATTTTTAGTGAAAAAATTATTTGATTTTTATTCCATGATAACAAAACACTGCACATAAACCAGTAAATCTGATACTGATTTTGAATAGTGTTCACCATGCCTAGCATGAGACCGATGTCAAATTCATGATTATACAAAAAGTTTGCAGTAACTTATTTCTGACTGAGAAAACAGTTTTGTCGGAGGTATTTTGCTGAAGGAGAATATATTTTACATGGATATACAATGTAGGAGGTTTGTGAAAGTTGTTTATTGTAGTTTTTTAAGCCGCTCTTGGCGAGAGCCGAGCGGCTTATTAATTCTGTCCAGAGATCGAAATGACGGACCAACTGCCGTTCAGGGTGCGTGCGCATAATTCAGTCTTGCATGCTTCCGCTATATAGTTTCGTTATATAATTATCGTAAATATAAAGTAGAATGTCTGACACTCACCTGTGGGTTACATAAAGTCTTCTGATACTCTTCTCCAAATAATAATCCATACTTTGAATAATTGCTGAAAACAAAATGTTGATCTCCGGTGCATTCTACGAGTGTTGTGGTCGTGAAATTCGTGCACTGAGTTTGAGCGTTTTAGCAACTCGGATTGAGGTCTGAGGAGTGACACATATGATTCGAGAAAGCACATGTGAAGACTGTCAAGCATTGACGCTGTCTGTAGAAGGAAGAAGTAAATATATATAATTATTAACCGTATAAGTGATGAAGTATAACCTCTATTTTGATGTTTCAAACGGGAACGTAATATGGCATATCGTGCCTAGGTTGACAATGAGAATGGCTCTGACTCCAAGACGAGACGATATGTGAACTGTGTATGCTTATCAAACATTTCTTTAACACATCATGCTATTTCTGGTGTATTTATTTATGAAAGTGTAACAATTTAAGAACCTGATACAACTGCCGTAACCCTAATAAATGAAAAATACAACAATGCGTAACACTTAAAGAGGGTGAAAAAAGAGGAGAGGGAGAAATGTTTTTAGGGCATCATTTAAGAGGTGATTGATTTTGGAAATCCCAAAGGCAACATCATCACATGTCACACCTGATTTTCAATTAGCAGAACACATATCTGAGGTATTATATTAGATATTGATGCTCAACGTGTTACTGAAGCAATTATAGATGTACATTTAAAGTGGTGCGCAGCTTTCATGTCACACTGACATAATTCTAGTTTTATCTTGAATTTGATTTTTTTCAAATGTAAACCCATTTTTTGCTATTGATATTTTCGGGTAATTGAATTTTTTCAAACCTCTAAATTTATCATATATTTATATTTACTGGTAGCAGGGCTCGCACTGATATATCACCATGATACCATCCGCAAAGATGTAAAAGATTTGCTGAAAGTTAAAGTAAGTAGTAAAACTGTTAATTTTCCTTTATTTTTGTTGTAGTAAGATCAACCCTTCAAGATGTCGAGCAGAAAAACTAAAGGAAAGACGACCAAGAAGAGGGCACAGCGTGCTACCTCCAATGTGTTTGCTATGTTCGACCAAGCACAGATTCAAGAGTTCAAGGAGGCTTTTAACATGATTGACCAGAACAGAGATGGATTCATCGACAAAGAAGATTTGCATGATATGTTAGCTTCCTTAGGTATGAAAAAACAATGTTAAAAATATTGTATGTAAAACTACAGTATCTGCTTGTCTAGAACTCAAAATCCCAAAGACCTCTTTATTGTTACCCAACTGCTGTTGAATAATGGAAATCAGGATATGAAACTGCTCTACTACAAACACGAACTGATAAAACAAATTGAAAGTCAATTTTTCTTCATTAAAGCAACTTAAGCATGAAAAAATTCTAAATGAGTTGATGAGTTGTCCAAATGTTGGCCCCCAGATATATTAACAGAAAAAAAACCTTAAGATATATATACCTAAATTATGTAGTTATTCTAGGTACAAAACATGTACAAGTATGTACCCGGGGTATATGATTTTTTCATATTAAAAATCTTTACATATATTTAACTTTTAATTCATTCTTTTTTTCTTCTGACAATAACAACCCATTTATGTCATTTTATTACTTTTTTCTCAGGTAAAAACCCTACTGATGATTCTCTTGACGAGATGATGAACTTTGCACCAGGACCAATCAACTTTACCATGTTTCTGACCATGTTTGGTGAAAAATTAAATGGCACTGATCCAGAGGATGTGATAAAGAATGCATTTGCATGTTTTGATGAAGATGCCACTGGTAATTCATTGAATTGTTTTACAAAGGGGTTGTGATGCGCTTTTTTTCTAAGATTGTAATGTTTAATTTTGTTTCAATAAAAAACGAAGTATGAACGCATCAACTATTTTATTCCTCTCCTGTTTGGATGTGGGAGATACAAATTAAGTGACTTGTTTAATAGTATTTACTAAGTGTGAGTATATGTATGCGTAAGAAAATCTTTTTTGGATCACAGTAATTTACATGAGACTATATATACCATTTAAGGGGCTAGTGAAATCTTTTTAATATAAGTCAAGCTGCGTGCAGATTTTAAACTCTGAAAGTGAAATCAATCATCATTTCAACCAAAGGACCTTTCCAACAACAGATGCTTTTGAAAACTAGTACACTGTGCTGGTTAATGGTATTTGCTTACAGGTTATGAAATGATCCCCACATTAATCTATTAATCTATAACCTTTCATATCAAACTCTGAAGTGATCTGCAGATTATTGGAAATATTTCTAATGAAGAACTCTCATTATCAGTATTCATTCCAATTAACAGGATACATCAATGAGGACAGACTTAGAGAACTTTTAACAACAATGGGAGACCGCTTTACTGATGATGAGGTAACTATTATATTGAGTCAAGAATAAAAATCCTAAATGTTTGTTGTGAATTTGTCATAATACAGGTCTGTTATACTTTTACTTGTTAATACAATATAAAGAATGTTTAAGGAGTGTCATAAACGGTAAGATCACAATTTTATGCTTCTGATCAGAAAAATATCTCATTACAAAAACATTGAACATCTTCTGTATACATGTATATCTATCTCCCGGAATTTTGAATTACCACCAATTCAAATGCAATGTATTTTAAACAAATCATTTGTTGTCTTGGTTTGTAAATCAATGTGTTATCGTCCAGAAGCTTTAATTCATTTTCACAAAAACAATCCAGTAAATGGGAAAAGCATGAATATACGTACAACTGTATAAGGTAGATGCACAAGTTATATGCATGGATCATCTATCTGAGCCCTGCAGACTGGACCTGCAGGTTGTTTAAACTTGTTTAACTTGGCATATACAGAATAAGTGCATCGAAAAAATAGTGATTGTTTTTACTGAAAAGTTTACTGTCACTATAAATGTTTTATATTTGTTTTTACACACAAGTTATGAACATATAAATTTCGCAAAATTTCGCAAAGTCAGCTTTTAAAAATCTTTTTACAAAACTTTTCCTTCAAAAATGTGAATTACGTTTCCTTCAACCTAATGTTTAATAATGTAGCCTAAAGTTGATTTATAAATTGTTTACCAGGTTGATGAGATGCTGAGAGAAGCACCAATAAAGAAGGGGATGTTCAACTATGTGGAATTCACAAGGATATTGAAACACGGAAAGAAGGACGAATGAAAATCTCAACCTCTTCACTTTGGACATTTCTTCATTCTCGCTCTGCATGTGAACATGTAGGCGTTGCCGAGACATTCCATATATGAACAGTTAGCCTTTATATATCGCATTGTAATCTCATGTTTGCTGTCTTTCAACAATGTTAAGATGTAAAACGGAACAAAGCTATGCATGGCATTTATATATTTATGAAGTCAAGGGGACTAGTCTCATTTTCTCTGTTGGTCTGTTACATTCAGACACCAATTATATAAAGTTTCATCAGTTCATTGACATTAAATAGGTGAAATTTATAGTCGTACTTATATCAGAAATTGTTGACAAAAAATAAATGAGAAGTTAAAAGTCTTTGTTCTGATACTGATATAAATCTGGGTTAAAAAATACTTTCAGTTTTAACAGTTATAAAAGTATATCTTTTGAATTTTACCTGTGCATGTCATTTATCTGATGAAAGTTTATCCAATTGGATACTTGGTTAGACGGCATTATGTGTGTTACCCATGCTGTTCCTAGACTGAGAAGTCGGTGAATAATTTCTCTTCCTTAAGTTTCAATAAGTTCTACATTTACATGTATGTTAAACTTTATTTGTTCTTTTTTTTTGTAATCAGAAACTCTTTTTAATACAAAGTTTTGATATTTTCAAGGTTTCTTGAAATGTCATATCATCAGCTTCACATTTTTTTGTATTACATTTTCGGGTGGAAGATGAAATTTATGTTTAACATGTAGAACTATGTCTAATGATATTTGGTGTGAGGAACATAGAGTGTGTTATGTTCAGAAAAAATACAGTATTTCACATTATATTTGTAGCATATAATTAAGTTAATTGTAGAGTGAAATAGTAGCTAGTAGAGGATATACCCATTATAACTCCGGTACAATTTTATAGAAATAGTCATTGTACAAACTATTATTACAGTGCAGAGTCTTATCAATCTGGACACCAAACAACTAGAAAGATGGTTTTATGGACCTAAATTACAGTTAATGACATTTTCTGTGTCAATATTCAGGACATTCCTTATTCATTTTTTTTTCTTCGGAAATTGAAGGTAATGTACTACCGTGGACATTAGTACCATTCAGTAGTAATCTTTAAGAAATTTGGCTATCATTATTCAATTTGTTAAAAGTTATCCAATGTTAATTGCCTTATTCACTTTTCAAATCTGTCAGAAATGAATGAACTAAATCACATATTTCCATTTATAAAAGATACATGGTATTTTACAAGTTTGTGTATAAGACTTTCAGAGGGAAGATTCATACCCTTAGTGTCCAGACTACTGCGATTAGAAAGTATTCTAAAGTTTGAATGTAGGAAAAACTGTTAACTTTTACAGATGTTAGAGAGGAGCGTACTAGTAGGACTTAGGAAGGAAACTAGTTACTTACAATGGTATAAGTTTGATGTAGAGACATTCAACAATGCTTATCTTGTCATTCATTTCATTTCTATTCATCTGAGTTATATTATTTAAATGAAGTGAAAACAAACTAACTGTATCAGCATGTTACAATTTTGTATTCCATTTTGAATTGCTGCCAGGATATGAAGTGTGCGCCAGCTCTATTGGAGCACATCAGTGCTATTTATCTGGGGTGTTTGATATAACATGTTGTTATTTTGTTAATTAAATTTTGACAAAGTGCTTTCCTTTAAATTCCGTTTACAATTTAAAGTGGTTTGATAAGTGATACTTTAAACAGAAACATTCCAATGTACCATGGTTGGGTAGACATGTTCATCATACTATGATTTAGTCATCCTGACACCTCCGTTTGGTTGACATGAACAGCGTACAGGGGCCGGCATACAGCTATGACTTGGTCATCCTGACACCTTAGTTGGGTCATCCTGACATCTGAATACAAAGATACACCAGAATGTACAGCATTGTTATGTACCTGACAGATATGTTTTGATATGTCGGAAATTTTCTCACAAGGTCTTTCAATTTTTAACAAATTGCTTTTATCACTACGTAACAACCTATTTATCATTTGGACCTAATCTTCACATGATATCCTTGTAACATCACAAATCTCTACCACCATCACTCCTGGTCCATTTAACATGTCCTTAAACGTTACTTCTTTGTGTTTGTAATAAAAACACATATTTTGATTAAGATAAGATTAAACAGACACATATTGGAATTTTGTTATTCCTAGCAGCCTTGTGTAATCATGGGGGCTGCAAGTTTAACAAATTGCCAGATAATTTAAACCCCAGTCAACAACTGTTTATACAGTCCATTATTTTTAACGAGACTGCTTATATTTTCTATTCATTTCCATCTTGTACCATCAAAAATATTTTATAAATACAATGAAATCCATTCTTTTAGCTGGTTTTTCATTTCAAGATATATGCTATACAAAATGTCCTAGGAACCTGTCAATCCCGTGTATAGGTTGTAACACTTTTAAACTTCAATTCATGTTAAGGCTAAATTTGCTTAAACTAATTGCTTGATTTTGTAATTCCCTGTACAGAATGAAAAGATGGAACTAACCAAATAAAAATCTTTTTCGAGTGAAAAGTGATAAAAATTCTGAGTTATTTCAGCTTTTTAATATCACATAAACAGTTATATTTGCACTGTTTTATAACATTCCACATATGTTAAATGATGGTTGCTTTGACTAACCTTAACCTAATTCCATGTTAAGTGAATATCTGTCCAAAACATGGTGAATTCTGATCTAGCTATATATACCCTATATATATACAATATTTAGTTTTATTATTGGTGAATATTGAGCCAATGATTCCAAGATTAAACGTCTGGGGACCAAGTCATGATGCAATAGCCTGTATTTAATTATACATTACTTTTTCCATTTCTGTAACATTTTGTAAACTTTGATAAAAGATGTCATTGTTATATTTTCACTGGTTTGATATTTTACATGGAGTCACTGTATGATGTTCTGGTGCGATTTGTCCTAGCATTGATGTGATAGACAATACGGAATTGACAATGTAAGCAGGATTCATTCCAGGAAAAGGACACTTTTTTTTTTGCTATTGTTAATAATATTCATGCCATGGGTTAAAACTTGTACTGAATAAAGTTTTCCTGTATACTACTTACAACGGGGACCAAAGTGTAAATTCCAAAACTCCATAATGCATGGCTGTTATGTATAGACAATAAAATTTTATATAGATATGTCTTTTGTTTGTATTTTTTGTGTGAACTTTAATAAGATCAATAAGATGTATGTTATACACCCTTATACACAAGCAAGGCACACATACCCCATGTGGAACTCTCAGGTTGTGACCTCACAGACTTTGGTGACCGACATTTTGAGACCCACATTTTTCTAAGTACTCTTTAGGAAGTCCATATAATTACCTGGTAAATCATTTCAATGTGATGTGCGACTAAATATATTGTAGATTGAAATATATATTAATGTAATACAGATATGTATAGAGTTCGAAAAACGTCCATCAAGCACTTCACTTCAGTGACAGTCAACTTGAACTGTCAAAATCAGACATTTGCAATCAATCTTGAAATGAAACATGAATAACTTGCATCTAAGGTGAACTTCCATATGAAATTGACTAAGCGTATCAAGCACCTGTGAAAAAACCCATTTTGAAAGTGTCCGGCAATAATTCTAACTTCTGTGTAGATCAGTGTCACAGTTAATAGTTGCTTTGCCTGGCACCAAAGGGTATACCATGATCTGGACCCCAAGTTCCTAATTATTAGGTAAATGTTGTGGAGCATTGATAAACTAAAAATATATCCAGAAAACAGACAGATGAACAATACCATAGCATAACTAGTACGACTTTATATGATAAGAAATGAAAAATTATTGGCTATGTAATAATATGGCCACAATTATATTAAAACTGAACGATATGGTCTGGACACATTTTGAAGATGTTGATGCTCCATGATGTTGACTTTGGGGTCCGGACACAATCTTGGATCATGGGCAGCAATCTTCTAAAGTCTGATACAAATCTAAAAGAGAATAACAAAGGTATGAGTCGGAAATGACATTGCGAACTGTCTGAAGATGTTGATGCCCAATGCTCTTGACCTTGGGGCTAGGTTATGACATACTCCGTGCTAACTGAACACTATCGGAAGATAAAGGACTAAAAAGTTCACATAGTATTAGTATCCTATAGTATCACAATGTGATGGTATTACACAAATTGCAATCAAAGAACTCAGTGATGTTATTTTGACACTTAAAATCAGCTACAGTAAAACATAAATCCTGAAATTCATTTATCATAAGCGAGAAACAAGTTAATGCCCCGACACTGCCTTGGACCTTTGACCTAAATATGACCACATTGTGCATACGAACCTACAAGTGGTTCTCGACACACTGCTTTGCTATACTTCATTTTAACCTGAAAGTTTAACGTTAAACTTCAGCGAGTCAAAAGTTAAGGCTCGACTGACCTTAAGCTGATACAACGCCTTGCCAACTTACACGTACATCTTACTAAAGGTAAAATTCCATTTAGTTATCCTCAGAGTGTCATAATTAAGTTATGGCCCGTATAATTCATTCGACCTCTGACCTCAGAGTGATCTTGATCTTTGGCGTACAGAACCCAACAGTGGTAGGTGACCAACTACATTCCTATCCTACATCTGTCTCTATAATTTCATTTATCTCAGTAAGTCCTATTTCGAAGTAATGGCCCGGACAATGAATTCGACATTTGACGTCAGTGTAACCTTGACCTTGGTTGTATGAACCCTAGAGTGATGCATGGCACGCCGCCCTGCGATCTTACATTTCTCCTTTAAAATTTCATTCAGCCATCTTCAGTGAGTCCGAGGTTATGGCCCAGACAATGAATTTGACTTTTAACCTAAATATGACCTTTACCTTAGACAAACGGACCCGGGGCAATAGTGGTATGCGACACCATGTCATCCTAACTATCCCTAAAACAAGAGATGATCAAGGTCAGTGACTCAGGTACTGATGGTTGTCTGGATACGTGACGACAGATATTGATGGAGCGTCACCAGATATTTTATTAGTTGTTAAGTCCTTTAGGCTGAATGATGGCTAGTATTTGATATGGTCTAATGATGGAGAAACACAAGCCTGAATTTGATATGGTCTATGTATTGTTATTAGCAAGGACACGGTTAAATGTAAGTTAAAAGTATGTCCTTGTTATGGTAATTGAGTGTGATATATATTTACACCATAATATATATATAGCTTATGGTGCATTGTATGGAAATATCCGGGTAAAAAACATCAAGAGCTATCGGAGAGCAGCATAGCTCGCCTTTTGGTGATATATTTTATCATAAGTTATTAGATATGAAATAGAAATACATGTACCTTATTATGCTGTAGGTTGCTTAACCGGTATTGATATTTTGAGCATCATGTTCATTGTACAATGTAGGTAGCCATATACATATAGATTAACAGTGTAACCAAGTCAAATTAAACTCCTTTAAGCACCTAAAACATGAAAACATGTTTCAGCACATGGCTTACTCTCCATATCTAAATGCCTCAATCTGGTAATATTCAACAGCCTTTAGAGTGAGTTGATCAAACCTGAACCAAGACGACGACACATGGGAACGACATTAGATCTGGTGAACATACAGGCACTGAGTTAGATAAGTCTGGGACATACACAAATAGTTGTAGATATACTACAAGAAATTAGATGCTATATAGAAAAACATGGTGAGTATGCATAAATCCCGAGAACTTCTTTATGATGCTTTTAAATATTAAGTAACGAGGGTGTTCCTTCAGTTGATGGAAGTGTAAAGAGTGGAAATGTCAAAAGTTATGATAAAAGAAAAAAAATGAAGAAAGGATGTCCAAGATTTATGAAAATATTATTTTGATTCTTCAAAGCCATAACCAATCGCCCACTTCCGCAGTATACAGTGTCACAGTACGGCTGTAGCTCTGATCTAT